TTATATTTAATAATATCACCTTTTTTTTTCCAAAGTTCATGGGCAAATGTCACCTCTGAATTTTGTCACAAGTTGCCTTTCTCTACGTTAAATGAATTATTTTCTGAGATTAAATCTGCAATATTTATTAATTTAAACTATCTGGCCCTTCGTTAATTTGCCCAAGGTTAAGGAAGAACATGTACTATATTCTATAGAAATCATGCTACAGCATTTTATAGCATGTGCTTGTTATATATGAGTGCAATCTTAATTCTAGTAAAATATTTAAGAGCAAGTATTTTATTATCTCTGCTCTCATTATACTTTCTAATGCCTCTTTATTAAGATACAGATTTCATTGCGTTTAAAGTGCAGTACCCATATTGCTTATTAGAACTTTTTTTTTTCCAAAGCCTATCATCCAAAGGTTGGTGCACCCCGATTGCATCTTGGTTTAAGCCCACTATTTGCACTTAGCACCAAGACCGACATGCATCAGAAACAATATCCTCCTTCTTCATCATTTCTATATTCAGCAGCCTATTTTTCAGGAAAAAACTACTTCTGTTGCTATTGTTCAACATCTAGGACCATAGTACTATTGCCAATTTACTACCGATTGCTGAAAGATTTTTCATTGAGTCCTGCTTAGTATGACATTTAACCTGAAAAGTGAAAAATAGGCATTACCCCACAAAAACCATTCTAGCACTATACAATGTCACTGAACTACTGCTATGGCTATATGAAATCAGCCTTTATTAGTGATATATTGCCACAGGAATGGCTGGATGATGTCCTAAGGATTTACAACTCACTAGTGCACAAGTAGCAAAGAATTTTTCTGTGTCCATGTGCTTCTGACTAATATTGTTAGGACTGAGCCTGAGAGAAGACAAGTCAAACACCTAGTCAGTCCTGGCTTTCTGATAAAATATGTAAAGTCGTGCCTTCATAATTTTTTTTTTTTTAAATCTACATAAGCAAATGAAAATGTCTTCAGCAGGCACTCATAAGTTTAGCCTCCCAGGTAATGTTTTTGCCAGGAATAATTCATTAGAGAAGAGAGAGCCAGTTTGGTGTAGTAGCTAAGATGCTGGCCTAAAAACCAGGAGACAGTGAGTTCTGGTATGACTGGGTGACCTTGAGCCAGTCACTCTCTCTCAGCCCAGCCCACCTCACAGGGTTGTTGTGGGAAAAATAGGATTATTAGATATGCTTGCTGCCTTGAGTTACATATAAAGTAATAAAGGTTGAAATTATTTTTAAAAAATCAAATAAATATAGTTCAGTTGGCAGAAAATCCAGAGATGGTCCTTTGATGAAGATATGGAGGCATGGTTACCATCAGAGGTCATATTCAGCTGGTTCTGGAGAACCAGTAGAAATTTTGAATAGTTCGGAGAACCAGCAAATACCACCTCTGACTGGCCCCGCCCCCATCTATTCACTGCCTCCCGAGTCCCAGCTGATCGAGTCCCAGCTGATCAGCTGAGTCGTCTTTTGTTGCTCTGCACACGGAGCTGAAAAGCAGGTTAGTGGGGTGGGAAGGGAATGGAGATTTTACAGTATCCTTCCCCTGGAGTGGAGTGGGGTGGGAATGGAGAATTTGAGGTATCCTTCCCCTGCCACACCCACCAAGCCATACCATGCCCACTAAGCCACACCCACAGAACCAGTAGTAAAAAATTTTGAATCCCACCACAGGTTACCATATCTATAAAGATATGCAATCCTTATGATATTCATTGTTCTTGGAGGCTTTGACGGGCTTTTAAGGTGGAACAGCACATTTTAAATAGATGTGGGAAACGGACTAGGGCCAGTATGAGAGTATAAGTATTAATCCTTTGATCATTATTGGAATCTGCTTATTTTCCCCATATCCTCTTATCCATCACATGGAACCTCATGTTTGAGTTAAGATTTTGAATACAGTACTGCATACGTGTGCACGTTTGCTTATGAATATGTCTGGGTGAGGAGGTGGTAGAACCAGCTGTGCTGATATGTTGCAGCTGTAATACTGGAATTATCCAAACAGAAGCAAATTCTTTTAAACAGACCACCCCCTCTCCTTGATTAGCATGAATGATGAAGTTGTCTTGAATCTCTGAAGTATATGCTATAATGCAATGTTTTAGCCTTTGAGAGGCTCCAAGACTTGAGCAAGGAAGGCACAACTTCCTGTCTAATGAATGACACACTCATATGTGCAATCTTACAGGTGTTTTGTTATTGCAAGATCAAGGCTGGCTAAATAACACAGCAAAAAAAGGGTAAGAGAGCAAAAATGCCCTATATTTCTTGTCTTGGAAAGCTACGATTCTCTGCTGCTTTATCTGTGGGGATGTGCTTTTGTATATCTATATACAGAGGTGGGCTGCTGGGGGTTCGCAGGGGTTCAGGAGAACCTCTAGCTAAGATTCTGTGCAATTCGGAGAACTCCCAAATCCCACTCCTGGCCCCACCCACCCTGCCCCGGCCCTCCCAGGAGTCACCACACGGCCCATTTTGGATGCAGGTAAGTGCAGGGCATGTGCAGAGGCTTGGGGAGGACAAAAAATGGGCCTACCGGAAGTTCAGGACCTCCGGAGCCTGGGGAGGCCGTTTTCGCCCTTCCGGAGGCTCGAGGAAAGCCTCCGGAACCTGGGTAGGGTAAAAATGCCCCCCCACCATGGTGCAGGAGGCCAATTAGGCCACACCCACCATGGCCACGCTCACCCAGCAACTGGGCAGAGAACTTCTTGCTAAAAAATTTTAAGCCCACCCCTGTCTACATACTCTCGTGGCTCTTTGTAACTTTCAATTGGAAGGTATAAGAGAAGAATCATCGTAAGAAAGTAGCTCCAATGAGCTAATTTACAGAAATCCAGTACCCATGACTCACTTAGGAATGTAGTTTGGGAAAATTGTCACTTTGGTGTCACTACCATGCCTTCTGACTACACTTCCCAGAAACCCATCGGTTGTATGGCACAAGGGAGGAGGGAAGGACTGTATCTTCACCTTTTCCCCCACCTCCCTCTCTCCCCTGCATCCAATCAGCTGGTGGATCCGCAAATGGCAGTTGGCTGCCTTGGAACCAAGGTTGACAACTGAAATAACAGACGAAGGAAGCTGGTGAAATAAGGATGAGTGAAAGACTCAGAAGTTCTGGGGAGCGCCAGAGATTGATGGGTGAGCCCTTTCTCTTTGAAGACAGGGGGCCCTTGTGGACATGCTGGGGTACAGTTTTCCTTGTGGTCTGCAGCTCCCTTTGTCCCCTTCCACAAGCAGGCAATTTCATTGGTCAGCTAAAGAGGATTGATTTCTGAACTCCCTGCCAGATTCCCACAAGTAGTGATGAAATCCAATTTTTTTTTTACTACCGGTTCTATGGGCGTGGCTTGGTGGGCGTGGCAGGGGAAGGATACTGCAAAATCTCCATTCCCACCCCACTCCAGGGGAAGGATATTGCAAAATCCCCATTCCACCCCACTCTGGGTCCAGCCAGAGGTGGTATTTGTCGGTTCTCCAAACTACTCAAAATTTCCATTATTGGTTCTTCAGAACCTGCTGGATTTCACCCCTGCCCACAAGCAACATCAATGGGGAATCAAGCAGGAAGTTGGAAGTCACTCCTGCTCCCAATCCTTTTTTTGCCCACTCATGGTTATTCTGTTTCTCCATTTAAGTAAGGAAATAGGTATTTCGGAAAGGATCATCCACAAGGGATCATGAGCTGTTTAATATGAAATAAGACTGACCTCTAGTGAAAATATCCAGCACTTCAACTCATTTGTTTTCCTTCTTCACCTGGCAATAACTTTTGTTATTTTTTTTTTAAAAAAGTTCCTTTCCTCCCAATGAAGGAAAAAGGCATTCTTGGAGACCAGTTTTTATGGATCAACTTCTATTTCAGATGGTGCACAAAGCATAATCATCTGTTAATATGAAAAAAAGGTTGCAACTGTTGGATCTTTTCACAACACATACTTTCTCTGGATTGTGCCAAAAGTACGATTATAACAAGCATTTTTTTTTAAGAAAGGGATTAGTTAGAAACAAAGGAAGCTGCTTTTGATCCCTAATCTGTTTAGCAAAACATTATCTCCACTGCAGGGCCAAGAACTGAATCTGGGATCAATTTTTTGATTGATTGATTGATTGATTGATTGAATTAATTAATTAATTAATTAATATAGCTGCCTATTTGCGCATGGAGACTCAAGGTGGTTTACAGAATATAAAACAACATTTAAAACAAAACTAATAAAAAGAATCAAATAAATTAATATAGTCTAATATAATAAAATCACACCCCACCCCACCCCGGGAACAGCAGATCACACGAGCCAGGTCATCACCGCCTTCTGGAAGAGCGTTAGAGTGGGGGCCGTTCTAATCTCTGGGGGAATGATGTTCCAGAGAGAGGGAGCCACCACGGAGAAGGCCCTTCTGGGTCCCACCAGGTGTATCTCCCTCGGGGTGGGACCAGCAACATTCCCTGCCTCCCCATTCTGATGGGTCAGGTAGATGTGACCGGCAAGAGATGGTCCCTCAGATATTCCTGCTTTTGCAATGGAGACAAAGTATGCACCCTTCCTTTCTGACCCTTCCCTAAATAACTTGATTAAAGGACTCGTGTTTCTGTGATAGAAATATGAGTTGCAGCTTCTATTTGGCTAACACCAAAAATGCCACTATGAATATGCAGAAGTACGTGACAAACAGGAACAAAATTCTCTGCTGGTAATATCATATGCCATATTGTGATGTCATGAGATGATCATATTTATCTCACTGTAGGCCTCCTATTGTGACATCACACACTGGAGGTCAGCTGGTTAATCTTCACACATCACAGAAGTGGATTGGAAAGACAGAATGGAGGCTATTTTGATGCGTGTGGAAAGCAGGGTGCTTTTTTGTGCATGTAACTTTTTGGTGTTGAGATTTTGAGAGCACAATAAGTTAGAAGAAGAAACCAACAGAATTCTTTCAAAACACTTCCAATTATCACATTGTCCTTTCAGTCATGGATGGGAAACGTTCCGTGCGAAGATGTCCAGCTCAAGCAACGCCAGCTTTTCAAGATAACCCTGCTGAGCAAGGTAGCAATCCCAGGGCGACAAGAGGATCGGGCAAGACACAGTCAAACAAGTAAGAAGGATGCATGCATTTAGTTACTGTAACATAACAAATATATCTGTGAAAAATAATCTAAGAGAGTCTTCTTCAAATTAATGCTCTTCTTTTGAGGCCTCAATTCCCAGACTTTGCAGCCAGCACAATCAACCATTCCTTTAATTTTCTAGTCAACTGCAATTGTACAGTATAGCTTCCTACAGATTGAGGAGACATTATGAATGGCTACATGATTGCACATATGCCACTGCAATTCACCAATTGCTTGTAAATGATTTTCTAATTGCATCAATGTGTTCCCTTAAATCCTGAGTTTTTTTCATATCCAGAAATCAGTTGCCGAGGAGGACAATAACAAAAGATAAGCTGCCCAAAGGCCTGAGTGCCAGTAACTGAGGGATGATACGTGTTTTCCTTTTTTGTCATTTTAACTCACACCTTTTTTAGATGTTTTTGTTTAGCTTAATTCTGTTTTTTGTTAATTTTTTTCCCCTTTGGATTTTGTGTTTTAATTTTTTGAATTAAAAAAATATATATATAATCTAAAATGTACACATCTCCCTTAATAGTCCAAGTACTGTATTCACATGAACACAAATGAACAATGAAAACAATACAATGAAACTTCGGGAAAGATGGATTTATTGTAACAACGGGGTTAAAAAGTTTTTCACACCTCCCCTGGACTCTGTATGCACCTCCCTAAGGCAAGTACACCACGTTTGTGAAACTTTAGGCTAGAACTAACATTCAGGAATAGCAAATAGTCTTTTAATAAGCCTTGTTGCCACAATGCATGGAACTAAGGACACTAAGGATCATCATTCTTAGGATAATGTATTTCAGGCAGCCTGCATATTACAGCTGTAAAGCATGAAAAAAGCTTTATTTAGGAGCCATGGTAGCGCAGTGGTTAGAACACAGTATTGCAGGCTAACTCAGTGTTCACTGTCAGAAGTTCAATCCTGACCGGGTCAAGGTTAACTCAGCCTTCCATCCTTCCAAGGTCGGTAAAATGAAGACCCAGATGGTTGGGGGCAATATGCTGACTCTGTAAACCGCTTAGAGAGGGCTCTAAAACAGTACGAAGTGGTATATAAGTAAGTGTTATTGCTCAATGCTAAAGGGTTGGTATTTTTCATGATTACAAATTGTGCTGCACTAACATAACGTACATTTGTAGAGCATTGAAGATCATTTGTAACTCTTCTTCTTTCAGCTGGTACCTGCTTAATTCTTCAGGAGGTTGTCCCAGGACATCTACTACTTCATCTAACCAGATGTCCTCACTTTACGATCAGGGAGAAGAAAATGGGCGTAAGTCTAAGAAACATTTAGGTTTGGATAACCACTAATGATTAGAGGCCAGAGATTAAAAAAAAAAAGTCCCAGAAAAAAATATGTCAGGATTGCATCTTGAATCTTTTTGCTAGTTTATATCTATGCAATGTATACAAATCGACTAAAGCTCTTAAGTATTGGCCTCACAATACATAATTTTGCAGTTCCCCTCATATGTTCTCTCTAGCAATTGATCTATTCAAAAGGGCTAAGAAATAAGAATAGGAAAGAAGAAAGTACTGTACAGATTGTAGAAATATATATTGATCAGGGGTGCGTTACTCCTGGTTTGCCCCGGTTCGGCGAACTGGTAGTGGCGGTGGCGGGAGGCTCCACCCACCAGCCCAGATGTCATCAAAAAACGCATGTGTAGAACAGTGGTGGGTTTCAAAAATGTTTATTACCAGTTCTGTGGGTGTGGCTTTGTGGGCGTGGCAGAGGAAGGATACTGTAAAATCTCCATTCCCACCCCACTCCAGGGGAAGGTTACTGCAAAATCCCCATTTCTTCCCAATCAGCTGGGACTTGGGAGGCAGAGAATAGATGGGGGTGGGGCCAATCAGAATTTTTACTACCGGTTCTCCGAACTACTCAAAATTTCCGCTATCAGTTCTCCAGAACTGGTCAGAACCTACTGAAACCTACCTCTGGTGGAGAAGTGCCAAGAGCTCACAAAGCCAGCGCGCACACCCGCGCGCTACCAATAAGAAACCGTTAGCCCCGGGATTAGAATCCCATCACTGATATTGATGCAGATGGAAGTCAGAGCAGCTGTTGCCAATCCAATCTGTATACAGAAATTATTGATATAAGATGATAGTGATGACTGGATAATGAGATGGGTTTTCTTCAGCAGGAGGTTTTACCAGAGAAGTCATTGCTGGTGAGAGTTGCTGTAGCCGCTTCTCATCTGATTCCACAGCTTCATCTGAAAGGAGTATGCTAAGTATGTATCTAGCAGTTCCACATTCCTACAGCTTTCCTAAAAATATGGTGCATTTGATAGCTAAAGTTATTCAAGCAGAAAGCTGGACAGCCTTCAACCAGGGATAGAAATTAATCCTCCAAGTGTTCTGTCCCCGTCCCCACACACACACAAACAGCCAGCCGGGGGTTAAAGAATTACTTGGCACACACAATGTTCGTTATCAGGAACTTGGCAGCAATACGATAACAGTCTGCCAAGTGCTTTACTAGAAGAAGAAGGAGTGTCCCTCCACCAGATAACCCCAACGAATACACACAGTTTTCAAAACAGTCCTAGCTCAAACATGGAACCTTCAGCAGATTAGGCGTTGTACAAAGTGACTAGCCAGAAGTTAGCTTTGTCTGTCACAGAGTCTAAATGGCCACCACACTCTCTTATATAGCCTGTGGGGTGTGGTCCAGTGACTCAGCTTAATCCCTGGTACGCCTCCTCATCTGCTGCAAATGTTTATCTCGCCTTCATTGGCGTGGATCCAGGAACGACTTATCACCGTCATTGCTGTCATCGGAGACACCTGGCTCCTGGCCAATCTCCTCTCCCTCGGCAGACACCTGAGGCATTGCAGAGAGGAGGGGCCTGGAGAGGGAGGCCTGGCCGGCTCCTCTCCTTCATGTTCGGAGCCTTCTCCCTCCGATAAGATGGGCTCGGAGGTCGGAGCCACAACACCAAGACAACTTCCAACTTTAGAATATCATGATGGTCACATATTGTTTTGTCTTTGAGAGGTGGAATAATATTTAAGTAGATTGACAAATATAAACTCTTCTGGAGTTTTTTCTTATCCACTTGACACAACAATTGTCCCAAAGGTGCTTTTTTTGACAAATGATGGTAGCAAGATGTTTCACTTGGTGGTGCTCATTCTTTTCTGGAATATCAGTTCTGTAGTACAAAATCCTACATGTTCATCCAAACCTATAGTAAGCTTTAAACGTAGGAGTGACAGACTTGAGAATACATCCATCTTTCTCATCTACTGTATATCTTCCTATATGTAGAAAGGGACAGCGACAAAACTTCCATGTCTAAGGCTGCCCACTGGATATAATAATTTTCTGACCTAGTGTGAAAGTCTTAAAATATATTGCTAAGATGACATTTTTTTAAAGAGTAGGATTACATTGCAGGAATTCCACCAACAGTTTTGGTGGACATGATGATGCATTTAAAATTAAAGCCGCCCTTTTTTATACAGTCCAGAAAAAGTTAATCTTAAAAAGTCTAACTGAAATGAACATTTAACTGTAAAAGTTTCTCTGTTTTTAATAAGATTTAAGAAGGCCTAATCTCCTCTGGGTTGAACCTAAGGTCAGTAGTAGTGATTGGCTATATTCATATAATCTATTGTGTTTCAGATTAAGCCACTTCATTGTATAATTTTGCGCATCAGTAATTTGGAGATCCTTATTTGTTAAAATTGGATGCAGTAATTTGGAGATCCTTATTTGTTAAAATTGGATGTTAGGTTGCACTGAGATCTAGATCTCAGTGCAACCTAACATTTTATTTTGGGTTTTAATGTTGACTAAATCCCACCACTTGCTAAAATACGGTTTGATCCTATATCTCATGCTGTGACTTGATGAATCATACATGGCAACAGCATACATGATGCATGCAGAAAATAGTACTAACTGGTGTATTTGCTAAGAGTTTGAATTGTGAATTTACAAATTTTATTTATTTATTTTTGCTAGGAAGGTATTAACTTATCTTCATACTTACAGTCCTCAGCAGATCAGATGGCCAAACAAGTATATTCCCAGTTACTTTATAAACCTTCAGAAACAAATCCTTAAATGTTTTGTGAATTATTCTGTTTCACAGAAACCATATGCTGCATTCCGAGCCTTATTGTATATTCTATTATCTGCTTTCTTCGAAAACTTTTACAATCCTGCTACTGTGCAAGGTAAGTGGCAGTGTAAAAATGTTCAAAAGCTCCTTTCAAAAGAAATCATAATCAAGACAGCTAACTTTGCATCTGATAGTCTTCTCCATTACAGAAGATCTCCCTTGGGTGAGGTAGAGTTGGAAATATCATGCGTCTTTTGACATGCAAGTCTTTAAATAGGCCAAAGAGGTGTTACCCTAATACCTGTCTTATTTTAATTGTCTTAATACACTTTATGTATTTTAAATATTTTTTAAAAAATATTTTGTTTATAAATTCATGTTATATATTAAAATAATTTATTATAACTTTATGAAATATTCTATGAATTAATTATATTTTAATGGGGTGTTTTATGCACAATCACCCTTATTTTCTCCCTTCCTTGACTCTAAAAGTGTCAGATTCTGCATGGTCCCATTTTCAGTTCCCCTCTCACTCTCTTCCTGGTCCTAACTGCCTCCCTCTAAATTCAAGTCTACTTCTCTCAGATTCTCCAAATCTCATATCTTCTCCAGCCAACTTACTCAGCAACTTCTTTGGTGGTGGAAGTTGCCAAGCTTGTTCTACTGAGCTGGGAATGGGACAACCCGCCACAGCCAAGTTGCTGCAACCAAACTCGCCACAGCCAACTCACCACAGGACAACTCGCCATGGGACAATTTAACAATTCAATTTTATTATTTAAAATAAAATTTAAAAATATTTTAATTTTTGTCATTCACCTTTTATTGTGTCCTTCCTTTTTCATTCTTTCTTCAATGATTCTACTCCACCATTTCTTTGATATTAGTTTAACTCTTGCCCCACAGCGAGTTGTCGTATGGAGAGTTGGCCATGTCGAAATGTCATAGACCCAGCTGAAATATCCACTGACCTCTTGAATCCTTTGCATGGACTCAAGCTGCCTCTCTCCTCCATTACTTGGAGGAAGAAAGACAAGGCTTGTGTTATGTCTTCCTGTACTGATTATTCACAAGTAGTCTTTCTGCTGACCCTTCTGCTGGTTTCCAACAACTCTTCTTTTTCTTTTCCTCTCTCTTCTGCTTTTCCATATCTCAAGCAATGTAATAACCTGAGCATTACCTAGAATTTGATATTTGACCTGTTTCACATGTAGGCAATTTCCAAATCCATCTCTGCGTGTCCAGTCTGGGAAAGGCCCCTGTTTGAAAGCTAGGAATGCTGGTAACAACTTAAACAGTACTGAATTGGTTGAACTCAATAGATGCAACTTCCAAGGTGTTTGTTGTTCCCTTTCTCATGCAACAGCTAGCATAGCCATAATGTATGATGTGATACCATTGGCACTGGGGGTTAAGGAAACATCCTGTTTGATGACATCACACCATGCATTGTTTTATGGCAGATATCAAGCAAGGAAGAGAGGAGAGAGAAAAAGACATGAAGTAGCAGCAACCCTTAGAATGACTTGTTAATAAACCTCTCTGGTTTTGAAGGAACCAGCAATGCCCTTGGGTGACCTTCGCTATTATCAAGATTCCTATTCTTATCCTTAGCAATTCCTAAGAATTGTTCCGTCCATTGACTTTGCCTTAATGATCCTACCTTCCTTCTCAGAAACCAAAACCCTATGGCAAACTGTGTGAGATGCTTGACGTTCCTCATCATAGCTCTCTCAGTCATTTATGGTAAGTACTCATTGTTCCATTTGAAATTTGAAAAACATCTGAATAGCGGCAGGTTCTCGTGGATTGAACATAAAAGGTGCTCATGTTGAGGATCTGAGTGTCAGAAGTCCCAATGTGCCAGAATTTATCCAGAAAAGTTCATGTTCTAACCCAAGTCACGTGGGCAAGGCAGAGGTTAAGGAAAGTCTGTTTATTGTTCATTATCACAGTGACAGACAACCCTCCAATGCTTTTCCCTCATTCTGGATTTACAAACTAAGTCCCAGACAACCCAAAGCGAAAGAGGGAGGTAACAATACTAACAGATCCAGAGTTCCAGCAACCAAAACATAGTCCACGAGTCTGAAGTGCAAGAGCTGAGACCAAGTCCAAAGTTCAAGGAACAGGATGAAGCGAAGCTCCTTTCCTCAGCTCTCCTTGTGAGGAAGAGCGGGGCTGCTTCCTCACAAACAACCTCACTGACCTTCTCTATGCCCCTCTCCGCTCTGCACTGTCTGCAGATCAGTGGGGGAGGGAGCAGTTCCTCGTCAGAGGTGGTCTGGAGCCTGTCATCTCTGTTGGCTCTCTGCAGCTGCTCTGCTCCTTCAGGAGGATCCCCGTCCACTTGGTTGCCCCCCCCTCCCGTCAGAAAGTCCTGGAACTGCCTCGTCCCAACCCCTGGACTCTCCAATCGTTCAGAGAGGGCTGTGTTCTCCCTGTTGGACAGTCCCAGCTCCAACTCCTCCTTCTCTAAACCAGGATCCAACAAAGTCATGGCCCACCATGATTCTTGCAGGATGAATATGTATGGAAGCGCCTGCAAGGGCATGTTATTGTGCAGCCTATGACCACTCACCTTTTTCTCAGCAGATACAGATTTTTCTCCCATTACTGAAAAAGATTCTATAACAGCAAATTTGGGTAGATGGTTGAAGTAAACGAAGGGAGTTTGAATGGCAAGTATTGGTAGGAAAAAGTGAGTTTTTAAATGCTCCTTCAAGTAGTGGGAGATGGCTATGTGTGGTGATACTTTTCTTATATACACTTCTATATTACTCTGTGCTTATAAAACTAATTTTCCAAGCTTTTCTGTTCTTTCAAAATGAAGGAGAGAAAGTGTCCAGTGTTCAGTAAAGTTGTCAAATCTCAGTGCAGGTAGGATTAGTTTACTTTTTGAAGAGTTTTGAGAAAAGGGGATAATGTTAGAGATTTCTTTCCTAATGCTCTGTGCCACTTTAGCAATTTCTTGGACACTAAGCTTCAAAATAAAAGGCATTTGTAGAGTTAATTGTAGAAACTCTTCCCATTTTTGCTTATTTCTTACAGGTACCGTTTACTGCGTTTGTCAATACCTGCGATTATCAGATGGCCTATCATCGAAGGTAAATACCATTCCACATAATGGACAGAAAGGAAAGTCATCAAAATGGTTTGGGGCCAGATTGGGCAACTCATGGAGAATTTGGGAAGCATGCAATGAGCCTCGAGACAAAATGGCTGCCACCCACAAACAGCCTTTCCTCAGTAGTTATTCTCAATGGAAACAAGGCCTTGCTGGATAATAAGGGGCCATCATAGTAGAGGTGCTGTTCACATTTGCTTTCTTGGGTTTTGAGGCTATCAGAAATGTTGTATCTGGAAAACAGCAAGTGAATTTGTGTATAGTCTGCCATCATGGAAGTAACAATTAAAACCTGGATTTCCTTTTTTAAAAAATAAAAGAATGGCTCAAGTAGCAAACCTGGCTTCTCTACTTTTGCGTTATCCAATAACAGGTAGTCCTTATTTAGTAACTGCAATTGGCAAACTACATTACAGACTATCTGTAATCAGTATGATAAAATTGTAATTTACTACATAATTCTGGCTGGGTAGCTATGGAATTGAACTTAAGTCAAGAAGCATATTTTTTTTCTAAAATGGTCATTGATTAATTACAATTAATTGTGGTTGGGTGTCCACATGTTATAAATATTAAAATTGAATCATATCTGTTGTTTTTCTTCCAACAGGAACTTACAAAAGAGTATGAAACTGAGCTGAATGAACTCTGGTAAGGCTATTCCATATCTCTCCAAAATATCTTAAAGAAAAAGACTTTACTCATTAATTAAATTCATAAACTGCTTTAATCTATCACAGCTCTGGGCAATTTACAAAATACAATAGTAAAAACAAGAATGTACATAAGTTTTTTTAAAAAGTCTGGAGATCGTCATCCAATAAACCACACAATCTAACATATGGAAGAAAAGTCATGGTTTAACGGCTTGTACAGCATGGGAGCTGTACAAACCTCAGGGAATGCGGCTTATTGAAATGCAGCATCACCCCAGCCAAGCTTAGACCTATAGGAACCGTCTAAGACAGGGCTGCCCAACTTTGGCAACTTTCAGACCTGCGGACTTCAACTCCCAGAATTCCCCAGCCAGCCATGCCTTGGTCTAGTCCAGGAGTTTAGGCCTCAACCCTCATGACCTCATGTACATTAGGGTTAAAAACAATAGGTTGTGCAATCCCATCCTTGGCCTACACCAATCCCTTTGGAGGCGATCTTAAGGTTGAAAACGCTTTGGAAGACTTCTCTGGATAAGTACAGTATTTTGGTTAGAGACCACTGTGCAACATTCTTTTGCACCCCAGGAGAAAATATTTAAGCGGTAATTCCATGGAAGTAAGTTCCACTGATTTCAATAAGATTAATTCCTGAGTACATATGTTTAGGATATTGGGGTCAGGGATGCTTCATATATCTTTTCCTGAATCTAGCATCCTTCAGATTCAGGAAAAATGCTTTAATGTCCAGGCTGATGTACGCACAATAATTGGCTGATGCATTGCAGGCCCAGCAATAGTCTAGCAAACAGTTACAATTACAGGCAGTCCTCAACTTATTGAGCCCAAAATTTTTGTTGCTAAATGAGACATTTGTTAAGTGAACTTTTTATGACTATCTTGCTACACTTGTTAAGTGAAACTCTGCCCTTGTTAAGTTAGTAGCATGGCTTCCCTATTGACGTTGTGTCAGGGTTCCAAGTAACACCCCCAACCAAGTAAGACTCTGAGGCAAGCAGTTCCTCAAAGATCCATTTTATTAGAGATGTCATATTGGCACATCTGGGAAAACCTGAATTTGAAAGTTCCCAAAAGAAAGTCAAAGTCCCTTCCCCTGCACCCACATGTCCATCACATGGTCCAATCAATCCACTGTCCCAATTGTAGATGCCTCCCAGTCACGCCTCTCCAGGTGCAGGCTGAACATCCTTGACTCTCAGAGAAAGAATGTTGTTATGGCTAAATAACTCTACCAACTCCATGCAAACCCCTTCCCACAGCACTAAGTGTGGCAGCCCTGAAGAGCCTCCAGGGCTGACACTTTGCTTGTCAAAAGGTTGCAAAAAGGTGATCACATAACACTGGGACACTGCGGCCTTCCTAAATATGAATCAGCTGCCAAGCATCTGAATTTTCATCACGTGACCATGGGGATCCCACAATGGTCGTAAGTGTGAAAGGTGGTCATAAATCACTTTTTTCAGTGCCATCGAACTATTACTAAATGAACTGTTGTAAGTCAAGGACTACTTGTATTACATTAGTCTACTGCAAAGATCCAGGCAACACTAGATGGAAGCAACAATAGAATGGCTTGTATCCTTTTGCTGCCATTTAACAGTTTTTCAGAGTTTTGCAGCCTGTATATACCATATTTTTTGGAGTATAAGACGCTCCGGACTATTAAGACGCACCTACCTTTTTTGGTGAGGAAAAGAAATCTGCCTCTGCCTCCCAGCAAATTTGCCTTGTTGCAGCAAACAACAAATAGCTTGCTTTACTTTCATTTTCATTTTCAGCATAGCTTGATTAGCACAAGAAAAAAAAAATCTGCTCCCAGCAATTTACCTCCTTGCAGCAAGCAGCAGAGGCCTGTGCAAAACAGCTGAGAGCAAAACAGCTGAGAGTCAGGAAGCCGATCCAATCAACTTGTGCTAATTAGGCTTGCTGAAGCTGAATTGAGCTGTTTCTTCTTTCTGCTTGCTGCAAGGAGGTAACTGCTGTGGGGCAGAGGCCAAAGAGTGGGGGCCAGTGGGTGGGTGGGGCTACATTCGGTGTATAAGACGCACCTAAATTTCCACCCCCTTTTAGGGGGGAAAAAGGTGCGTCTTATACTCCAAAAAATACAGTAATCCTGACACCTATTTTTTTTCCTCTTTATTCCAAGGAAATCACAACATCTGCTTGAAGAACAATTCCATGAAATTCAGGGCCTTAAAAAAGATATGGATGACATGCATTCTGAGATCGGCAGCATCAGGAAAGGCATCCTACAGTCCACAAAGCAAATCCTTGAGGAAAATGACTTTCCAGGAGAGAAGAAAGTAGGAAGCTGAAACTAATCTCAGAAATTCTCTGGTTTCCTATCTTTCTGGATTATCGTTTTCCTTTTCTCATCTATTGCTACCATCGAATGTCATTGGTTTTTTTTCTTTTATGAAACTAAGTTAGGCTTGTTCTCACACCCAGCCTCAAGACTACCAAATATGCTTAAAAATAGGGAAAGTAGGGAAATTTTTGAACCACAATGAGGGTCCCTTTCCTGCTCCAAAGGATGTGTTATAATTTCATACTGGGCATTAGTATCCCATACTGCATCCAGTTTTGGTCACCACAATATAAACAAGATTTTGAGAAAGAGTGCATAGAAGAGCAGCAAGGATGATTAGGGGATTGGAGGCTAAAACATACAGAGAATGGTTACAAAGTTTGGGTATAGCTGGTCTAATGAAAAGAAGGACTAGGGACGACATGATAGCAGTGTTCCAGGATTTGAGGAGCTGCCACAAAGATGACAGGGTCAACCTATTCTCCAAAGCATCACAAGGCAAGACAAGAAATAATGGATGGAAACTAATCAAGGGAAGAAGCAACCTGGAACTAAGGAGAAATTTCCTAATGGTGACAACAATCAACCAGTGGAATGGCTTGCCTTCAGAAGTTTTGCGGCCCCATTGCTGGAGGCTTTTAAGAAGAGACTGGACAGCCATTTATCTGAAATAGTATAGGGCCGTGATGGCAAGCCAAGGTTTGCCATCATGGCCCTATAGCCCTCTCTGTGGGCACGCGAGCCGTCGCCCAGCCCATGCACGCATGCCTCCTGCCAGCCAGCTGATTTTCTGATCTCTGGCGTGGGGGCCGGGCACATATGGGAGACGTGTGTGCATGCGTGGGCCCTCCCGCAGCCCATTTTTGGTTCCAGGAGGCTTCAGGGAGGCCTACTAGGCCCAAAACAGGCTGTGGGGGGTCGCGTGCACATGCGGGGCGGGGCAAGAGAGTGTGGAGGGTCGCATGCGTGGGGGCCGTGGGGAGCGCGGGTGGTTGCACACGCATGTGCAGGAGAGTGCAGGGGGTTCGCGTGTGCATGCGCGTGGGGGCAGGGCACATGGGTGGGCATTGCATTATGGGTGTGGGCACGCAAGCACATGACCCCCCCACACCCCATGCTTTTGGCACGTAATGGCAAAAAGGTTAGCCATCACTAGTATAGGGTCACCTGCTCTCGAGGAGGAGGTTGGACTAGAGGACCTCCAAGGTCCCTTCCATCTCTGTTATTCTATGAAAGGACTAAATAGGTTTGCATAGTGTACAGTTAGCTTTTTTATATGCTTAAATGTCTTTAACAAGGACATAGTATGCTCTGTATGATGGGTGTTATCTTGTCTGCTTGGCTAAGGATGTGCCAGGTGTGCAGTGCTATTGGTGCTATTTATAACTTATGGTATCTAACATATGTAACTGATATTTGTATAAACCATTCCCCTGATGCATTTTTCTTTTCCCTTACAGGAAATGCTCGATATACTTAATTTGGCTTTTAAGAAGATTTTTGAAGACGATATACAGAGGGCTGACTGGGCTCAAAAGTCAATAGGTAATGCCCTGACAAGATGGAGTGGCTTTGGGTTTGCAACTCATGACCAGATGTGCCTTTGCATAAACTGCAAGTTGTGCACCAGTTACACCCAGTTCTGGATCATGAGAACCTGGTTGCCCTTGAGAAGTATCTGGAAGCTTCAGTTGATTTAAAATTCAATGGTCCATATAGTTTTTCACAAAAGAAGATTTGTGCATGTATCACCTCTTTTGAGGGAACTTATCAATTTGCTTCTGGATGCAACTCAAGGTGCTACATATCACATTTAAATCCCTACAAAGACAACCTCTACTCAGTTACATCTTCCTGGCCCACCAGAGTGGGAAGGTAAAGTATGTTATGGGTTCCATGTATTAGGGAGGTACATCTTGTGGGACCAAGGAGAAGGGTTCCCTCAGTAGTAGCTCCCTCCCTTTTGGAACATCATTCCCTCAGAAATAAGATTGGCCTTCACCTGGTTACTTTTTTTGGAAGGCTTGGTTTTGTCAGCAGGCCTAAGGACCCCTGGTTGATATGGAGCCAACTGAGTTTCTGATGTGAGTTTGTGGTAACTGCCACTGGAGAGACGGTTAATGGGGTTTTTACACTGATATTTTAATGTTGTAAGTTGTCTGGAATGACTGTAAGAGTTGGGCAGCCATATGAATACAGTATGTTTAATAAATAGATATATATTGAAGGAAATGTGTGCAAATAGACACATTGAGCAAACTGGTATGAGAATTGAATAGAAGTGAACTGAAGCTTGGAAAAAAATATGAAAGTGACTTGAAATCATATTTGACAGATTTTTATCTTTCTACACTAAACTCTACAAAAGATGAATTGCTATTGGATAATTATATATAGGAATGTAAGTTCTGATGAAAAGTTTCTTTATATTTTACTCTGTACTTATTCTAGCCTTTATAAAAGTATCATCTATCTACATGGAGATTATTTACGAAGGAACTGATACTGGGAAATTACATGTGAATAAATGTATTTTCTGATATGAAATCTCTTTGTATTTTACTCTCAACTAATTCTAGACTTTTTAAAAAAATTCTGCCACTTAGCTTCATGAGAAAATACATCTATGTGCTCACTAGGAATGGAAAACAACTTGAGATTACATAATCCTCTGTCTGTCTATCTAGGAGCCACGATCGATAAAGACAGGACATCTAAGACTTACGATTTTTTGCACCAGGAATACTGTTGGTTTCCATTTATCTCCTCAGCCAACCCCCCTGAAACTATTTTAGAGGTGCAGTATTTCTATCATTGCTATTAATTAATTTAGTAAAATAGTACAATTTCTCAGCTAGAAAAATAGTACTCTCCTCTGAGTCCAGTTTCTATCTCATAACTACATACCAGGGGTGGGTTCTACTTACCTTTACTACCGGTTCGCAATGGGATCGTGCCTACACTATAGCCCTTGGATTTCTTAGAGGTTTTATATTCCAGTTCAAAATGTTGATAAAATCTGATTTCACTTAATTTAAAGGAAAGCTCAGTGCATCTTGTTATGTTCATTATGCACACATTTGTGTATGGCTGTGAAAACTTTTTCTGCAGTTCTTCAGGGCATATTTTGTTCTGACTTGAAAATATAACTGTTACATTTCATTGCATTACACTAAGGCTGAGTTCACAAATTACAATAATATGATTTCGGTTGGTTTAGAGCAGGGTGAGGGATGCACAAAACTCTCCAGCTCAAAAATAGAATATTCCAGAGAAGAGCAAAACGTTCCCTTTTTCCTCTGAATGTTGTTTCTGAATGTATATCTGGAATAGTTTGTGAAGTTTTGTGTTGCTGTCTTTAAAAATATTTTAAACAATGGCAAGAGTTGTGATGAGACCAGTGGTGGGTTCCTCCTGGTTCCACCCGGTTCCGCCGAGCCAGTAGCGGTGACGATATGATGTCACCGAACCGGTTCTGTCCACCCGCCCACCCACACATCCACCGCGTTATTCTTACCTTTTTATTTGGCCCCACCCCCAATCTATTGCTGCCTCCTGAGTCCCAGCTGATGGCTAGAGGGAAAAAAACTGGTTAAACTCTTGCCGCGGGGCTTCAAAGGGCCGGCCTACAGCTGATCAGTGTTAAAAGAAAACAAATGAGTAGACTGGCGCCTGCAAAAATAAATCGGTAGACCGGTGCCTGCAAAATTAAATGGGTAGACCAGTGCCTGCAAAAATACATGAGTAGATCAGTGTCTGCAAAAATAAATGGGTAGATCAGTACAGCTCTGCAAGCAGTAAAAAGCCTGGTACCTCTGGACCAGTACCTCTGTAACATCCTAAATAATTGTCACATGACCATCAAGCCACGCCCACAAAATAAGCCACACCCACAGAACCATTAGTAAAAAAATTTAGAACCCACCCCTGGACGAGATGACACAGTGGCTAGAATGCAGGATTGCAGGCTAACTCTGCTCACTACCAGAAGTTCAGTCCCGACCAGCTTAAGGTTGATTCAACTTTCTGAAGTAGGTAAAATGAGGACCCAGATTGTTGGGGGCTGCTGATGTTGTAAACAGCTCAGAGTGTGCTGTAAAGCACTGTGGAACGGTATATAAATCTAAGTACTATTGCTATTGCTATAGTGTAGACCAGCGATGGCTAACCTTTTCCAGACTGAGTGCCCAAAGTGTGCGCATGTGCGCACAAACCCCAAAAATACAATGCGTGTACAGGCCTTGTGCATGCGCATGCGCCACCTGTATGTGCCCACCCCTGTGTATGCACGTGCTCCCTCTGCACTCACCTGCTCCCCCAGACATGTATGTGCAGCCGCCCTTCACATGCCCTACTCCCGCTATGTGCCCCACCCCCCGCACTTGTGCGGCAGAGACCCAAAGACCAGCTGGATGGTGGGAGGTGTGCGTGCATGCGCAGCAGAACTGAACTGGGGTGACGCCTCGCATGCCATCAGAGAGGCCTCTGCGTGCCACCTCTGGCATGCGTGCCATAGGTTCGCTATCACGGGTTAGACTGTTTCTTCTTATTTATGCCTTCTGGACATTGGGAAGCAAAAGGAGAATTATTTCCCGTTTCTATAGAATTCTTCATTATTGGGCTTCAGAATGGAAGAAAATGGTCCCTTGTATATTTAGTTGTTGAAGCATTGACTGCTGGTGATAAATGCTTGGGAGCATGCCATCTTTAGTAACAATCTACCAATCTTCCAGGAATATTCCTGTAATGGGCTTAATCCCATCCATCCCCTTTCTCTGTTCTTTTCACCTTCTACTTTCCTCGCTTTATTGTATGTAATCCTTTTTCCCAGTTCATCATCCATTCCTTTCATTTCTAGGAGGATGCAAATAAAAATGTTAGAGATCCTGGACTTTTCTTGCCCATTCTCTTCACTAATCTCCTCAGTGACATTAAAAGGCAGATAGAGAGAAAGAGAATGAGAAAAAGAGAATACCTCATTCAACAGGGAGAAATGGGGCAAGAATGACATTTTCCGGATTGCAATTGATTGGAAAATTTACACTTGAAAACGCTATTTACCCACTAATAGTTAACTTTGCTGGTGTATCTGACTTCTTAATAAGCCAGAAAAAACACAGCTTAGAGGTAGAAGCAATTTTGTCACACATTCACAATAAAGTTCACCATACTCCTGGAGAAACCCCAGTTGTTATTGTACTCACACATAAAATCAATCTGCAGCAGGAGTGCTATTCAGCAGGTTCTGACAGGTTCTGGAGAACCAGTAGCCGAAATTTTGAGTAGTTTGGAGAACCAGCAAATACCACCTCTGGCTGGCCCTAGAGTGGAGAGGGAATGGAGATTTTGCAGTATCCTTCCCCTGCCACGCCCACCAAGCCACACCATGTCCACCAAGCCACGCCCACAAAACCGGTAGTAAAAAAATTTGAATTTCACCATTGATCTGCAGGACCTGAATTCTGTTGAACATCTGTTGAACATTTTATTTATGTGAATTGTCTCCTGTTTGTAGCCGGATGTTAACCCTGGAAACTGCTGGGCATTCTCAGGATCTGAAGGCCAAGCAGTAATTAAACTGCCTGAAAAAGTCCAACTCACAGCCATTACAGTTCAGCACATCTCTAAAGCAATAGCTTTTTCAGAAGGAATCACAAGCGCCTTAAAAGATTTCTTGGTTTATGTGAGTACAACACTGTTTTAACTTATCTTATATCTTTCCTCTAAGGTGCATTAAAAGAACTCTGATTTAGGAAGCACTAAGGCTACTAAGCCCTTGATATTGAGCTGATATATGATACGGAGCCATTCTGGTATAGAGGTTAAGGTGAAGGATTAGAAATCAGGGCTCCGAGTTCTAATCCTCGCTTTAGTATAAAGCGTATACCGGTGGAGTAACTTTGGGCCAGACATTCTCTTGCAGACCAATTCATCTCTCAAGGTTCTTGGGAAAAAACGGGAGGTGGGAGTATTATGTACATACCTTAAATTGTAACAAATAAAAGTAGGATACAAATCTAATAAAAATATTAATTAATACATTAATTTTGGTTATGCAAGCTATTGTTCCCTTCGACAAGCTCTTTGTGAAGGGATTAGCATATGATACACTGCAAACTTCTCTAGAGTTTGGACTGGTAACCTATCAATAGAGGCTGGATAAACTAGTAATATTTGCAGTAATGGGCTAAATGCAGGGGTGGGCTTCAAAAATTTTAGCAAGGGGTTGTCTGCCCAATTGCTGGGTGGGCGTGGCCATTGTGGGCATGGCCTAGTCAGCCTCCTGCACCATGGTGGGAGGGGCATTTTTGCCCTCCCCAGCTCCGGAAGCTTTCCTCAAGCCTCCGGGAGGGCGAAAACGGCCTCCCCAAGCTCTGGAGACCAGAAATAGGCCCTTTCCGGCCTTCCCGAACTTCCGGTAGGCCTGTTTTTCGCTCTCCCCAAGCCTCCGTGTGCACCCTACACTTACCTTCATCCAAAATGGGCAGCGTGGGGACTCCTGGGAGAGGAGGGGAGGGTGGGCGGGGCCAGCCAGGAGTGGGATTTGGGAGTTTTCCAAACTGCACAGAATCTTAGCTAGAGGTTCTCCCGAACCCCTGCAAACCCCCAGCAGCCCACTCCTGGCTAAATGGCCATTCCAACGGTAGGATTCTAAGACAAGCAATAGTGTCTCCCCAACTCTACCAGCTTCCACCCTAAGTAGTCTATTTCTCTTATGCAGTGATATGGCCTCGCCTTCCCTGCTGTCTTTAATTCAGAAAATGACTAGCAGTTTCTTTGCTGCTTCTCATATAAATTCATTTAAAGATTGTCCCTTTGCCTACTCCATTGGATACTTCCATAAGTATCCAATGGATACTTTCAAGGGACATTTTCTGCCTTCATTACAACTTCTGTACAGAATAGCGATTTGGAATACAACATGTGGGAGGAGGATGAAATGGACAAAACTTTTGCCTGCTACTTCCTGAGAATATCAATTATCCAGATCAGTATGCCAGAATTGCTGAAAACCAGCAACATGGCTTTCTGACATAAGCCCTAACATAGGTATCTTAACATCATGTTAAAAACGAAGTCTTGAAAGCCCCTAGTAATAGTCAGTGAAAAGTGTACTTATCACACCACTCTCCGTAGCTCTCTGCCCATTTCATATAAAATAATTCCCCTCACCATTAAAAGATTGCCTGCCTGTCAAAACTCAAGACTTCCTTGTTTTATTTCTACATTGACCTGACCTCGTTGACCAAGAACTGCTTCTAGGTTGTCCTTCAGGGCCACTGCAGCATTCTACTCTTCTTTTGAATCTTCTACACTGATTCCCTTCCTTTAATTTTAGGGGCTAAATGATGAAACAAAAGAGGAGATCCTGCTGGGAACATTCATGTATAATACTGAGAAAGAACTAATTCAGACATTCCAACTGAAGGTAAACTAGAAATGAGAGAAGTGGGGTAGAGGTAGAACTAAAAATAGGAGAAGTAGGTGAGGTAAATGAGAGGTAAAACTGAAGAGGCCATGTCAGAGTGAGCTGTTTTGAAAGAACCTCTCCAAGTTCTGCCCCATCTCCTAAAAATTAGACAACTTTTAATTCAGTGTTTTAAGGAGTGGATTAGGCTAGAGCTGGAAAACCAGAGCCCCTCCTGAGGGAATGTAGTTTAGATAATCTGCGGCAATTCACCATACAGGTAGTCCTTGACTTACAACAGTTCACTTAATGACCGTTCAAAGTTACAATGGCACTGAAAAAAGTGACATGACCATTTTTCATACTTATGACCAGTGGTGGAATTCAATTTTTTTTACTACCGGTTCTCTGGGCATGGCTTGGTGGGCATGGTGTGGCTTGGTGGGTGTGGCTTGGTGGACGTGGCAGGGGAAGGATATTGCAAAATCCCCATTCCCTCCCCACTCCTGGGGGAAGGATATTGCAAAATCTCCATTCCCACCCACTCTGGGGCCAGCCAGAGGTGGTATTTGCCGGTTCTCCGAACTATTCAAAATTTCCACTACTGGTTCTCCAGTCAGAAATTCACCTGTCAGAACCTGCTGAATTTCACCCCTGCTTATGACCATTGTAGCAGCCCCATGGTCATGTTATTTATATTTGCACGCTTGACACCTGACTCACATTTATGACAGTTGCAGTGTCCCGGGGTCCTGTGATCAACTTTTGCGACCTTCTGACAAGCAAAGTCAATGGGGAAACAGATTCACTTAGCAACCATGTTAATAATTTAATATTTGCAGTGATTCACTTAACAATTGCGGCAAGAAAAGTTGTAAAATGGGACAAAACTCACTTAACAAATTTCTCACTCAGCAACATAACTTTTGGGCTCAATTGCGGTCATAAGTTGAGGACTACCTGTACTGATGGGAGCTAATGGGACACAGTTAAAAAAACCTTCTTTCTGATGAGTAACAATCCCAAAGCAGTTATATCAACATTTGGGAAACAGGTCTGCAGATATACAGTATAGGCTTTGCACTCTTCTATTAAACTGATAGAGCCATTCAAGATGATGACTTCATCTCTATTGCTTTTTATTATGTTTGTTCTTTTCCCTCATCTACGTTTCAGAATGAACAAGAGAAGACATTCCAGCATGTAAAAATCAAAGTGCAGAGCAACTGGGGAAATCCAGAGTATACCTGCATTTATCGAGTCAGGGTGCATGGAAGGATGGCCAATATAAACCTTTTAGGCAAGAAAGTGGATGAAATCTCCTAAAATAAATAAAGAAAAACAGGAATATGAACATTTACACTGAGCAAGTATAAAGAGCACCTAGAACTTGCTCTAGCTTTTCCCAGGGGAGAATGGGAAAGAAAATATGAGGACATACTAATGATGTTGAGTTATTTGACTAACAGATTTCAGTTTGATTTCAGTTGAAAATTCAGTTAGATTAGGCATGGAGTTGTTAAACTAATCTTGAGTTGCATGAATACTTTTGATTCTGTCCACTCTCTCAAAAAGATGAGATGACTGGAGGTGATCTCCCAATAAATATTTCAGTTCAGATTATAGCATAGAGGCAAATGTATTGTGTAAGAAAAAGACAGAGCGAGAACAAGAAAATCTCTTGTTGGAATATGACTTTGAAATATATTTTGAGAATTATCAGCCGGAGCTAAATTCTAGAATGTTTCTCCTCTTTCTTTTTTCTTTTTTTAATTTTAAAAACAAACTTTATTCAATATAAAAAGATAAAAATTGTACAAAATGTTCTTAACTCTAAAAATACAATTCTAAATTACATACAAACTAAAACTAACAGACAGGATTATCTATCTATAATATTTAAACATGTGAATATATATGTATATTAACCTTAATGACGGTGTATATTTGTTACCTTTAATTTCTTACTATATTTGACTTTACTTTTTTTTCCATTGATTAATCCATTCATACCATATGTCCCATATTTTGAAATACTATGAGTCTTCCTTATCGTTTAATCTTAAATTAATCTATCCATTTCTGTGCATATAAATATCTTTTGAATTATTTGCTGTTCTGTTGGCAACTGTTCTAATTTCCAGGATTGAGCTAGGGTTAATCTAGCCGCCGTGATTATATGTTTCTCCTCTTTCTGATGGGCTTGATGGAAGGAAGAATACTTCTTTCGTGACAGATGTTTAGCTGATCAGTGGTGTCTCCCAAATGAACATAACTAGCAACACAGTCCTATGTGTATCATTTGCAAGTAAAGTCCCAATGAACTAACCATATGCTGCTTATGGTCTGCCTGTAAAGGAAGAGAGATGGTGATTTCTTCTCTCAACAGTTCACTGTTTCTCTGTGTTCTGTGCGGATAAATGGAAGGATCTCATCACAGAAGAAGAGATGTCATTTCATCCTAGACCGATCATTCCTTTCTCAGAGTGTGACATTCCTTGTCATATAGCAAGATAACAGCCAAATCTGGCTCTAGCTCGTGCCCTGGCATGCACAGACCTCAATGAAGCAAACCGAGAAGGAGAGGAACATCAACATATACCCTGTTTTCCCCAAAATAAGACATCCCCTGATAAGAAGCCAAATCGGGCTTTTAAATGCATGGCAATAAGGCCAAGCGCTTATTTCAGGGTTCAAAAAATATAAGACAGGGTCTTATTTTGGGGGAAACACGGTACTATAGTATGAGAAAAAGCATACTGAGTTAAAATAACTTGTACATCTACAAACAACCTGGCTCTGTTGAGAGGTACAACCAGTGGTGAAATTCAATTTTTTATACTACTGGTTCTGTGGGCGTGGCTTGGTGGGCATGGTGTGGCTTGGTGGGCATGGCAGAGGAAGGATACTGCAAAATCTCTATTTCCACCCCACTCCAGGGAAAGGATACTGCAAAATCCCCATTCCCACACCACTCTGGGACCAGCCAGAGGTGGTATTTGCCGGTTCTCTGAACTACTCAAAATTTCCGCTACCAGTTCTCCAGAACCTGCTGGATTTTACCCCTGGGTACAGCCACTAGTATTAATGAGTGCACAAACTCCACCTTGATCTGCCAGTAAAAAATCTAGAGCCACAGGGTTCTGAATAACAATTTGAGACAATGAAGAGACTTCAGACTTCAGTTTGTAGTCTTCTAATGGTATCAAGCGATACTGGAATATTGAGAAAGGCAAATTCTAATTCAGCAACCCCCAACCCTGGCAGAAACCAAGGAGCACAGAATGAAAGGAAGATTTCCATTCCTTATATGTATCTGTATATATATCATATCCAAAACCAGTTATGCTTTGGGGTTTGACTGGTTTTTAGCTCAGCAGAGACCTTAAAAGTCCAAATACAATGAGTCATATTTCCAACAAAAATTGCCTTAATCTGGGAAGGCTTGCAATACATGCAGTATCCCCTGTATCAAGAAAAGGTGTAAGTATCCATATACTTATATCTTCATGAGTTACTCTAGTGACTAAAAATAATATGTATCAAGAAAAGCAGTGTCATAAGGAGCTTTCAACTAAGGAACACCCTCCATAGGTTGTGTACATACTGAGCAACCTTTCAGGAAGGTTAAATGTACAGCAAGGTTGGAGGACATATCATTAAGAAAAATATCCTTTCCACTCAGTTGGTGAACCTGGTGTAGTGTTGGCTGTCTTGTTTAACATGTTGCAAGCCATGCAATCCCTCTCTTCTATGGAGCAAAAAATCCTTTTTAGGAGGAAAATTGATTTGAAAACATAAATATAAGGCCAATTATTCCAACAGGTTACAACCCTCACAGTCTACCATGTCCAATCTTCTGCAAGTATTCCCTGGAAGGTCACGTGATAGGAGTACTAAGGTCTTGTTTGCCTATATGTGCATTGTAGATACATGGTACATCAACAATAAATACACACAACAGATGGAAGCATGCAAGTAATTTACATGCATACAGATCAACACCCAAATTTTCACCATCCCACTGATCCACTAAACTACTATAGCATCAGGCCTAGTATGAATTCAATCATTATATGGTTGTGTGATGCCAATCTGGTAGCTAAAGTCAGATTGCTCTTTTCAGCATCTGTAGTGATCAGGAAGAGGTGCAGTAAAAAAAAATAAAAGGACATTGCGGTTACTAAAGGCTAACCAAGTTCATTGTTGTATTGTTGGAAGAAATGTCCATCTGGGTTTGGTTCCAAGTGGAGAAAAAGACACCGGATTCATAGAAATTGCTTGGAAAGGTTTATTGATGAACAGAATCACATGGCTTGAGATCCTGGGAAGAAAAGGGAAGAGATGCTGAGTCCCTGGGTTTTATACCCTCTCTGGGTTTGAATTTGAGCTTGTGTTCTGATTGGTTATCAGACTCCCATGGGGCCATGCAGGGGTAACTTTGTAGGTTGTTGTTTCAGTCCCAAGCTTGGTTGACTCTTGCTGGATGATGATGTAGTGAAAGGGCTTTGGGCAATTCCTACTATGGCTCTGCCTGAAGGAGGTAGATCTTTGTTATGTAGAATAGACTGGCCCAGGCCTTAATGGCCCATTGACAAAGGTGGGGGGCTGAGTTTCTGACTCCCTTTTAGGGGAAATATTCTGCCCTTTTAATATTTCCTAAAATGTCTCATTTTCCTAGGAGAGGGGTGGGTGCTAACTTCCTACAGTATAATGTTCATATGTTTGGAGAATTCTTTCTGAAGTGGCTGCAGTTTCTCTTGACAGCTTCCTATTGAAGTCTACCGAATCAAAAGACAATCAGTAGCCATTATTGTGTGAAGCTAGGGTTCTACTTCTCACCAAACATCTACACACAATAGTGCCATGTTGATGTCATTGTGCATTTTCTCAGTTTCCTTCTGTAGTTCTCTCACTTGTGCTTTTTTTTTTTTTAATTTGATTTATATGCCGCCCTTCTCCGGAGACTCAGGGCGGCTTACAATGCGCTAAGCAATAGCCTTCATACTTTTGTATATTTATACAAAGTCAGCTTATTGCCCCCACAATTGGGTCCTCAATTTACCTACCTTAGAAAGGATGGAAGGCTGAGTCAACCTTGAGCCTTGGTGAGATTCGAACCTGCAGTGATTGCAGGCAGCTGTGTTAATAACAGGGTGCTCTAGACCACTGTACTATCAAGGCTCAACCTGCTTACCAAGAGGAAGGCAGGTTCTGGTTTCCACAAAGTTTCTGTTCCATAGACTAGGGGAGGTGAGTGGCTTCTCCACCTTGAATGACCTGTGGTCAGACAGGAGGCAGATTAGTTGTTAGAAAAAATTAGCTTACCAGAACAGGAAGAATTTGTATGCCTTAATTCCACATATCTTTTTCCTTTAGGGAAAATAAATCAGAAAAGGTTAGCATTGTGGCAATGTGTGCCATACTCATGTGGCGGGCATTGCCCCAGATGGCTGGTTTCCATACTGTGATAGGATAAAGGTGAAGCCAATAGTCCTAAGGCAAGACTTAAACTGCCCAGTTCATTCCTACCATATTTGCTCCAGCTAAACATGAATTTTAATATCTCCCCATGCTTAACTCCCTAGAATGAAATCTTGCAGAGCTCGGAGATACATGAGTACATATTCCTTGAGTGAATGGATTAGTTCCAGAACCAAAAGTTTGGGGGGGGGGATTTATTTTTGTTCTCAGGTAGACCATACCATTCCATGGAGCCTCTATCAAATATTGTCAAACTTTGTTTTTCTACCACCCTTTCACCCTTATCAGATGTCATGTTAAGGGAGAAAGATGTAAACATATTGTCATGACTTTAGGGTTATAAAGGGAAAACACAGCTAAACCCTTATCATTAGAGAGTGTCCCCCCCTCCTTCAGATTCCTTCAAATTTGTATTTATTTATTTTTTTGTTTCCTGGGGGGCAATGACACATTTTTGATTGATTTCCAGGTTTTTTGGGGGGGTGTAAATGCAAGAATAATCAACTTGTGATTGGGGCATCCCAGCATCTGCCAATGTATTTCCCATTGTCTTAAGCCCAAGATGAGGGAGTCATTTAATTAATTTCCTGATGAAAGATATCCTCATTTTCTTCCCAAGTGCTTTTCACTTCTTGCTGGCTTCTATAAAATTATTACAGAGACATCAAGAGAACAAGAAGCTCTCCCACCATCCATCCATATCCATTATGCCTTTCATTTTAAGTTCCCAATTTAGACATGCTTGCACTTCTAGCCGGCTAAACTGCCTGAGGGAACAATTTTAGCTCCCTTTTACACTTTCATGGGCACAAAGGAAACTAATGAAATGTCTGCAAGAAAAAAACCAACCCCAAGGACCCCTCAGAGGTGACTTGAGACGCTGCGGATGGGACAGCTCAGGCATCCTGAATATTATAATTAATATAACACAATAAACGCAGCACATAATTATGTATGTTGTGCCTATATTATATACAATTACTTTATTAGGAATCACTCTTTTGCATATAGAAAAGGCATTCAAGCTAAGTGGGGGGAGCGGTTGGGAAAAAGTAGGGGAAATCCTTTCCCGCTCGTTTTAAAATACAAAACGAAGAGATTTCAAGGCGCTTTAGAGTCGCTCTGTCTACTCCAGGGGTCTCCAACCTTGGCAATTTATAAGACTTGTGGACTTCAGTTCCCAGAGTTCCTCAGCTGGCTGTAATCAGTAATCATGAGGGACAAAAATAATGAAGAAATAGGAAAATCTATGGACAAGCTAAAACAACCGGAAGCAGATACCCTTTCGTATAGCGTCTGATATCGCTTGTCTTTATTCCTATCTCTATGGCTGGGCACGCGACTCGGAAGTGGCGTCCGCCCACGCCTCCCTCCGTCCCTCTCCCTCCCTCCCAGGACTGTCCTCTCTCCTCAGGAAGGTCGCGCAGGCGCAGAGAGGCGCGGGGCAGAAACACTGTCCGAGACCGAGGATGGCCAAGATGTCGCGGGGTTCGGGGTTGCAACCCAGAGACCTCCCCGAGGAGGTGATCGGCTACACACCGGATGAGAAGCTCCGGCGCCAGCAGCTGCGAGATCTCCGGCGCCGCTGGCTCAAAGACCAGGAGCTGAGCCCCCGGGAACCCGTCCTTCCCCCGCGGAAGCTCGGCTGGGTGGAAGGTTTCTGGCAGCGTTTCCTTCAGCCCGAGAGATTGTGGAAGAGACAGGTGAAGCCCAGGAGAATAGGGGGGGGGGTTCCCGTCGGGTTAGCCTGGGTGGTGCCTTCCGGGGACGGGGGCTGAGGACGATGAGGGTTGTAGTACAACATCTGGCCCGGGCACCAGTTTCAGGGAAGGTGCTCTACTAAAGCAAAGCAAAGTTTTAATCTTTTAAGATTGCAACCCTACATTTTATTAGGATTAAAGGACTCCCTGGTCCTCTGGATGTGAGATCCGACAAGTGCTACTACACTGAGAGCGTATGCACCAAGACAAATTCCTTATGTGTCCAATCACACTTGGCCAATAAAGAATTCTATTCTATTCTATTCTATTCTATTCTATTCTATTCTATTCTATTCTATTCTATTCTATTCTATTCTATTCTTATTTCTATTCTATTCTATTCCATTCCTATATCCTATCCTATCCTATCCTATCCTATCCTATCCTATCCTATCCTATCCCATCCCATCCCATCCCATCCCATCCCATCCCATCCCATCCCATCCCATCCCACTCCATTCTATTCCTATATCCCATCCCATCCCCATCCCCATCCCTATCCCTACCCTGTTTCCCCCAAAATAAGACATCCCCTGATAAGAAGCCCAATCGGGCTTTTGAGCACATGGCAATAAGGGCAAGCACTTATTTCAGGGTTCAAAAAAAATATAAGACGGGGTCTTATTTTTGGGGAAACACGGTATTCCTATTCCTATGCTATTCTTAGCAGACACATGTTATGATTTGTGTGGTTTTAATACCCACATACACAACCTCTTCTTGACATCTTGCTTAAAGATGCTTCTCTAGTAACTAGTGGTGTCTTTTTACAGTAGAGGACAGGTATTGAATCTGTAGGTCATTTGGTCATGCCATTCTCCCAGGAAAGCTTAACATTTTCGAGTTTTAAAAAGTGTGTTAAGGTAAATATAATGATATATATGGTAAGGCTCCCCATAATAAAACATGTAAATGTCCCTAGCAAATCAGATCTTCCTGGGTTTTGTTTATTGAGCTTTATTGACTGGGTTGGATTTAGATACTGCCCCTATTTTAGATTGCGTCTGAGTGGGGCATGATGTAAACAAGATAAAATAAAAGCATAGTAGAAAATAGAAAAAAAAATAAGAGATTGAAGAAAGGAGAATCACATCCATTAGCTGCATACAGGTAGTCCTTTGATTTATGACCACAATGGAGCCCACAATTTTGGTTGTTAAGTGAGACATTTGTTAGTGAGTTTTGCCCCATTTTACAACTTTCCTTGCCACAGTTGTTAAGTGAATCACCGCAGCTGATAAATTAGTAACCCAGTTGTTAAGTGAATCTGGCTTCCCCATTGATTTTGCTTGTCAGAAGGCCACAAAAGGTGATCACAGGATCTTAGGATGCAGCAATGGTCATAAATATGAACCAGTTGCCAAGCACCTGAATTTTGATCACATGATCATGGGGAATGCTGCAAAAGATGTAATTGTGAAAAATGGTCATAAATTACTTTATTCAGTACTGTTGTAACTTTAAATGGTCACTAAATGAACTATTGTAAGTTGAGGACTACCTGTATACTCTCCAAGGACAAAGGTGATAAATATTATTCAGTGTCCCAGTATGGCCAAAATAACAACAAAATATCTTTAATACATACGTTTGAAGTAACTCCATTGAAACCCAGGAATATTTTCTAATACAGTGTTTTTCAGCCTTCTCTTTTTGAAAATCTCTGAAAAACTAAATTACAACTGATGCAATTAAAAGGCACAGTGTTCTACAAAGGAAGTGAGGCCTGGGTGATGTTTTTCTGTAATATATCTGGGATATTTGGTGAACAAAACAGGCTATTTTCATAAAGGAATTGAGCAATATGTGAAAGTTCTTAATTTGGGGATAAAGAAAATTTATATAAAGTCTCTTAGATAACCACAAGCTGCAAGGCACCTTTTATCTTTCAGCATGGTGGAAAAAGCTGAGAAGCTTGTCTTTCATTTTGTGTGAATTTTCCTATCTGGACCCAACAAACTGATTTATGAAAACTTATTTGGAATGAATTAGCTTTATGGCATAAAATTATAGTTTAGTGCAGGATAAATAAATATGTACAGATAAATTTCTCTTACCTTGAGGCTATTCCAGAAGGCAAAGGAGATTTATTCCTACAGGATTGTATCATAGTTTGCTATTACATAAAAATAACATTAAACATAATTTTTAAATTTAAAAAAATTCAATGAAATTGTATTGATGTAATCAAGTGTCAAAGAACTAATTTTTAAAATTATTTTTAGGTATTCAATGTCTACAATGCTGGAAAATTTACTATAATTAACCTTATTATTCCTCTATGGATTGCACATTATATTGTAAAGTATCATGTAAAGGTATGTATGTATGAGGGATGTATCTTTTGGCTGATTTAATTCCAATAACATATTTTATTTCCGATATTAGAAAGCCTGGATGACTGAGAATCTCCATAGACATTTGGTAGTACGGTCCTGAATTGTGGAGTTGAAAGTGACCTAAGAGGTCACCAAATTGAATTCTCTGTGCACTGCAACATTCATTGCCTCATCCCTGATATAGGACTATCCAGCTTTTCTTTGGAAACTTCCAGGGAAGAGAAGATTGATAGTTTCTCCTGTCAGTATGTTTTTCTTTATCTCTTTGAAGTTTCATCCCATTAATTCTAGTCTTACTAGAAACAAGTGAGAATTAGTCAGAACCCTTTACAGGGTGAAGCCCTTCAAATATTTGAGCTAGCTATCACATCTCCTTTTAAACCTCTCTACTGCTAACCCAGGGGTCTGCAACCTTAAACACTCAAAGAGCCATTTGGACCCGTTTCCCACAGATAAGAAAACATGGGGAGCCACAAAACCCTTCCCGTGCCTGACTATTTCTTGAGCGGCCACAAAACTAGCATATGTAGTTGAATTAAACGTTCTGTTTTCTTCTGAAACTTTTCTTGGATTTATCCATGGTTGGCCTACCGGGGGTTGAAAAGCTCAATAAATCACATGTCGGTGGGTGTCGCACATTGGCGGTTGTGACACATATTTTGAGTGACAGGGAGCTGCAGCAGAGGGTGAAAGAGCCACATGCGGCTCCAGAGCCGCAGGTTGCTGACTCCTATGCTAACCTTATCTAGATCTTTTAATCATTTCTTGGCTTGTAGGACTTGATTTCCAATCTTTTCACCATGTTGCTAGCCCTTCTCTGGACTAGCTCCAGTTTATCAATATCTTTTAAACTGAGTTGTGGAGGACTGAACATGATACTCCAGATGAGGCCTAAGGCTGAATAGAGCCATCTGATATCTGTTTCTCTTGAGGCTCCTCGAGATATCACTGGCTTTTTTTTTTTTTTTTTGCAGCTGCATTACACTGCTGGGACATGTTGAACTTGTGATCCGCTAGTACAGTGAAGTTCTTATATATGCTGCTCTTGAGCAAGATTTTCCCCATCCTGTATATGTTTCTTTTATTTGTCTCACTTAGTGGCATTACATTTCTCCCTATTACATTTCTTTGTTTCCACCCACTGTTCCAGCCTAAGTTTCCCCCCAATCTCCTCTCCTCCCGAGTGGTAGCCATTTTAGCTAATGTATCCTGCCTTGATATCTGCTACAAATTATCCATTGTTCACTCAATAATCGTGAGCAATTTGGGTCACAGGTCAGAAAACTGCCCTGAGCCATGTTGATTCCACCATCATTTTCCATGGTTGCGGTGAGGATCTTTTGTTGGAATGCAGTGTATCAATGGTCCCCCCCCCAAAAAAAAAACCTGTAGTGTTTTTCATTAATACCTAGTGGTTCTGCTTTCGCTTCATCTGTCAACATGGCATTGTTCGAACAGCCTGCTATATCATCCATATTGTTTGACAAAACAAGCAGAGAGTACTGGGGTGAGAAATCTGCTTTCAACCACTACAGCAGTGGTTTCTTCCAGTGCACAGCACTCTTATTCAGAACATTTCTTACAGTGGATTTATGAACATTGGCATCAGAAAAAGCAAGAATGGCCTGCAGTTCTCGGGGGTTGTTTGGGGACCTAACAAGAGTATTGTACGTCTTGCTGTTGGGCTGAATATGTGTTGGATCACCATTCCTGGGAAGAATAACCATGTGTCCTTCAGGAAACTGACTCCACTGGAAGATTACCGTGTTTCCCCGAAAATAAGACCCTGTCTTATATTTTTTTGAACCTTGAAATAAGCGCTTGGCCTTATTGCCCAATTGGGCTTATTATCAGGGGTTATCAGTCTTATTTTGGGGGAAACAGGGTAGAGCTGTTTTTTCTTGAGATAGGCTAGTACACGGGTATCAAACTTACGACGTCCCGTTGCCATCACATGACATTTCACAACGTTTTTCCCATTTGCGGAATGGATGGGTGTGCATAATGCATCCGACACGCAGGCCACCAGTTTGACACTTATGTCAGGGAGGAGCCTGCTCAAGTCTCTTCTAAATACTTCTAATTCCCAGGACATAAGGAATTTTTCAGGCCCCTTCTATGATAGTTCTTGCCCATTTTCTTCAAGGTCATCTTCCCAACTTACTGCATTGAGTTACTGCTTTTTCCTTATCATGCAGTATTCGACTGACCATAGATTGATGGAGGCCAAATTCTTGCACAATGGTTTTATAGTTCTTTCCAGTTCATGAGCATTAGCAATCATACATACGTAGTCAGACAGACGGGATGAATTTTGGCTCAAGGTATTGCATAACAATACATTGTTTTATATTTGGTTTGAATTAAATTTGTAAATGGAACTAAGGTTCTAAAAATGGAATTACCTGTTGGATTTAGCCCCAGCTCTGCAGTAAAATTCAAAGTTTTAAATTAAAATAAAACTAATGAAGCACTTAGCATCAATGACGTACAGATGTTTCTGCAGTGACCTGGGCCTTTCTTTGAAACTGAAATAGAATCTTAGTGTGATCAGCTTCAACTTTGCAAACATCTGTTTGCTATATGCAAGACCTTCAGTTAACTTTTTGACCAGTACCCCTATTCCCCATTCTAATACTGCCATTTGACTGTACCAGTAATATACCATATTTTTTGGAGTATAAGACACACTTTTTCCCCCCCTAAAAGAGGCTGAAAATTTGGATGCGTCTTATACTCCAAATGTAGCCCCACCCACCCTTCGGCCCCCACCCTTCGGCCTCTGCATGTCCTCTTCCTTTCTGCAGAGATTGCCACCGACAATGGTTTGTGTTTTTGGGCTTCGCCATTGCGTTTGAGAGCCCTTCAAGGCTGCGGGGATCGCCAAAGCACATCGCCGCCGGTCACCGCCCGAAAACACAATGCGTTTGGAGGCTGAAAACGTGATGTGCGGTACCCAAAATAGCTACCAGGAACAGCTGCTGCCTTATCTTATCCCTTCCATGCTTTGCCTGCTTTAGTCACTGGAAATCTCTCCGACAATCAGCTGTACTTTTGAAGCTGTTTTTCAGCCCCAACTAGCGCACGCTCAAAACCAGTAAACGAATGTGCTGAAGCTGACCAGGCTAAGGACGCTAGCCAGGTGAATACCTGGTAGGCAGAATTATTTTTTTTCCCTATTTTCCTCCCCAAAAACTAAGCTGTGTCTTATACTCCAGTGCGTCTTATACTCCAAAAAATACAGTATTTAGTAAGCACCTGTGTAACTTGGGAAATAAAAAATAAAAAAGCCTAATAAAAAATGAGTTCCTCCTATTCGTGAAAGTGTCTATATTCTGATTTTAATTGGTTGCAGAGAATTTTGCTGAGAATACATTGAGGTCAAATGTACTGATTCCATAGTATAAGGAATTGGAAAGATACTAAGATGGGAAAAGTCTATATGATAAATTCCAAAGAATGTCCAACTTATTACTTACTGTATTTTTCGGTATATAAGACGCACTTTTTCCCTCCCAAAAAGTGGGTGGAAATGTCTGTGCATCTTATACAGCGAATATTGCCGAAGCCCCGCCCACCTGCCGGCCCCCAACCTTTGGTCTCTGCCTCCCAGCAATTTACCTCCTTGCAGCAAACAGCCTGGTCAGCTTCAGCACAGCCTGATTTAGCACAAGCAGCTGACTGGCGGTTGGATCGGCCTCCTGGAATACCACCTATCAACTGTTCCAGGCTGCAGGGATCACCACTGCCCGTTGCCGCAGTCGCCGCCCATCGCTGCTGCTGCCTATCATCACCTCCGCATGCCCCAGTTTTGGCCTCTGCGCGTCCCATTTTTGACCTCTGCATGTCCTGTTTTTGGCCCCTTCCAGGCAGCGGGGATAGGTGGTGGCAATCCCTGCCGCCTGGAACGGGCCAAAAATGGGATGCATGGAGGCAGAAATGGGGCGCATAGAGGCAGAGATAGGCGGCAGCAGGAATGGGCAGCGATGGGCGGTGGTGATCCCCACAGCTTGGAACAGCTGATCAGCGATATTCGGGGAGGCCCCAACCGCCAATCAGCTGCTTGTGCTAAATCAGGCTGTGCTGAAGCTGACCAGGCTGTTTGCTATTCACTGCAAGGAGGTAAATTGCTGGGAGGCAGAGGCAGATTTTTTTCCCCCTTGTTTTCCTCCCCAAAAGTTAGGTGCTCTTATACTTCGGAGCGTCTTATAATCTGAAAAATATGGTACTTCATAATCATTCTGCTGTTTTCATTTGCAGGTTACTCCCCATGGTATTATTGAAAAAAAGCATACAATATATCCAGTAAGTTGTCTTCTAATATTCTATGTAACATCTATTTGTGTAAAAAAAACCCAAGCCACCTAAGTTTATAAATTAAGGAAAATATAGGCTTATTGTATTTCATTTAATTTTTGCCTTTAAATCATTTTTTACTAAGGTGACTTGCAGTTTTCTTGGTAAGGCTCTTCAGAAGTGATTTGGCCTTTCTTCCTAAGGCTTCCTAAATGCCTCTCTCTGAGGTACTAGCCCAAAGTCACCCAGTTGCTTCGTGCTAAGACAGGACTAAAATTTGCTCAGTATCTTTAATTCCTTCCTCAGTCAGGAACATCTACTAAATTAGAAAGGGAACACAAAAATATTCTTTGAAAATAATGGATATGTTGCTTCATTGCTTAGATGGCATTAGAATGTTCTCTGTAGTAGCCATTTCTTTAATTCTGAATACTGAACTCCAGTTACAAATATAGGTTTGAAGTAGACATTTACTCTTATGACCTGTAAAAAGATTTATTTTTATGGCAATACAAAGTTATTGTGGCTAACACTGTTTGTCCTACACCATGGGTGTCAAACTTGATCAGGTCACATGACGTATTGTGACTTTTGTCTTTGCAAAACAGTTGGGCGTGGCCTGCACTTGATGCATCCGGCCCATGGGCCGCCAGTTTGACACCCCTATCCTACACCAATTTGTTATATAACGAGGATTTCTAAGTTAAGAAAAATGTCCTGCATAAATCATGCATAAATAATTCCAAATCTTCTGCAAAACAAAAATGTGGAGGTACTTAGAATATGTTTTCCTTAAAATATTTTCATATTCTGATTTCTTTTTTTATTATCAGGGAGACAGGATGGAGGAAAAAGGAATTCCTCCACCATCACATGGAACTGCAGCAGAAATACCATTTTGTGAGGACTGAGAGACTCTTAAGACCTGTAAAATGAAAACACTTACTTTACTGTTTCCTATGTAAATGAATATATAATTCAAAATGGACAATAAGAAATTTAATGATTTATGGCTAATGTGTGTATATGTGAGAGGCAGTGCTGGGATGGTCTCTAAGGGTAGTCACTAATCATGTATAGATACTGAATCCAACAACAAAGTATTTTGGTTATTGATAGGCCTTAGAAAACATACAACATAGAAACAACATTAAAAGATAAGTAACATGAAATAAAAGATGTACATAGCAGCCAAAGAAGATAAACTTTCTTCATTCAGGTAAGCCACTTTGAACCCTGAAGCTATTGACATCAAAGTTTCAGTGAGGAGACCATTGTAAATATATCCAGAACAAATAAACAGGAGGGTTAGTGCTTACTGGTTTACTAAGCTTGGAGAAAATTTAATTTAATTAAGTCTAGTAAGGGCCTGTTGACTCTTGATGGCTGTTAAGCAGATTTGACATTGAAAGAGTACATCAGCTGAAAAATGATAGGGATAAAAAGCAATTAAGGTCTGGGTATTGTATCAGAGAGGAAACCTTTTCTACAAGAGAAAATCAATATTCTAAAGAAATCTTTACCAAAGCACCAAGCCATTTGCAGACAGGCAATCACAAGCTGAGATTCAATCAGATAAGAAAAAAATGGTCGAGAAATCCAAGCATCGAGATAATTTATGAAGGGAAAGTCACTGATAACAACAAGGCATGACAAAAAGACCCAAAAAAAGAATTAAGTTGGATAAAAATTTTACCAATTCCTCTCATCTACTGTTGTGATTACAATTGACAAAAATAATGATGGAGAGAATGGCACCACAGAAACTAAACCTTTCAGCTAGTTGCCAACTAACCGATGGTCTTTGTTTTTACATCTGGCACAAATGAGTTGGTTGATAACTCAAAACTCAGTGTGAATGTCCTTATTCTTGTGATTCCCCTTTCCCCAGCACAACAGTCTCTATTCTTGTTTTAATATTGTTTTTAACCATTGTTAAGCTCCCACTCCCCCGCAAGTCATATGCCAGTGGGCAAATATACAAATTTAAATTCTAGATTAAAAATAAAAATTATTAAATTCATTGGAAGGCCTACTTTCCACATCAGCTCAGGAATATAAATTATTTATTTTTTCAGAAAAGTGCATTTTGTAATCTGGCCTTGTGTTTATGTCTACTGCTGCCTCTTCTTTTTTTGTTTTCCCCTGCTGTGATGTTTCCTTTTCAAGTCATGGTGGTCTCTGTTGGAATGCTGCACATTTTTCCAATCATCAGCTGAAACTTCAGAGTCTTGAGGACAACTGAATAAGGTCAAGAATTATCCCAGCTAATGGCATGACGTAGCCAACAATAACAAGTTGTCCAAAGAATTGCAGCTATCATCATTCACCTCTACATTTGCACAGGACGGTGGCCCCAAAGCATAATGGGAATTATAGTTCAAAGGTTTATTGCTACTGTAATGTGTAGAGGGTGTGTGTGAATTGGCAAGTCCACATTCCCTGCACTCAAAAGGGATAAAAACGACGTTCCCAATCTTTTCTTACCAATACAAATCAATTTATCAGTCAGTACGGATACCAAAAGAGAAAGAAGGGCTCTTTAATGCACCATCATAACACGTGTTTATTATGAATAAAAACTTGATCAAAACTAATTCAATGCAGAAGTTCCTGCTGTCCTCTTCCCTTTTCCCTTCCCATTCATTCATTTATTCAATCAATCAATTTATATGCCATCTGACTCCCAACAAATTTAGGCAGTTTACAAAATGTTAAAACACACCTAAAAGAAAGAAAGAAAACATAAAAGAAGACAAGGGAAACAAAAAAAGATGGGAATGGTAGCTAACCAGATGGGGAACAGAGAAAAGATGTGGGCTTCAATCATACTTGCCAAATGCAAAGGCAAGATTCTTCTCTCTGATGTCCCAAAGGTGCTTTTTCAAGAGGCAACTGGACTTTCTGGTTTTTCTTTGAAGATGTTTTGCCTCTTATCCAAGAAGCTTCTTCAGCTTCAGAGGTTGTCCTTTGGGACAACCATGACCTGGATGACTGAGAATCTCCATAGACATTTCTCTCTGATGAAACTTGGAAATTGAGTATTTGTGCTGCTTTGTATTCCTTGTTTCCCTAAGGGAATTTTTGTCCTTGGATGCTTTGGGAGGGGCTGGGGGGGTGGAATCCAGTAGGGCAATGGGCAGGGCTTATTTGGATGAGGCTCAAACCTTCCACCCCAATTTATCTCAGGTAATTAGGGTTCTGCCTTGGGAGGCAGTGTCATGCTTATGACCTATGTGGGAGCCCTCCAAAAGCCAGGGAAAAAATGTTACTTTTCAAAATGTGATCAATAAATAAGATAAAAATTTTGACTTCGGTGAAGGGATAGCCAAAAGCTGAACTCTATTTTCTGGAATACCAAAGATTTCAACAGACTTCCACCTCTGCAATGTGTTTGGATAGGATAGTAGCCAGGGACGATTCTACACACCTATTTGAAAGTAAATTGCAGAGGATCTAGCTACCTTAAAACCTTGATGTTCTTGGCAAGATGGGGAAGGGCAGGGATTTAATCGGGAGGATGAAATCAAAACAAGGAAAAGCGACATATTTTTGCTGGTGACTGACGGGGGACATTTGTCCCTGCAGTGATTATCACTAAGTGTTGTATCTTACGATTTATGATGAATGTATTTTTTACAATGACTATGATCATGATTTATCACTTATTGCTTGTATGCACATTGAGAGCTTATGCACTGAAGACAAATTCCTTGTCTGTCCAATTACACTTGGCCAATAAAAAATCCTATCCTATCCTATCCTATCCTATCCTATCCTATCCTATCCTATCCTAATTCCTATTCTACTCTATTCCATTCCTATATCCTATCCTATCCTTATTCTATCCTATCCTATCCTATTCTATTCCATTCCACTCCATTCTATTCCTATATCCTATCTATCCTATCGTTATTCCTATCCTATCCTAATTCCTATTCTAATCTATTCCATTCCTATATCCTATCCTATCCTATCCTATTCCATTCTACTCCACTCCTATATCCTATCCTATCCTATCCTATCCTATCCTATCCTATCCTATCCTATCCTATCCTTATTCCATTCCACTCCATTCCATTCTATTCCTATATCCTATCCTATCCTATCCTATCCTATCCTATCCTTATTCCTATTCTACTCTATTCCATTCCTATATCCTATCCTATCCTATCCTAATTCTATTCTATCCTATTCTATTCCATTCCACTCCATTCTATTCCTATATCCTATCCTATCCTATCGTTATTCCTATCCTATCCTATCCTACCCTATCCTATCCTATTCCTATTCTACTCTATTCCATTCCTATATCCTATCCTATCCTATCCTAATTCTATTCTATCCTATCCTATTCTATTACATTCCACTCCATTCTATTCCTATATCCTATCCTATCCTATCGTTATTCCTATCCTATCCTATCCTATCCTTATTCCTATTCTACTCTATTCCATTCCTATATCCTATCCTATCCTATCCTTATTCTATTCCATTCCACTCCATTCCATTCTATTCCTATATCCCATCCCATCCCATCCCATCCCATCCCATCCCATCCTATCCTATCCTATCCTATCCTATTTTCTACCTCAACTCCGTCTAATTTCAGGGGATACCTAGGAATCTCCCTTCCCGAAGGGGAGGGGGAAATTTGGCTCCCTTAACAAAAATGGCTCTCCCGCCCTTCCATTTCCTGCCGCTCCGCGAACGTCACTTCCCGGGAGGTGGGGGCTTCCTGAGCTGAAGCGAAGGCGGGGCGCGAGCGGGAGCAGTTGGGCATGCCAACGGTAAACCGCCGATCTCTGGAATGGCTCTACTGGCTGGTAAGGCGGTGCTGCTTTCTTTGTCTCCTCTCCCCACCCCCCACCCCCAAATTTCTTTTTTGTTATTTGAGGGAGCGGGACACGGGCTCTCCCCTACAAAGGAAATCCCGGGAGGCCGATTTACGGGTTCAATCCCGCTGCTCAAAAGCAAGGAGTGGTACGGGATCTGCCCCATAAATGGGGGGGGGGCACTCTCTGTCTCGGAGGAAGGGGCCTGGGACACCCCGCTCCCCCACGTTTGCCATTCAGTTGAAAACAACTCCCCTCATGCTGGCTGAAGCTAAGCTTTTGTCTCCAACCTCGCATTTAAGAGCTTCTCTTTTAAGCCTCTAAATCAGGGATCTCCAACCTTTGCTGGCTGAGGAATTCTGGGAGTTGAAGTCCACAAGTCTTAAAGTGCCCAAGGCTGGAGACCCCTACTCTAAGTAACAGACATTTTTTAAACGAATTCACCCAATGCGAGAGACCCCGTGTGGTTGCTGTTGCCTCAAGGGTTAGGCTTTACTATTAGCGTTTCCTTGAATACACTTGCAACTTTTAAGAAACATACTAACCTAGTTGGAAAACAGCAATGTAACCCATAAGTTTGCCACTTGGGGGAATGTTACATAGAATCAGTTTTTTCTATTATTCAAGTCTCGGTGCCTTTTCTTGTTTGACCCCTTGCTTTCTGACGTATTGCATTACACAACTGTGTACTTCGTTGATTTCTGTACCCTATAAATGGCCTTTGACACTAACCCCCCCCCAGCTTAAAAATGCTTTTTGCTTTCCTTGAATTACTTGGTGATCTCTATTTTCTGGTGGACAAAGAAGCCTTTTTCTCTGTCTTAAATTCAGGGATCAGGTTTTTATCAGCTCCTCACCCAGACTTCCCATGGAAGTCTCTAGGTTGTCTGGAAACAACCATATCTCCTAGGCATCCCCCTGCTCTTGGCGTTTGAGCAAGTTTCCAATTATAATAATACTGGCATTTCACATCCCCTTTTCAATCTCAATAGCTGAGCTCAATATAGGGGAGCTCTATCAAGAGTTTACAGATGTGTCAAACTACAAATCAGAAGCTGAGATTGTACAGAAGAGATCACTAACCTACTTTAGACCATGGCTTCTTGCCTTTCTCCCTTTCTCTCCAACTTTAAATCAAAGACTAGGCTTCAGTTAAGTTTAAACAAATACGGGCTTTGATTTAGTCCTTTATAATAATGTTTCTTCAAGCCATTTGCGTGCCTGGCAACTGCCTGGAGAAGTTGCTGTGGTTTACATGGCAACGTTTTCAAAAATAGCTGGCTGGTTTCTCCTTGCTAGGGCTGAGAGAATTACTGGCCCAAGATCACCCAGCTGGCTTCCTGCTTGAAACAGCACTAGCACTGTCTCTTTCTTAAGGGTGAGCACATTTTATGTTTATCGGTAAATCTCTGGAGGATTTGAAATTTAATCCACACATTTTTCTGAATCCCTGCTGTCTAACAGTTGCAATCATTAAAAAGCCTGTCCATCCTTTCAAACTATAAAAAATATAAATTCCTGAGAGAAACAAAATAAAGTTGAAAAGACTTGTGAGCTTTGTTCTAATCTTACCCCAAACATCTGAAATAGGCATGTACTTTTTGGCTTTTTTGTTAAACTATGTTTACCTATTATTTTAGCCCTCAATGTCATTACATTTTGGCTTTTTTTTCTGCCTTTGATTCTTGACAACTGTCTGGAGTGCCTGCTCTTTTTCTGGCAATATTTTACAGGTACTGGGGCTTCCTTCATGGGGCTGAGAAAAAAATGAGTGGCCTAAAATCATCCAGCTGCGCTCCATGCTTAAGGCAGGACAAGAACTCCTAGACTCCTAAATTTCTAGACTGGTGCCTTAACCACTAGACCAAACTGGGACCAATTCTGGCTTTCTGGGATTTAAATTAGACCATTATGTACTGTAAACTATGTTTTATAATTTAGCAAATTAAATGCAAAAAGCAAACTATGATTCATTCAAGAGAAGTGGTTAACATAAAACTTATTTTTGCACAGTAATCACTGTGGTTTTGGGGTGAAGGTATTGGACTAGGATGGGGAGAGTCAAGTTCTGATTCATTCTCGGCAATGGAATTTCACTATATATCTTAAGGCCAGCCATACTCTCTCAACCTAACAGGGATAAAATAAAGACCTTCATGGAAACTGTTGAACTTCTGTGGAAAAGGCAGAATGAATGTTTAATAAATAGTAACACTACAGTACATAAGCATGGTCTTAGTAAGACACTCATATGACTCACTTCAGCCTCTGGGTTCTTGTAGGTAAGCTGCAGATTTGATTTTGGTGGTGGGGATGAAACAAATATAAAGAGAGGCTTGACATATCAAATGTAAATTCATATTAAGGATATTTTATTCTTTTCTTTCACAGATTCTTTTTACTATTGTATTGCTTTCATGGGGCTATGTCATTTATGCAACACGAATAGCAGGCAAATGGCAATTGAAGGAGATGTATCCCATACAAGCCAAGAATATTTGAGACATCTCCTGAGTGGAATACCACAGAAATACAAAGACATTCTATAACTCCACAAATAATAGTCTGCAAAAACATGAACTCAACTGGAGTGGCTGAACTGCAGGAGTCTAATTGAAGCTTCAGAAATACAGATAAAGATAAAAAAGCTGTGAACATCTGATACTCAGTACTATTAACACGTAACTGAGAAAATATCTTTGAATATAGTTTTTTAAAAAGAGAATTTTCCATTTTTTCCATTTTACTGCTTATTTCAATATGTTTCAGAAGAGTAAGTCTACAAGGATTACTGATAGCCCAGAGTCATTATTACGGAAAAATAACTAGATACTTTGTGCAAGAAAGTTTGGTTTGGTTTTCAAGTTAAAAGTTACACTCTTATACAATGCTTTTAATGGTACAGAAATAAATGCCTGGATATCTATCTATGTTCAAGTTATTTGATGCTATTCTGAAGAAAAATCCTCATCATACTGGTATGTTTCATTAAAAAATCCACTCTACAATGTATTGTTGAAAGCCAAGGTTATCTAATTAGGGACATTTTTAAAGGAATATTTAATTTTATTTAATAATAATTTATGCAAACTAAAGTGTAACTTTAGTCTATTTTTTTGCTTCACTTTATTATATCAATTAAAAGAATTGTTTTTTGAGTGCACCAATTGAGTGTTTGATAGCCAATCTTTAACATTTTGAATTTACTTGTCTAATTTCATCTGCAGCTTCTATAAAATTCAAGGTCAACTACTAAATCAGGAGTACTAATAGGTTCAATGGAAGTGTCAGTAATCTCTGCAAAACACCAAAAATTTGTCCCCAAACTAACGACCAATTAATCTGTAAGTATAATCGGTTAGTTGTATGTAAAATACCTGTATGGCAAGGCAACAATTTGACTTTTGGCCAGGGCATTCTGTTTTACCATCAGCCTTTACTGGGCAGGAAAACTCCAAAACTAATCTAGGTTTATAACCAGCATTAGTTGATCCTTGATCCACATTTGACCTGATTTTAAAAAATGTGGGCATAAATTTATGATCTACACATCTACTTCTCTTCATGTCAAAATGATGTGAACACATGTTGGGGTTCACTGCAGTAGCCAAGGGCACCTGCTTAAAAGAAATCCAAATTTTAGGGACTAGGCAAGGATGCATCCTGGCTCCATTATTGTTCAATTTCTATATAAATACACTTGGTGCTTATTTACACTATCTTTCACAAATCTTGACTGTTTTATGCAGATGATGGATAATTCTAAAACTCCTGTCCTCATTTGGCAATCACAATTGGGACAGATAATTTAATTGTTAAATGAGGGGGGTTGCTAATTCAAATGGCGATTGTGCTTAAGTTCTTACTTTGGCTTTCCTTTGTTTTACAGACCTGTGAATGTTGTAAATGAGATGATTGGTCGCACTTTTTCATTGCTATCATAACTGAACAGTTGCTGCACAGGGCAGATGCCAAACAAGAACTACCTGTAGATTTAGGAAGTGGTATATGCTCTTGCTACTTCCTGTGACAATCTCTTGTTGCAGATTAATGATAACGACAATACCAAAATAATGCTATTTACTAACAAGCACAAGAGGGTAAATTATCATGTGATCAGAGTTTACTACAGGTAACCTGACCCAGAAGTATATCAGACAATGATTATTTGATAAGAAACTGAGGCTAGTCTCATTCTACTGATGTGTTCTTAGAAAACCAGATATTTAGTCATAAGGCTGTCGGAGACCTTAATTTGATTTTAATGTCTCTAGCATTAAAAGAAATGAATGGCAGTTCATGACTTAGTAAGAATAGTCATATGAAGTTTTTAGTTGGGGGACCTACATAGTACACTAATCTAGTAAAGGCCAACCATGCCCTTGTGATATCAATTCTTTTATCTGGATAAATGGTAATGTATAATATCTTAACCCAAATGAGAAATATTAGCCCACTGATAATTTGGGCATACATTACTTTTAGCAAACCAGTTCTAGGTTTAGCTTTTAAACTGAAATAAGCATATAACAAAACCTAAACCAAGTCTGATCAGGGCAATTTTTTTTTTATCTTTGGGGAATGTTGTATCATGATATGGGGTTGATCTACACTTTTATCATTTAATGAATAGACTATATAAATAGAGAACAAAGCCCATACCTTTCTAAAACTGAAGATGTTATCTAGTCAGATAATGAAACAAGCAAATAACCAAACTCAGAAAACACCAAGGACTCCAAGGTCACATTTTAATTAATTTATTTCATTTAATGAGTTATTCCTTATGCCTTACAACAAAGTTAGAAACAATAGTAAACAATAACTATTAAAACATTAAAAACTATAAAAACTAAGGCCCTTTTCATCCAGCTATATAACGTAAACAATAGCACAAAGATACCTAAATATTGGTTAACGTACAAAGCAAAAAATTTTAACTAAGAGGAAAAATAAAGACTTTAGTAATACTTAACTTCAGTCCTTGAGGTATGACCCTATTGGAACCTGTCCATTAGGGTCGTAAGTCAAAAATGTCGTAAAATGAATCAGACTCAATTTTACAACATTTTAATTTAATTTATTAAAATTTATTTCATAAAACAAGTTATTCTTTATGCATTATAACAAAGATCAAAACAATAGTAAACAAGTAATTATTATAAAAACATTCTTCCTAACTTCCTCTTTTACCGCTTCAGGAGTCGAGAGATACAAAGTTCTGGTTCTTGTTTTTGGTTTTCTCATTGCATTTTTAATTAAAAATTAAAAATCAAGGTCTTTTCATATAAAGCTATATAATGTAAAAAAGATGTATAATGACATCTAAATATTGATTAAACTACAAAGCAAAAACTTGTAACAAAGAGGAAAAATAAGGTTTCTAAGAATATTTAACAAAGAATATATAGTAATTTAAGGCGGTCCTCTTAATTTAGTCTCTTCTTTTCCACTCTTCTTGGATCTTCTTTTCCCACTAAGGAGAGACATTTATTATTCTTATGGTTAGCAGCACCATCTCTGGAACCTGCAGAAGATGGTGATGCAGATCTACTAGCATCCGTGGCACTAAAGCTGCACAGTTGGATAGGCTGCTCTTTCTTCTAGTGCTATTCCCGAGTTATGGCAGGGTCTTCTCCATTTGGCTCGATCCAGTGCATCTTCAGGGGCAACACCCATGTATCTCCTATCCTTTTTGATGCGATTCACCCCCTTTTCTTGGACCTACCACAGAGTTGCCAGCCATCAGGATCCAGATGCATGGCTGTCCTCGTCAATGAGTCTTTACCTCGTAAAGGTTTGACATACTCAACAACACAATTGTCAAAAGAATCACAGCTGTCACCATTCACTTCTACATTTGCTGGTTGTGACATCTGCAACCCAGTTATGTTTGCAGAAGGCTCTTCATCAGCGCTTCCAGAGGTGTCTCAGTTGATGGAGAAGCATGCATTTGCTCTAAATTGGCATAAAATGGGCCTGGTGTTTCATCATCCCAGGGTGCCTGGCCTGTGTCACTTCTGAAAGCATTACGTTCAGGTACTTGGGTTTCAGTTTCATCAGGAGATACGGTAACAATAGAAGACTCAGTTGCTTCCTTCTTTACCTGCTGGAGCTGGACAATTGTAATTTGCATGCTCATCATATGCATCTATAGTAAAAGGACATAACAGCAAAGTTGATAAACTCATCCTTACTTTGGAATAAGAAAAGTTGTAATTGATTAGCACATGCCTTGCTTTCTAGAATCTAGATCAAACTTGATTAAATTATGCATTATTATACGTTATACATTAATGGGAGAGCCATGAATATCCAACGGGACTGTAAGTTTGCTTTTAAACCATGGAAGCAGCCTCTGAAGGCAGGCTGGATTCCTAAAGAAAATGACATCTCTATAACCCCCCCACTACTGGCACTTCCATCTATAGGTCCAACAGAGGATGGTGATGCAGAGCTGTGATTCAGATGTGTTTCTTTTTATCACACCTTGTATTAGGGATCGTTCCTTCATAAACAATTTCAACGCTTGGGCTTCTTGACCATTTTTTCTTCTTGAGTCTCAGCTTCTGTCTGCAATGTTAGCTACCTTTCCACAGATGGCCTGGGGCTTTGGTAAAGATTTCTTCAGAAGCTTTAGGCTTTCTCTTGTAGACTAAGTTTCTTTGCTACCTCTCTGGTATAATACTCAGATTAAAATGGCTTTTTAATCCAATATTTTAGTTGATGCACTCTTTCAGTGTCATCAAATTTTGCTTAACAGCCATCAAGAGTCAACCGGACAACCTTACTAGACTTAATTAAATTAGAATTAAATTAATTTTTCTCCAAGCTTAGTAATAACAGTAACCATTAATCCTATTTATTAGTTCTGGATATTTAAAAACAATTAGTCCCTTTTAATAATTTAAACAATACAGCCAAAAGACAAACACAAGTAGATGCAAGCATTTCGTATTGACTCATCAGTACCTATATTACAATAACAAAGTTAAAATCAGCCTCATAGTTCTGGATATTTTTTTTTCCCCAAATCATTTTTTATTTTAAAACAAACAAAAAAAGAAAGAAAAATAATACAGACATAATTCATTCATAGTTCTGGATATATTTATGATGGTCTCCTCACTGAAGCTTTAGTGTGAGTAGCCTCAGGATTCAAAGTGGTTTACCTAAATGAAGAAACTTTAACTTCTTTGACTATGCATTCCATTTTGTTTTCTCTTTTAATGTTTCTAAGTTGTATGTTTTCTAAGACCTATCAATAACCAAAATAAAGTACTTTGTTGTTGGATTCAGTATCTATACATGATTAGTGACTGCATTAGAGACCATCCCAGCTAGCAATGCCTTCCCGATAACCCCACATTAGCCCAAAATCATTAAGTCTCTTATTGTCCATTTTGAATCCCATCCCAGTTGTTGAAGGCACTTCTGAATTGAAAAGATAGCTACTGACTTTACCGTTGACCTGGGGACGCCTAGTTGAGGGTTCCTTTCATGTCCCCAGCAGAAGCTGGAGTGAAGGATGGAAGTTCACCCCATCCCACAGCAGCACTCGGGTCTCAAATGAAGGCTTGCTAACCTCCAATGCAAGCCACTGTGCTGAATTATACGTTCATTTATATAGGAAACAAGTTTTTAGTCTCTAGGTCCCGGAGTCTCTCAGTCCTCACAGATTAGTATTTCTTCTCCAGTAGCTTGTGGTGGTGCTTCTTTTTCCTCCAGCCTGTCTTCCTGATAAATGAAAAAAGTTACAATATGCAAATATTTTAAAGAAAACATGTACTAAGCACCTCCATGGCTTTTTTTTCCAGAGGAAGATGTATTATTTATACATAAATTATGCAAGATATATTTTTAACTTAGAAAACCTTGGTATATGACAAATTGGTGTAGGGCAAACAGTGTTAGTCACAATACCTTTGTATTGCCATAAAAATAAAAAATATTACAGGTCATAAGAGTAAATGTCTACCTCAAACTTGCATTTGTGATGAGCTAAATATTCAGAATTCAGAAATGAGTACTACAGAAAACATCCTAAAGCCATGATGGTGAACCTATGGCACGCCCATCTGAAGTGGCATGTGGAGCCATGTTGCCTAGCATGCGCAGCATTGCCCGTTCCTCTCCTGGGTTTCGGGCACACATGCGCACGCGATGATCAGTTGGTCTTTGTGCGCGCGGCAGTGCCGAAAACTGGAAGAGCTGGTCTTCCATTTTCCAGCGTGAGCATGTGTCGGCCATCTTATCGTCACATGCGCATGTGCACCAGAAATCAGAAGACTACCTGGCCAGCAAATAGGAGGAACTCATTTTTTATTAGGCTTATGGAAAATACCTGTATGTTTCTTATTTGTGCCTATCAGCACGAGAGTGAATAACACTGATTCTTAACAGTGAAAGAACAACACATTTCCCAAGTTACACAGGTGTTTACTATATCTATTACTGGTAGTCAAATGGTAGTATACCAATCAACTGGTAGTCAAATGGGAAGAGTAGTACTGGTCAAAAAGAGATGGAAGTTAACTGAAGGTCCTACCAACAGGCAAACGGATGTTTGCAAAGTTGAAGCTCATCACACTAAGGTTCTATTTCAGTTTTCAAGGAAAGACCCAGGTCATTGGAGAAACATCTGTACATGGTTGATATTAAGTGCTTTGTTGGTTTTATTTTAATTTAAAACTTTGAATTTTGCTGCGGAGCTGGTGCCAAATCAAACAAGTAATTATATTTTTGGAACCTTCTATTAACAAAATTAATTCAAACCACATATAAAATATTGTTATACAACACTTTTAAGCAAAATTCACTCTGGGTTTTTTGGTAGTGATTTGTTCTCTGAGCTTACCATTTAGCTCTTACAGCCTGCGTAGCGCAGGTGAATTTATTCCTGCTCAAGCAGCAGGCGGAGGCAGAGCCAGGGGGAAAGGCAGGTGATCCAGACGTGCTGTGCAGGCAGTGGGAAAGCAAAGTTGGTAGCTGGAGCAGCTGGGTGGCTCATCTTCACGCACCAGCACTGGCAACACAGGCACAGGGGAGACAGGTGATTGCGATGTACTATGTGGCCTGCTGGAAAGCCAGAGATGGTGGGGCTAAGTGGGCGGGTAGCTGTGGGAGGCTCATCTTTGTGTCACTTGGCTTGCCTGCGGCCCATCAGGATTACCTGCCGTCTCCCCATACCTCTGCCTTTGTTTGCTGCTTAGACAGGTAATCAACTCACCTGCGCTGTGTAGGCTGTGCAGCCCGAATGCATCATGGGGCCAGCAGGATGCGGCTGCTGCCAGTTGGCTCCTGCACGCTTACCGCTTCTTCTGCTGCATTAGGGGTGGGGCACCCAGCTGGGCTGATCACCCTGATATTGTGTTTCCCCAAAAATAAACTCTAATGAGTCTTTTGGAGCAAAAAAAAATATTTAAGATCGGGTCTTATTTTTGGGGAAACACGGTATAAAAACCAAGGCCTTTTCTTAACGGAAGATGATGGAGAGGAATTGGTAGGATTTTTATGAGACTTCATTCTTTTTTATTTCTTTTTGTCATACCTTCTTGGATCAGTGACTTTCCAAACTTCATAAATACTTTCAATATTTGGGCTTGTTTTTTTCTTTTTTCCTTCTTGAGTCTCCACTGGAGATTGCCCGTCTGCATTGCTAGCAGCTTTTCCACAAATGGCCTAATGCTTTGGTAAGGATTTCTTTAGAGCATTGCTTTCTCTTGTAGAAGAGATTTCTTTGTTATTTCTGTGGGTCCTCTCCTAGTAATTACATTTTATATTTCCTTTTCCCATATATCATTGCAGAATGTCCTCTATTAGGACACCTGGAAATTCCTGATCTACTGTTAGATCAACTTCTTGATCTGCTGCCAAACTGGCTTCTGGATCATTTTCTTAATCTACATCTTTCATAAGGCTGACTTTCCATATCAGCTCTGGAATATTGATTAATTTATTCATTCAGAAGATTGCTGCATTCTGAAATCTGGGCTTGTAAACTGCCTGTAATACTGTGCTTCAGCCTGAACAGTAAATTTCTCTTTTTAAAAAATAAAATATTCAAGGATATTTTCCCAATTTTTCTCAATTATATGTTATTAGTGTGAAGTATCACAGTAAATCTGTATTTCTGAAGCTCCAATATTGCTGCAGCTTAGCCACTCTAGTTTGGAATGCAAGTTTTTGCAGATTATTATTTATGGTGTTATAGAATGTGCTTATATTTCTGTGGTATTCCACTCTGGAGGTGTCTTAAATATTCTCTGTTTGTGTGGGATACATCTCCTTTAAGTGCCATTTGGCTGCTATTCGGGTTGCGTAAATGACATAGCCCCATGAAAGCAATACAGTAGCAAGAAGAATCTGTGAAAGAAAAGAACAAAATAACCTTAATATGAATTTACATTTGATATGTCAAGCCTCTCTTTATACTTGTTTTATCCCCACCACCAAAATCAAATCTGCAGCTTACCTACAAGAACCCAGGGGCTGAAGAGAGTCATATGAGATGGGTGTCTTACTAAGACCATGCTTATGTACTGTAGTGCTACTATTTATTAAACATTCATTCTGCCTTTTCCACAGAAGTTCAACAGTTTCCACGAGGGTCTCTATTTCATCCCTGTTAGGTTGGCCTTAAGATATATAGTGAAATTCCATTGCCAAGAATGAATCAGAACTTGACTCTCCCCATCCTAGTCCAATATCTTCACCCCAAAACCACAGTGATTACTGTGCAAAAATAAGTTTTATGTTAATCACTTCTCTAAATGAACTGATGTAAGTGGAGGGCTTCCTGAAGTTGCTGAAAAAGCAAGTTCTCACCTACCAAAAGAAAAAAGAAAAAAGCCTTGGCTAACAAGAGAAAAATGTGTTTTCTGAAGGTTAAAAAAAAAAAGAGGCCTAGACTGCCATGTGAAAAGTGCTAATATTACCTTTAAAAATGCTAATAAAAATAACGCTATTAAAATTTGAGGGGTCTCTTGCATTGGGTGAATTCCTTTATTTAAAAAGTGTCTACAATCTGGAGACTAAAAGAAAGAGAAGCGACGTTGGAGACAGAAGCTTGGCTTCAGCCAGCATTGGGGGCTGGGGTGGGTGCGGTCTGACTTTCAAGGGAATGGCAAACATGTGAGGGGAGTCCCAGGCCCGTTCTTCCGTGACAGTTAGTAACTTCCTCCCCACCTCCTCAATGTATGGGGAAGATCCCTCACGGCTCCTTGTTTTTGAACAGCGGGATTCAGCCCGTAAATCGGCCTCCCGGGATTTCTTTGTAGGGAGAGGCCGCGTCCCGCTCTCTCAAACAACAAAAGAAATGACCGGGGGGGGGGATGGAGTGGGAAGGGAAGGAGGCAAAGAAAGCAGCACCGCCTTACCAGCGAGTAGAGCCATTCCAGAGTTCGGCAGTTTACCGTCGCCATTCCCAGCTTCTCCCATTCGCGGTCCACCCCTCGCCTCACTCAGGAAGTGATGTTCGCTGAGCGGCGGCAGGAAAGGGAAGGCGGGAGAGCCATTTTTATTAAGGGAGCCAACCCCCCCTCCTCCTCCCCCCTCCCTTCCGGGAAGGGAGATTCTCAGGTATCTCCTGAAATTTGATGGTCTCTTCGATTCTTCCGAACTGCAGGGACAGATGTCCGCCGTCGGTCTAGGGCAAAAAATATGTCGCTCTTCCTTGTTTTGATTCCGTCCCCGCCCCCCACCTCCCGATTTATCCCCTTCCCCTTTCTTGCCAAGAACATCAAGGATTTTAAGGTAGCCGGATCCTCTGCAATTTACTTTCGAATAGGTGTGTAGGATCGCCCCTGGCTACCATCCTATATCCAAACTCATTGCAGAGGTGGAAATCTGTGGAAATGTTTGATAATCTGAGATTAATCGGGGGGGGGGAGAGCAGCCTCTTCCAAATAAATCTTGGTAATTGCCAGTGCGGGTCTCCCCCCACCCCGCTTCTACGGACAAAAACTCCCTTAGAGAAATAGAAATCAACAATTTCCAAGTTTCCCCAGAGAGAAGAACCTTGCCTATGCATTTGGCAAGTATGATTGAAGCCCTCTTCTTTTTCTTTGTCCCCCACACCCCCCGGGTTAGTTATCGTTCCCATCTTTGCTTCTTTTTTGTTTGCTTTCATTTATGTTGTTTTCTTGTTTGGATGTGTTTTTAAGATTTTGTAAACCGCCCAAAATTGCTGGGAATCGGATAACATAACATAATACTAAATAAATAGGAAGGGAAGAGGTCAACTTCTGTATTGAGTTCCAATTCTGACCGAGTTTTTCCTCATGAATAAGTACGGTCATGAATAAGTGCAGTCAAGAGCCTGGCTTTTTCCTTTGGTGTCCTTTCTGACTGATAAGTTGATAATTATGGGAGGAGAAAAAAGATTGGGAACGTGGCTTTTCCCCTCTTTCGAGTGCGAGGAACGTGGACCTGCCGACTCCCCTTTACACATTTACAACAGCAATAAACTTTTGAACTATTAACTCCCGAGATTCTTTGAGGCCGCACCGTCCTGGTCGCTGAGGCTTAATGGGAGTTGAAGTCATGGAGCCCTACAAGCTTTTAGCCTCGCCAAGGAAGCATGGGTTTAACCGTTTTCGTTTTAACTAGCAAAGGAAAGAAAGCGCGGCATCTTTGGGCTGCTGTTGAAACAAACAAGTAAATAAAGAAAGTGAAGCTCAAGCATGCCGAGGTTTTTTTTATTTTTTATTTTTAAATTAGTCCCCTCCCCCTTTTCCCCTTCTAACCCGGAAAGTGACTCCTCCCCCTGCCTGCCACTTGGATTGTGCATCCGGTTTGGAAAGGACGGGGAAGCAACTCGAAGCAGCGGCAGCCGCAGCGGCGGCAGCAGCAGCCTTCTCATCAACTGTCTTTCGGTTGTGCCGCCGTCCATGTGTGACCCCCGAGAGCGACGGAGCCGAGCCGCCGGCGCCAATGGCCGTCGCCGCTGGCACCAACGGTCCAAACCGGTAAGTGGCTTCTTTTGGGAGGAGGGCGGCCGGCAAAACTCTGGATCTTCCGGACACTTTTCCCCATTAGTTTTCCTGAGGAGGGCGTGGGGGGGAGAGCCGAGCGAGGTCGTCCGTTTCTGCTCCTGGCTGAGGGTCTTCATGCCCCGAGACTCGTTTTAACGGTCTCAGCCAACGGAACGTTCGGATCTCTCCCCCCCCCCCCCCCCCCCGTTTCCCTAGGTCATGGCAAATCGAACTCGGGGTCCCTTTGTGGCCGCTGATTGGCTCCCGGGATGCTTAAATAGCAGCTCCGCTTGTCCCGATCTTCAATTCCTCTTCGTCCTGGCGAGGAAGCGGCGGTTTGGATAATCTCGGAAGCACCATTGCTTTGAGGATTGCCAGGCTTCAGCTCTTTGCCCAGCCTTTGGCTCTTAGAGGCATCTCATAGTGAAAGGACACACAAGTGACTGTTCTTCTGACTTAGAGGCACCGTTGCCTTGAAGATTGCCCAGCCTTTGGCTCTTATAGGCATTTCATAGTGAAGGAAGACGCAAGTGACTGTTCTTCTGACTTAGAGGCACCGTTGCCTTGAAGATTGCCCAGCCTTTGGCTCTTATAGGCATCTTATAGTGAAGGGAGACGCAAGTGACTGTTCTGACTTACAGACATTGTTGCCTTTAAGATTGCCCAACCTTTGGGTTTTAGAGGCATCTCATAGTGAAAGGACACACAAGTGGCTCTTCTTCTGACTTAGAGGCACCATCGCCTTGAAGATTGCCCAGCCTTTGGCTCTTATAGGCATCTCATCGTGATGGGAGATGCAAATCAATCTTCTTCTGACTCCGAGGATTTGGGAAGCTCCGTTAGTATTTTATAGCATATCTGCTTTTTGAGAGTTTTAATGCAGTCAGCCATATCCTTTCCCAGATTTCTCATTGCTGATGAAAATAGAATAGATTAGAATGGAATTCTTTATTGGCCAAGTGTGGACACACTTGTGGAGACACAAGAAATTTGTGTCCAGTGCAAAACTCACAATATAAACAGCAACTAATAGGTCATAGGTCATATATCATAGTTACAATCATGAATGAGTTAGAAACAACAACTAGAATCTAGGTGGCGCAGTGGTTAAGAGTGTAGTACTGCAGCTACTTCAGCTAATTGCTAATTCAGCAGATCAGCAGATCAGATCTCACCGGCTCAAGGTTGACTCAGCCTTCCATCCTTCCGAGGTGGGTAAAATGAGGACCCAGATTATTGGGGGCAATATGTTGTTCATGTTGTCTTTGTTGTAAGCCGCCCAGAGTCCTCGGAGAATGGGCGGCATAGAAATACAAATAATAAATAAATAAACAAACTGATAAATGGTTATTGAACTTGCATGCTACCCATATCTCAAAGACTTTGGGCAGCTCACATAACACACACAAATTTCAGTAAAGTTAGTAAAACATGGAAAGTAAAGATAAAACAATCCAGGCACAGGGTAGCAAGGAATTTCACTTTTGTTACCCAAAGTTAACAAAAGGTTGTCGTGCCTCTTCTAAACAACAACAGCGTGTGCCCATCTAATCTAGGAGTGGAGAATATATGTCGGAATGAGGAATAAAATAATTTAGCCTTGTAGGAAACAAATTTAATCTTATAAATTGGTGATATTTTTATATTGTAGTTTTCAATACAAACACATAACTCATGTCAAGCTTACATTGATTATTGCATTTCTTTTCCATTTTCAGGGCTTGATACCCCTGGCAGATTTTTTCCCAAAGGATAATTCAGTCTTATCTGGCATCAACAGGCTGCATCAGACAATGCCAGAGGAAATATCTCCAGATTCTAAGTGCCCAATCTGCCTGGACATGTTTGAAAATGTGGCCTACTTGGATCGTTGCTGGCACAGATTTTGCTTCCGGTGTGTGTTGGAGTGGTCCAAAAACAAAGCAGAATGCCCACTCTGTAAACAGCCCTTTCATTCCATCGTGCATAGCATGAGATCTGCAGATGATTACAAGGTGCATTCTGTGAGGCCTTCAGAAATGGAATCTTTTGCTAATCCTAATGGGAGGCGATTCCGTTACCGAACTACGTTAACAGGAGAACATCCTGCAAATGTTAATTCCCAGAGGTCTTCCTCTTCTCGAAGGACAATGTCTTCCCCAAATTGTGGGATCTTGTTTGAAGGGTTATCAACTCAGACAACAAGGCAGAGAGATGCAGAAATGCATCAGATGATCAGACGGCTTGCATCAAGGCGACAAGCTAGTTTGGAAGGTAGATTTATGCGGCACATTCAAGAGCAAGAGATGATTAGCTTTCGAAAAGCTCTGTATCGTTCTGGCACACGTGTGAGAAGCATTGAAGATGGAGGGCGTTATAGGGACATATCGGCTGAATTTTTCCGCAGGAATCCTGCCTGCCTTCATAGGCTGGTACCATGGCTAAAACGTGAACTTACGGTCCTGTTTGGAATTCATGGATCGCTCATTAATATAGTTCAGCGTGTAATAATGAGCAATTTGAATAAGTTTGACCTGGAAAGCCAGGCATTTGCCAATGAACTACAGCCTTTCTTACTGCAAAGCACAGAGCATTTCTTACACGAATTTATAAATTTTGCCAGATGTCCATTTAATATCGAAGCGTATGATGAACACGCGAACTACGATTGTCCGGCTCCATCAAGAGAAGAAGGAAGTGCATCGGAATCTTCAGTTATTACAATATCACCCGATGAGACAGAAACACAGGCACCCGATTGCAATGTTTTCAGAACTGATATAGGCCAGGCACCCTGGGATGACGAAACACCCGGTCCCTCCTATTCTAACACAGAACAAGTGCATATTTCTTCATCAACTGCGTTAAACACTTCAGAGAGCTCTGATGAAGAGCCTGCTGGAAATAGAACAGGATTGCAGATGTCACAAGAAAATATAGAGGTGAACGGTGACAGTTGTGATTCATCGGACAACTGTGTAATTGTGGACTATGTCAAACCATTAGCTGAGAGAACCCCCGAGCTTGTTCAGCTGTCCTCAGACTCTGAAGTTTCAGCTGATGATGGGAAAAAGGAAGATACAGATAAAGTGCAGCCTATCCAATTCTGCAACTTTAACCTGACAGATGTTAGTAGATCTGCTTCGCCCTCGTCTACTGGATCCAGAGATGGTATTGCTAATAAGATTAATGAATATCTCTCCAATGAAAAAAGAAAATCGAAGAGCGAAAAAGATGAGATTAAATTCAGAGGAGCCTCTTCTTTGCAAAGCTTTTCTTCAAAGGAAGCCTGTTATGGATACAATTCATCAAAAAGAAGGAAACCTGAATCGCATGTGCAGCATTCTGACAGAGAGCATCACAGTTCGAAAAGGAAGAGGAAGCATCGCAGTAGGGAAAAACGAAAAAAGAAAAAAGACGGCAGTAGACATAAGCACAAAAAGAATAAAAGGAGATCAACCCGAGAAAAGAGTACGTCCCGATCTCTTTCTCCAAGTAGTGAAAGCACTGAACTGAGGGATTTAAGTTGGTCACGATTTCAAAACAGAGACTATAGTGGAACTTCCAGGATTAAAGACATGGATTATTATTTGAGAGACGATTATTCAAAAAGCAAAAAATATGCTTTATACAATCCAAATGCAGTCAGAAGTTATGAAAGACATAGATCGAGAAACCGGTCAAGAAGTCGATTTAGCAGCCGATCAAGAAGTCGATCTAGCAGCAGATCAAGAAGCCGATCTAGCAGCAGATCAAGAACTTCCAGGCATCATGATAGAGGACGTTCTGAAAAGCCGGGTGGGAAAAGGAAATATAAAACACGTCACTTGGAAAGCAGCCAGAGAGGTAGCGAGGAAACCTCTTCTGTAAGAGAAAGCAATGCTCTAAAGAAATCCTTACCGAAGGATCAAACCATTTGTTCAAAAGCCACCAGTGTTGTAGACAGACAGCCTAGAACAGAGACTCAGCACAAAAAGAAGAAGAAGCGGTCAAGAAGCCCTAGTGTGGAAATCATTTATGAAGGTGTGTGTACATCAAAATATGACAAAAAGAAACCAAAAAGAATTAAGTCTAACAATCTTACCAATTCATCTGCATTATCTTCTGTTGTGATTACTATTGACAGTGATAGTGATAGAGAGAATGTTATTACAGAATCTAAAATTTTCAACCAGTTGCCAACTAAGAGATCATCTTTGTTTTTACGTCTGGCACAAATGATAAATGGCAATTCACATTGCCAGCTACATTCACCAGAGCAAGATGTGTAATTTTTTAAAACTTTTTTTTAAAAAATAGATTTTTTCCTCTTAGATAGGTTAAGCCTTAGGTGTAGAGGTAGACATAGATTTTTTTTTCATTTTTAATGTTTTTAATAACTTGTTTGCTATTGTTTTTAACTTAAAGAGAAAATAATTTGTTTTATGAAATAAATTTTATTAAATAAATAAATAGATAAAATAAAATGTGACCTTGGAGTCCTTTGTGCTTTCTGAGTTTGGTTTTTGGCTTGTTTCATTATCTGACTAGGTAACATTTCCAATGCTAGAGAAGTATGGGCTTATTTTCTATTCATTAAAAGTGGCAATGTAGATCAATCTGGTATGATAAAAATATTCCCCAAATATTATTTTTTTAAAAAAGCTTGCCTTAATCAGATTTGGTTCAGTTTTTGTTATATGCTTATTTTAGTTTAAAAGCTAAACCCACGACTGATCTGTTAAAAGTAATGTATGAGCAAATAATTATCAATAGGCTAATATTTTTCATTTGGGTTAAGATGTGATACATTACAATTTATCCAGATAAAAGTATTGACATCAGAAGGACATGGTTGGCCTTTATTGGATTAGTGTTGCCCAATTAAAAACTTTGTAAGACTTATTCCTCCTAAATTATAACAAGTAGATTAAATTGGGATTTATTTTTTTAATGCTAGAGGTCTCTTGAAAGGAAAAAGTATGCCCATGTATGTTATTTTTGTTCCTTAGCTTATGTGACAGTCTTCAAAGGCTTTAATGACGATTTAATCATTTAAAACAGTTAATACCTTTTAATAATTTAAACAATACAGTCAAAAGACGAACAGAGGTAGAGCATTTCGTATTGACTCATCAGTATCTACATTACAATAACATGGTTGAAAATCAGCCTCAAATATAAGACCTAGCAAGAGCATTAATTAAGCCTATAACGTATGCAAAAAAGCAGCCAATGACAAGCCACAGGAGGCGCAGATTGATATAAAACTGCTTCTGCACACATAAGGGAGGTTTTAAACAGTTAATAGCAACAGCCTCAGCAAAACGCAGAAAACGAGAGTTCCTGTGGCCTAGTAAAACTTTAAACACAAAGTTTGGATCCACCTGGTGGCCCATAGATAGTGTCTTTGCAGTGGCCGAAGAAGGCATTTTATGGCCAGGGTGGATAAAAATTGATTTATTTTTTTTTTAAATTTAAATAGGATTTTTAAATTTTAAATTGGATTTTTTTTAATTTTTATTAAATTTATTTTAATAAATGTTTTTGGAGTAAAAATCTTATCTAAATATGGTTTTCTATTTAAGATACATTAATAATTTAGTTTATTCAGCATGAAATGGAGCTTAGTTATGTAGCATGAGGCTGTATATTCTGCAATATTGGGACTGACAGTGAGTCAGCAGAAGGTCAGAGGAGGAGCTGCTGCGGGACAGAGATGACAGTTGCTCTTTAAAAATTATGATTTAAAATCGAGTTGATTTAAATCAAGCCTTTTTACTAGTGATTTAAATCATGTTTTAAATCTTGTTTTAAATCAACTTGATTTAAATCAAATCCATCCTGTTTATGGCCATGATTTGCTGCTGCTGTTGGATTACTCATGAGTGTCTGGATGTCATGCCTGGAAGCCATATTACCTGTGTGCCTTGAGGATCCAGGCCTGCCACAATCATACCGTGGGAAGTTGGGAGGGGGGATTGCATGAGTGAAGTAGAGATAGCCATAACAAACCTCTCTAAGAGAAGTTCAAGGCCATGATGTCTGGTAGCTGTGCAAAGAAGAAATTGGAGGATGTCTTCTGTTTGGGAAAGAACTGATTGGAGCTGTGTGGACATATGGGAGATGTGGGCAAGGTCTTGAACTTTGTTGTAGGTGAGGAAAATCGGAAGCTTTCAGGTTCGGGTTTTCCCAGATGTGCCAATATGACATCCCTAATAAAAGTTAGCTTTGAGGAACTTCAAGCCTCGGAGTTTGATTTCGTTGGGGCTGTTACTTGGAACTCTGACATTAACCTAAATCTGAAGCCTGACACTGGACCCATTTCAGAAGATGATCCTTTATTCTGAAAAACAAACACCTATCAGTTCTGCTGATGTAATTGTCTCTGCAATTACAAATAAATTGGTAAATGCAATCTTATTTTCGGGGAAACACGGTACTCTAGAGAAACAGGTTGATTCTCAATGAATATTCACTTTTCAAAACAAAAATGTACAATTTGCTACAAAAATCAAAGGATGGACAAACGATTTAGTTGTAAATCAGGGACATTTTTAACATATAGTTCTTTTATATTTTTAAACATAATCTTAATAGGTTACATTCATGCTAACTTAATTACCTTTACTTCTCATTGAAAATAATGGAAATGTTAATCATGCCATTTATTTTATTACTTATTTTTTTGAAGATCTTACTTTTTTGAAGATCTCCAGAGGTCTAGAAGAGGCTGACCCACTGGCAGAGAAGCCAAAATGTTTTATTCAGATGATGGTGAAGCTGTAAGAACATGAAATCTAAGGAAAATATTTTCACCAACTTTTGTGTAAAACACACTCAAAAAAGGATATTTTAGATTTCCCCTTCTGAAAACAGGAAGTGCCAGCCTTTAAAGGGGAAGTCTACTGGAAATTCCCCTACACTTTCTCCATGATCTCTAAATGTCAGGAAAAAGATAGGTCTGCCAGTTCAATGGCTATCTATCTATCTATCTATCTATCTATCTATCTATCTATCTATCTATCTCTAATCTTCTATCACCTACCTAGCTATCTTTATCATACCTACCTACCTACCTACCTACCAGTATGTATCTAAAATCTACTTCTCAGATATGCATTGGTATATACTGTATAATGTATATCCATTGGTAGCAGTATATAAGCAACTTTAAATTCAGACCAGAAATAGTATGACATCTGAATGTGTGCTATTGTGTGGATACAATATCATTTACTCTTATTTCTACTCTTCAGACTGAACTGATTCAAGTAATCAGAAATAAACAGCTTCCCACTCCAAAACATACAGATACAGAAAGTTGGTTCTTTGGAGAAGGAAGAGAGATGGACATGGAACTGACTATTTGCAATACAGAGCAGGGAATATTGTCATCTGCAGAATCATCCTACAGTTTTGCTTCAGATTATGCCCGTGCACTTAATTTGGATAACTAAGTATGCGAGGCTTTTTTTTCTCCGGCAAACTTTCAATGCCAAGGAAGAATTTTTTCAGTAAACAAAAGGAATATGCAGTGATATTTATTAATGCAATAATCCTATGGTCCATCAGAAGCATCAGACATCTTTTCCAGCAGTTTGTGTCCAGAAATCCAATATAACAATGCAGATGATAGAAACTACCTATACTCAACCCAAGGTTTTCAAAAATATTGGGTGGTGTCCACTATGGACTGCTCTTGTTTCCTTTCTTATAGGTTTTAGTATAAAGATTTAACTAACTATTAATAGAAATATGTTAGCTTATTACAATGGTTCATGCTTTATCACCATGGACAACTTTCTCCTGTGTAATTCTTCCTTTCATATTCTGCTAAAACAGATGTTTCCTTATATATGATTAACCACCATGTCTATATAAATGTTTTGTGCTTTCTACATACTGGTATTTGTCTTCTAATATATATGTTACATGTCTCTACATAGGTTTTGCTACGTGACATAGTCATTTATTTCTAATGGCAGGGGCCAGACTTCTCCTTTTTTAAAATGGAATTGCTGATATCTATACAATCTTTTCTCAATCCTTAAATTTAGTGTAAACACATAAGGAAAATATTCCAACAGTCACAACTGATTATATCTTGAGGATTCCCAATTATACATGTCCATCTAGAACTGAACAGATGATATTACGGAGATCCTTATTTGAAGTCTGCAAGCTAGATGGGTCAGGATGGATAAAATAAATTCAGACTGATTTCTGGTAAGAATGGCTGTACTCTAAACTGATGGGATGGTTGGATGGTTCCTTCACTGGCTCTAGAGTGGAGCCACACGTTCCTTGAAACAAGAATTTATTTATTTATATTCTTTATTATTTTTATAAACAAGTCAAAGCGGTAAAATATCTAATACTCCATCCTCCTATTTTCCCCACAATAACAATCCTGTGAAGTGAATTGGGCTGAAAGGGAGCGACTGGCCCATGGGCATCCAGCTGGCTTTCATGGCTGAGGCAGGATTGGAATTCAGAGTCTTCACTTTCTAGTGGAAACACCTTTCCTGGTGTTTTAATCAGCAGGTCACAGTGGCTCTAGTTGCAAAGGGAAGGGCCATCTTTGGAAATGTCTTACTTTGGAATTCCTCACCTTTGGAATTCTGTCTTCTGGTGATGCACCAGATTTACTTGGCTAATATAAAGAAGGCTTGGGCAGATTTGATACAGATCGAAATGGTGCTTCAAATCATCTGGCTCCTCACTAACCCCTAGAGGTACTTTCTTAGAGGATTTCTGATCTGCCCCCATAGAATCAGGATTCATAATTCTAGGGAGGGATTAAGCTGGAAATGTACAGGACTAACCCTCAACAATTGAAGATAAGAGGCAATCAAAATTTGGCAACCAAGCAGGTCTAAATAAAAATAAATAAAATGTTTAATTATTATGTATGTGCAACAGAGAAGAGTAAGAATTGTGATGAACAGTACCGGTAGTCCTCCACTTACAACCGTTCATTTAGTGACCAAAGTTAAGACAGCACTAAAAAACGTGAATGACCTTTTTTTCACACTCACGACCAATTGCAGCATCTCCATGGTCACCTGATCAAAATGCAGACGCTTTGCAAATGACTCATATTTATGACGGTTGCAATGTCCCGGGATCAGGTGATCCCCTTTTGCGACCTTCTGACAAGCAAAGTCCATGGGGGGGGGGAGCCAGATTCACTTTAACAACTGCAGTGCTTCACTTAACAATCGTGGCAAGATAGGTCGTAAATCGGGGCAGTTGACTCACTTAGCAACAGAAACCTTGGGCTCGGTTGTGGTCTTTAAGTTGAGGACTGTACGTATTACCAGCCGCCCTGTGGAGCTGCTTCTCCCCCCCACTTTTTTTTTTCAGCGTTTGAGGGAGGGAAAAGGGGCAGTTGAATCACTCAGGCAACCTTCGGCTTTCAGACACTGGAGACATTAACACCCCACCCCCAATTGCGGCTGATCATCCCTGGCCATCCTGACTGGAGAGCCGGGGTCCAAAACATTGGGGTGCAGACGCGAAAGCGCTTTTAGAGCAGGGCGGGAAAGCGGCAGCGCTCTCCTCGCTGTCTGCCTGCTTACAGCATCTCCCGGCTGAGGGGGTGGGGGAGGGAGAGAACTAGCACCTCGCCATCATCCTGAGGGGCACGGCTCCCCCCCTCTCTTTTGGGGCGACAGCTGCAAAGTTTATTTCTGATTTGGCCAGGTTTGCTTTAACCCCTGTAAACCCCTGTACTACCAAGAGCCTTGGTAGTACAGGGGTTTAAGGCACCCTGTTATTAAGACCAGCTGCCTGCAATTACTGCAGGTTCGAATCTCACCAAGGCTCAAGGTTGACTCAGCCTTCCATCCTTTCTAAGGTAGGTGAAATGAGGACCCAGTTTGTGGGGGCAATAAGCTGACTTTGTATAAATATACAAAAGGATGAAGGCTATTGCTGAGCACATTGTAAGCCGCCCTGAGTCTTCGGAGAAGGGCGGCATATAAATCAAATTAAAATAATAATAATAATAAAAAAAAAACCTGTCGCAGCCAATTCGGAGACCAATCCAAATAGGAAAAAGGCTCCGCTTCATTTCCCTGCTCAACGGCGCCCCTCCTCCTTCCCCGTCTTTCCAATGGCGCCCCCGCGAGTCGCGTTTCCTGATTTGGGAAACTTCCTTCGCTTTCGATTCTCGCTTCGGGTCGGCTGTTTCTGAGGAATCTAGTCGGTCGGCAACGGAGGATTTTCATTGGACGGCTTGGCCCGCCCTCGGGGGGGGGGTGTTTTAAGCTGCTTCCCGACCCTGTTTAGTTTGAGAGCTGCGAGCAGGCGACCTCGCAGTCGGATTTGGGTTTTTTGATGGGTTTTTTTTGGAGGGGGGCAGAGTTGAAAGATAAACGGAATAATACGAGGAGAGATTTTAAAAAAAGCTATTGCAAAGCCAAAGGTTTAAGGAGAAAGAGGAAAGATGACCGAGGCCGAACGAGAGAATTTGCTTCGCTACAAGCAATATATAGTGAAGACTTTAAATCCTGTTTATGTATTGAGCCACATGAAAACCTGGCTGTCTGATGGTAAGTAGGAACCACCCAAGTTTTCTATCAGTCATGTTTTGTTCTGATGTCCCCAACTGCACGCTCTTTAGGAACTGTAATGTTATATAAAACGCAGATGTACTCTGGCCCGATGGGAATTGTAATGCAACATTGGGAGGGCATCAGACTGGGAGAAGATTCATTTTATTTATACTTAGGACGAGGGATTTGTTAAGCGACACCTTCCGTGTCATCTAGCCCAGAATACCTGTGGCCACTATTCACGTTATGTGCACGATCTCTCCAGATGTTTTGGAGAATATTCGGTTCAGATTTTTGGAATGGGGAAAACAGATACCCAAATTAAAAACAGATTAGCTGAAAAATGCCTATTTCCCCCCCCCCCTGTGAATTATGTTATGACCAGGCGTGTCAATTAACTGGTTGACTTAATCAAATCACCTGCCTGCAATTACACGGAGACGTTACTTTCCTAACCAGAAACTTCCTAGTGATGTTTAGAAACAGAATGAATAAATTAAAACTCTAATCCTTTTAAGGAATCCTGCTTTTTTATATATGTACACTGTACGTCTTTCTCACACATGCTCGGGTGCTAATTAAAGCTACATAATCTAAGAGCACTGATCTACATGTTGATTTCACTTGATTTTTCAGAAGAGGTTAGTGACGGTTGGACAGAAAGACGTTGAAAGGAAAAAAAAAATGTTCGTGTCGCTAATGTTCAGCAAAGAACGCGAGAGGCAACTATTTCGCCCGCCACGGTTCTTAGTCTCGTTTTTGCAGAGAGAAGTCAGGCTAAGCGGGGTTGTGACATTCAGAAAGGTTGCGTTTGAGGCATCTTTCTTGCACGCGTTTTGCAGGGGCTTTGCATACAGTTCTTTCGAGTTGGCAGATGCGCCTTTACAAGGCGTTCGTGATTGGCCAGCTTCGCAAGCGGCTTGGGAATTATCCTTTTCGGAATTATCTTGATAACCGGGAGGGGGAAGCAGGGCACTTATTGGCTGAAAGCAGCGGAGGAGGCGGGGCAAGAATCCTGCCAGCAGATGGCGCTAAAACCGTCAAAGCGCGCTCGTGCCCTGCCTGCTTCTTACAGTTTTTCTCCCTCTCTGAAAATTGCGGAATTTTTCGTCTTCTAGTGGAAGCGAAATAAGCCATGGCTGTCTGGAAATCCAAAGTAGATTTCGATATTTGAAACAAAGAAAGAGTTTGAGACATTTCCTACATGAAGTCATGGTCTTTCAGAATGCACAATCTTGATCAAGAGCTCCTAAAACAAAGTATCTCATGCAAACTATCTTTAATTTCACCTAATCCATATGCTTCTAAATAACCTTTTACTCTTCAAACTTACCTCTGCATGAGGGTTCCATCATTTCCATCTAACTCCCTCAGGTTTCCTTTTGTCACATTTGTTCGCCCTTGATATATTTATAATCTAATTCTTAAGTCTATTCTTTTTATAACTCTTAACTCACTTTTAAATACAATCCACATTCATTCAGAACCCAAATGGTTAGGTTCAAAGGATTGATGTTCGAAAAACAATCAAAAATGAAAAGTGATTCAGTTTCACTGTAAAGTTTTTCTAATTTAATATAATTATGTTTAATGACATTCCCTTTGTGTCAAAGTACCATATGGGGAGATATCAGTGTTAATTACCCAGTTTCCCTCAAAATAAGACATCCCCTAATAATAAGCCAATTGGGTTTTTGAGTGCATGGCAATAAGGCCAAGCGCTTATTTCAGGGATCAAAAAAATATAAGACAGGGTCTTATTTTCAGGGAAACACGTACTTTACTTTCCTCTTCCCTCCCCTCTCCTCTCCCTCTCTCCCTCTCCCATTTCTTTCTCTCAAGTCCCAGTCATTCCCATGCCATAGATATCATCAGATGATCCCATATATACTGGCTTCCGTCTCCCATCACAAGAACACCTAATCCCAGTTTCACTTCATGAATGCTCATTCTAGTCTGTGCATGCAAAGATTTTTAGTTTAGTTCATCTAATTTATCCTCCAAGAAAACAAGGGTGTATAGACATAGAATTCTTCCATTTTTTTCTCATAAGAACAGCCCCATGAAATAGCTAGACTGAGAGTTTTCATTGGCCCAGAGTCAACCTTGACAACTATATAATATTGATTATGTTAATGAAGACTTAAAATACTAGAACCGTGTTAGTGAACCTATGGAACGTGTGCCGGAAGCGGCACACAGAACCATCCCGTGAGGGACGCGTGGCCTCGCTGGCTCCTCTTCCGTATTCCTGTGCACACATGCACGCAGGTCATGTGTGCTGCTCTTCTGGGGTTTGGTGCTCCCACGCGCGTGAAGGCTAGCAAGGCCATGCGGTCCAGGCAGGATGGTTTTGCGTGCCATTTCCGGCACGCAGGTCAGCACGCGGTGATGTAAAAGGTTAGCCATCACTGTACTAGAATGAACAAGAATGCAGAATAGATTTATCACTGTGATTAATTTGATATAATTAATATATTGTATATATTATACAAAATATTAATATAATATATAATATATGCTAATATATAATAATATATAATTAATATAGTGATTAATTAATATATTGGAAAAAAGGTTTGGTAGAGCAATGCATTTGCCAGGCATGTGATTCAAGTCACCTTAAAAGCTTAGTCTTCTACATAAGATGAAGAGTACTCAGTCATGTGTACAAACATGCTTTGTACTTGACTGTAAAATCATCCATTGATAACAACTGTCAATGAGTGATGGAGAAGGTGAAGAGATTCCTGTGCTGGTCAAATATTAAGCCTTCCATAGGTCTAACACAGCCAGACTGCAAAATATCAAATGTCCATTATCTAGACATGAAGAGATACAGAAAATGTTACAGATAACCTTTGCTTCATGACCATTCAACAAGCATTTGAAGTTATGATGATGCTGAACAAATCTTACTTAATGCCTGGTCTTTGAAGTTATGGGTCACAGCATCCCTATGTTCAAGTGATCAGAATTTAGCACTTGGCAATCTACCCACATTAACCTCAGGATATGCTTCAATGCTATCCACTCACCTATTCCCCCCATCTCTGCTCTTCACTATTCTTGCCATCCTTAGCTGACCTTTGTTGTTGTTTTCTTCCCACTGCTGAGGAGATGTGCCTAACTGGCCCTTCATGAGTGCAGCTGGACAAGGTTAATTGCTACCAAGGAGTGGGAAGACATGCAAACAGGAAAAAAGTCAGACATAGGACAGATTGCTTACAATTGCTTTGCCTCTCCACAAGAGATTGGAGAGGAAGAGATTACAAAAGAGTAAGCAAACACCTAGTGGGGAATATATGGGCTGTTTGCGTAGTATGCTAGAGGCTGCCAATGCCAGCACATTACTTCTGATATGTAGTCCGCATTGTACGCCTGCTTACTCTCTTGTAATCACTTCCTTTCGAATTCTCTACTCTGCAAGGAGGATGGAGAAAGAAAAACAACATATTAAGTCCAGGACCACAAATATTGATTGTATCGGTAATCGCATTACTGAGGGACATTACTTGTAACTTTCAATAGATGCTGAATAGATAGATGCTCAGTAAGTAAGAACTACTTGTAATGTGCTTTCAATAAGCAAGCAGACACACAGAGAAACATTTTCTAATAGCAGCAAAATGAATTATTGCCTTTGGGAATGTGGCAAACAGAATCATGAGCCCTTGGAAAGCTAAAATGGAAAAGATGCTTTACTTTGAAAGTCTATTGTTTTGCTTTGAACCTTAAAATAAGAAATTTACTACAACAGTTTTGTCTACAATCTGACAAATCTGAGTCCAGTAGGAGAAGGGCAGTGTACAAATTTAATAAAATAAAATAAATAAATAAATTTCATTCTAGAGACTGTGGAGCAAATTCAAGAGCAAAGCAGCCGGCCAACCAAGGCAGCAGAACTCTTTCTTCAGTCTCTTCTACAGCTCAACGTGGATGGATGGTTCCGTGGTTTTCTGGATGCACTAAAAGCATCAGGTAGGATTGCTTTATTATATAGGAAGTGTGTGCTAAACTACAATCCTTCTCCCTCTAAAACTCTAATCAATGGTTTTATGTAAACAATTGCAGTTTCATTGAGTGGGTACCACACAAAAGAATTATTCAAAGTGTTCAGAGTATATATATACATACACATATACATACACACATATATACAGTATGTCACAGAAGTGAGTACACCCCCTCACATTTTGTAAATATTTAAGTATATCTTTTCATGTGACAACACTGAAGAAATGGCACTTGGCTACAATGTAAGGTAGTGAGTATACAGCTTGTATAACAGGGTAAATATGCTGTCCCATCAAAATAACGCAGCACACAGCCATTAATGTTTAAACTCTAATCAATGGTTTTATGTAAACAATTGCAATTTCATTGAGTGGGTATCACACAAAAGAATTATTCAAAGAGTTCAGAGTACACACACACACATGCACATGCACACACACAGAGGATGCTGTTCAATTACAAGACAGGAAATGTCACTGCGTTTTTGTATTTACCAGATGAGCTATTATTTTTGGACTTTCAGACTTACCGTAGCTTGCCAAGTTTCTTATCAGTAAGCTAACTGCGCATGTCTACATTCCTTCACTTTCTTCTATCTTTCTTTGTTCTCCTGCCAGGAGAGGTCCGGCAGGAACGTTGCCAAGATGTAACTAATTAGGCTAGTGAGATGTTTTATTTTCTTTATAACAAATAAATGAGTTTTTCTTAGAAAATATATCTTCGGGTTTATTTTCTTGCTAAAAGTATACACAAGGAGAATGCCACGATTCATCTCTAACTCAGGCAATTACCCCAGGAAGGTAATGGGGCTGATTGCCACCCTGACAGGAAACACATTATTAGTTGGCATGTAAATGTCCTATTTGAAAGATGGGTTCTTCCAAAAGCCTCTGCAAATGAGCTGATAGATTCCTTCAACCTCAGACCTGGGAGTCTATGATCCAGTAAGTTTGCTGGAAGTGAAAGCTGGAATTAGGAGCTGGGGTTTTCTTCATTTTTAAGATAAAATTTACCAAATAAATGTGGCATAAATTAATAAAGTAGGCATACTACGCAACTTGAAGACTAGTGCATTTCTTATGTTGCTTTAAAAAAAAAACCATTGTGACAGTGAAATTAGTAGAGATAATTTTGGGTGGAAAGAGGCTGTTAAAGTGATTTTGGGGAACGTATAGCAACTAGGAAGGAAGAGAATTTCCTTTGCTCAGGGGAAAAACAATCCTTTTCTATAGCTCAGGGAAGAGAAGAAAATGGCTGCAGGGCAAAAAACCAAAAATTGATTATGGAGCTTAGGAAATATCTCCAATCAGGAATACCAAGCAAGTTGTGTGAAAGGGATGCTTACTTTTGTGCTCTCTGCTATGGGAGAGAATCTCATCAGTTCTTCCGAAGATAAAAAGGTCAGACAGAGTTGCACAAAAAAACTCAGTGGGCTGGAATGTGCTTTAAAATTGCTTACCTTTTAGGTAATCTGCATTCTTTTTGCATCCTGCTTCAAGGACCCTCTAAAAGGATGCAGATGACCAGCTGTCTGCAAGGAATATAAATCCTTCCATTCCCTACTATCCTGTCAGAGCTGAGGGAAGCTTCTTGGATGAGAAGTGAAACATCTTCAAAAGGAAAAACAAAAAAGTCCAGTTGCGTCCTGAAAAAGCACCTTTGGGATAGCTTTAAATAGCTTAAAGAAATCAGTCAGCACAGCCAAAGAATCAGAACAACATGATAATATTGTATATGATATTTACAATGATAAATATCATCTACAATTTCTTACATTCAGAAGGTCAATTGTTGCAGTAAGTTATTTCCCTCCTTCAGTCCCTCTGTGTGTGTGCGCGCGTACACACACACACACACACATGGGGGGAAAGGTCTTTAAAAGCTTTCTGAGTCTAATGGGGACCTGGTGTTTCTTACCAAACTTGATTGGTAAGGATTCTCAACATATTCACTTTCCACATTTTGGGGTGGGCTGAAACTAACTTAGAAAGGCATCAGATAAACCACCTGTTGCTCATAGTTGACTTTAGTCAATTACCACTTTAATTTTAATTTGTACTTTCTATTCTGCTTCTTAAAGAGTATACTGGCCTTCATCAAGCAATTGAAAGTTGGGATTTCAAGATAATTGAAAGTTTGGAACCTCACAGGGAACTGTTGAAACGAATTGAGCCCACTATGCAGGACATTGACGTCAAAGAAATTCGGTTGCACATGAATAGCTGCCTCCTAGAACAGGAATGGGAAGAAATTTATCAGGTATTATTTATTTAAACTGCTTGATCAATAACACTCAGCAATATTGCCCATCCGCTCTGCACTACCCCACTGTTAACAGAGGCCCACATTATTTTAGAAGACAGCCCTGACTTTCATTTTGCACAGTGTACTAATTCAGCATGATCAGAAAGCAAAAATAAAACCTATATGAACTCTTACCAGTCATTTCTATAAATATTTGAGAAGATCTGATGTGGTCCAGGTTACAGGTTGGTAAGCAAGGGAATTAACATGAATGAAGGAAGAAAGGAATAAATGATGAATTTAAAATTGATTTTGCTTCTTATTTTATATTCTCTTATTGTTACCCTGAAGGTTTGTGAATTTTGCTCTGATCATTGATGTTTTCTTGAGTTTAGTTACTTGTAGTTGGGCATGTATCTTCTGATATTATTTTCATAAAGTTTTATTGAAAGTTTTACAAAGAATATAAGAAATAACTCGAATAGCAATAGCACTTAGACTTATATACCACTTCATAATGCTTTACAGCCCTCTCTTAAGTGGTTTACAGAGTCAGCATATTGCCCTCAACAATCTGGGTCTTCAATTTACTGACCTCAGAAGGATGGAAGGCTGAGTCAACCTCCAGCCGGTCAAGATTGAACTACTGGCAGTTGGCAGAGTCAGCCTGCAATACTGCATTCTAACAACTGCGCCACGAAGGCTGTAATAAAGAGTGAAAGCAAGGAAGAAGAAAATGAAAAACAAAGGTGCAGAAAGAAAGGATAAAAAGAAATAAAAAGAAGCTTCCAATTTCCTTTGCAACAAATATAAGTACAATTACAAAATCATCTCCTGTCCCATGATTACAAAAGAAGAGTCACTTTTCAGTTTTTCCCTAATCTTCAAAACCACAAATTATAGCCACAAATTCTGCATTTTTTTCTGTTTTATGTAAAAAGTCCATAAAGAGTGGAAGTGAATCTCTTGAGTTTTGAAATACTATAAATAAGTACTCCCCTCTACCTCCTCTTTCTGATTTGCAGATTTGTGACACGAAAGGGAGAAAAGCAAGTGGAAGCAAACTGGTAGAATGCCTGTGTAGATCAGACAAAGAAAATTGGCCTAAAACTTTCCAAATGGCACTGCATGAGACTGGATACGAGGATCAAAGGGATCTATTGGATTTGAAAGGAGGTATTGTCATATCTTTGTTTTACTCTCTATTCAGTTTCTTTCTTTCTCTTGGAAGACTTCCAGAATAAAGAGTCCCCAATTACGAGAGGCAGAGTCACCAATTGGAATGTCAGTGGGGTGTGTGTGGAGTGATGGTCATAATCAGGTGTTCGAAGCCCCTCAGTTTTAACTTCTATGTGCCTTAAAACTGGAAAGGCGTCCATTGCCATGCTGTTACAGGTAGTCCTCACTTAAAAAGTCTAATCAGGACCTGCAATTCTGCCACTAAGTGGAGCAGTCACTCAGTGGGAAATCACATGCAACTGTAATTTCTGGCTAGAAATAGACAATAGACTCAGTTTCACACCTTTGGCTTTGTTTGCATCCTAACTATTCCCCTGCCCTTTGGGATACTCAGAGTACTTTTTACTGTCATATATACATAGAAGGCAGTGCATTCATGCTGGAAGACAGAGGTGCATTACTCAAATAGCTTCCAGTACTCTCTTGAAATCCTTTCCTCTCTGATATCTTCACTATACAAGTGGGGAGGCAGATTGGGGGGGGGGGATAGAAAAAAAGCAAGCAATTTCTGTAGGCAATCACTCCCTTACCTGACCTTTTCTAATTGCCTGTACAATCACATTGCTTTTGAAAAGAAAAGAAAGCAGCTTACTCTTGAAATCCCTTCCTCTCCAATCTCTCAACTAGTGTCACTTAGTGAAATGGGTGGGGTAGAAATGCAATGAATATATAAACAAAGAAGTATGTAGAAATTTAGTCACTTGAGCAAGAGTATTCAAATAGGACCTTCCACATTGTTTAAGATTGGTAACTTGCAGTGTTTCTCCATTCATTAGAACATATTTATATTGCGTTCCCACAGACTTCTCTGTGTCACATTCAGATGATAATGCAGATGTTGAAATGGAAAATGAAGATGAAAGCAGCTGTGTTTTTCAAATACAAATTTCTGAAGAAGCAGAATCTGATAATCTTTCTGGGAATTCATGTTCAGCTTCAGGTAAGACAGTTGGAAAACAGCCTTGGGTTCAATTCTGTGCATTCTTTTAGGAAACATTTAGTAGCTTCTCAAGGAAAGAATCTGTACTACCAAAAGTCGTCACTTACTTAGGGCAGAGGAATACCGTCTTTCCCTGAAAATAAGACCCTGTCTTATATTTTTTTGAACACCAAAGTAAGGGCTTGGCCTTATTTTTGGGGAGGTCTTATTATTTTGGGGTGCGTGGCACAAGACAGGACTCCTCTTGCCATCTTACCTGATTTCCAGCTCTGTCTCTCTAATCCTAACCAGACGAAATGGCGGGGACCGGCTACACCCGCGTTTAAACATTTTCGGGGAGGGCTTATTTTGGCGCATGCGTCAAAATAAGTTCAATTGGGCTTATTATTGGGGAAACAGGGTATGACCAGGTGCCCAAGGTGGTGCCTGCGGTACTTATATTTCTTGAAAAATTTCAATGCTGTCCCTACAGCCCTTTGTGGATGAATATTGTGGCATTTTCTAATGTGATTAAATATAGAAATGGTTCATTACCAAAAGAATACTCATTTATTTTAAAATGAATTACATTTACCTTTAACATAGTTTGAAGTGCCAGCCAGAGCCAGTGAAGGCCCTTATTTTGAAATAGCTTGAATGCAAATATGGTTGATGAAGCAAGAGCTCTTTTAAGAGACTAGTGTACCTAGCATAAATTCTGTGTATTTTCACCTCAGCATTTTCTCTGGGAGGTGTCTTTCACAGACCTATATTAGAAAGCTTGCAGGGTATTTTCTTCTTTTGAAAAATGTTACTTTTTGACAATTGAACATGGGGCATAAGCACAATTTCTGCCCCTTGAATCAGACAAAAAGGCCTTCATACTTTTATTTAGAATTGCTTCAGGCTCTAACCACCATGTTTAAACCAAGTCACCCAGCCTATAAGCATTTTCACAGATCATTGTACAAAATGACACATGCATGCAAAAGTTTTCAACTTTATATGTATGGTTATTTGCTTTTAATCAGTTTTGTGCCAGTCTAAATTAACAAAAAAGAAAAAAGACATACAGAGGGTAAAGAAAACCAAGGTAAATTTGGACACCTACCCCTAATTGTTACCTTTTATAATGGCAAGCTATGATAGAAGAAGGTTCTTCAGAAATTACCAGCTGACACTATCTCTGCAAGAGCCAAGGGATCTTATGGTTCTTCCTCACAGAAAATACATTTAATGGCCTTGATGAAGAGATAATTATTAAGTAAATTTTGCCCCATTTTATGTTTTTTTTCCAGCCACTGTTGTTAAGTGAATCACTGCAGTTGTTAAGTTAGTTTCACGGTTGTAAAGTGAATCTGGCTTCCCCACTGACTTTGCTAGTCAGAAGGTTGCAAAAAGGTGATCCCACATGACCCCGGGACACTGTAACTGTCATAAATATGAACTGATTGCCAAGCGTCCAAATTTTGATCATGTGACCATGGGGCTGAGCACTGCAACCATCCTAAGTGTGAAAAAATGGTCATAAGTCACTTTTTTCAGTGCTCTTGTAACTTCTAACTATAAACCACTTAGAGAAGTCTGTAAAGCACTATGAAGCGGTATGTAAGTTTAAGTGCTATTGCTATAGTAGATATTCCATTTTACATGCCATACATACGTTGTATTTTATATGTATTACAATTTTTTCACTGTGCTTTTCTTCACTTGTTCTTCTAGATACCTTCCAGCAGACCAGATACGTTCTGAGGAACCCAAGGAGCTATCAGATAGAACTTGCTGAGCCTGCTATTAATGGCAAACACACCATGATTTGTGCCCCTACTGGTAAGATCATATTTCTCTGAACTACAGTAACCCATAGAAGTAAGCTTCTTGCTGATTGGAATGGAAAATTATTTTACACTTCTTTTTTTTTTTTTTAAAAAAAGAAGAGCTATAAGATAAATTTCTGAGGAAAAAAAAAAAGAAAACTCGTACATTTTCCCCCCTCTTGCTGTGATGGAGATCTGAATGGTTTGCTAGTGCCATCATCAAACCTTGATAATCCCTTTATAGGAATACTAAACAACCCTGGCTCATTTTTTTTGCCAAGCTTAAAGGGATTCTAAGTTTCACTCTTCCATACCATCTGAGCTTGAACATCTCTTTTTTTATGCTGAAGAATTGTGTTGTATTAAAGAACAGATCATGGTTTTAGTGAAAATGTCTTTGAAAATATGCAAAAAAGATTCCTATACACAATAATATTAAATAGTAAATAATATTTAAATGGTGCATCACAAAAATCTTCATAGCACAATTTTTAAAGATGGCATTATATTACAACTGAGGGAGCAGGTTAGAAAGGAATATTTAGTTAATATTGCCATGTAAGATAATGACTATGGAGTATGGGTAGTCCTCACTACATAACTGCCTTGTTTAGCAAATACTGAAAGGTAAAACTGCATTAAAAAAAAAAAAGCTTTGTGACCATTTACAACCTTCACAGTATCCCACAGACATGTGATCACTAATTGTGTGATTTTCAACTGGCTTGCAATAAGCAAATAAAAGCATGTGTCATAGTGATACGTTTTGCTTAACAACTGCAACAATTCAATAACTGTAGGGGAAATAAACCTGTTAGGGTAAGAGATTTTCCGTGTTGGAGTTTCCTGTCCCAGTTGTGATCTCCTTCATAAGAGGGACCCTCTGTATGAACTTGCCAGCTTGTAGTTCAAATTTTTAGGCCATTGCTTCCAAATGCGTCCAACCAGCCTTTATTCATTTTTACAGGATCTGGGAAGACTCTTGTGTCTATTATGATATGTCAGCATCATCTCTGCAACAGGCCTGCTGGGCAGACAGGAAAAGTGGTCTTCCTCACTACAAAAGTTCCAGTTTATGAACAACAAAAGAAAGTCTTCTATGAATACTTCAAAAATGAGTATGATCTTAGTCCAGGGGTCCCCAAACTTGGTAGCTTTAAGACTTGTGGACTTCAACTCCCAGAATTCTCCAGCCAGCTATGAATTCTGGGAGTTGAAGTCCACAAGTCTTAAAGCTGCCAAGTTTGGGGACCTCTGTCTTAATCTGTCCTGGGCAGATTTCCTGTTGTTTCCTAGTTCTAAAATAATAGCAATAGTGTCTTTTTTAGCCAGTTTTTTAGATTGTTGCTCTAAAGCAGAGTTCCCCAACCTTTTCAGTTTTGCAGACTGGTGGAAGAGGGAGAGAGGAGATGGTCCTGCCAATGCAGCAGGGAAGTGTGCCTGTGTGCACAGCTCCATTTGTGTGAACAGCAGGCACACTGCTGTCCACTTGTGCAAATGGAATGTGCTCATGCAGTTAAAAATATAAATCGGATTTTTAAAATTTAAATTGGATTTTTTTTATTTAAATCGGATTTTTTTGATTTAAATCAGATTTTTTTGATTTTTATTAAATTTATTTTAATAAAACGCTTTTGGAGTAAAAATCATATTTAAAGATATTTTTCTATTTAAGATACATTACTAATTTAGTTTATTCAGCATGAAATGGAGCTTAGTTATGCATCATCAGGCTGTATATTCTGCAATATTGGGACTGTCGGTGAGTCAACAGCAGGTCAGAGGAGGAGCCGCTGCGGAACAGAGATGACAGTTGCTCTTTAAAAATTATGATTTAAATCGAGTTGATTTAAATCAAGCCTTTTTACTAGTGATTTAAATCATAACTTAAATCAAATCCACCCTGCTTTGAAATCAATGTCTGGAACAGCAGTTTGCTTCATAATGTATAAAGTGTGTCGTATATGTGATAAGCACCTATGTTGCAATTTTTATAAAAAAGCTAATTGGTCAAATATGACCAATTCCTGAGTAATTATGTGTGTTTGTCTGTATACCATATTTTTTGGAGTATAGGACACACCAGAATATAAGACACATCTACCTTTTTTGGTAAGGAAAAGAAGAAAAAGAAATCTGCCTCTCCCTCTGAGCAATTTTGCCTCCTTGCAGCAAACAACCTGCTTTACTTTCATTTTTGTTTTTAGCATAGCTTGATTAGCACAAGGAAAAAAAAATCTGCTCCAGCAATTTACCACTTTGCAGCAAGCAGCAGAGCCCTGCGCAAAACAGCTGAGAGCAAATCAGCTGAGAGTCGGGAGGCCGATCCAATCAACTTGTGCTAATTAGGCTGAAGCTGAAAGGAGCTGTTTTTTCTTGTTGTTTGCTTGCAAGCAGGTAAATTGCTGGGAGGCAGAGACCAAAGGGTGGGGGCCAGTGGGTGGGCGGGGCTACATTCGGTGTATAAGACGCACCTAAATTTTCACCCCCTTTTAGGGGGAAAAAAGGTGCGTCTTATACTCTGAAAAATATATGGTATGTATATATATATATATACACCCTCCACCCTCCACCTCTGGGCATGCAGACTCAGCCTCAAGGCACGGTTGGTCCTGACCAAACATGGAGCAACCCGGCAGGGCTGTCTCAAACTGCAACAGATAGGCTTAATGAGAAACAAACCTGGCTGACCATGAGGTCACAGACAAGGCAACAAATCGCAATAACTGATAGACTAACATCACCCCCCACTGATAAGCAAGCTAGGAGGGAGGAAACAGTAGGAATCAAGCCTCCATCATCCAGCATGACAACAGCAAAAACAACACAGCTGATTACAAGTGGGAGGTGGCTGGAAGGGCCTATTACACGCAAGGGCTAAATTGATTAATGGCATATAAAGGCAGAGATCTCTTTAATGGTAATTTAATATTCTGACAATGTCAGCAGATGGCTGACGAAAGATTAGTAAAATAAAATTTTAATTCTTTTAAAATTTTAAAATCTTAAAGTTCTGGAGTTCGCAGTATGTCTGCTTCTTCTTTTACTAATATACCTGGAACTCGTATTTTTAAAATAGTTTGTAATATATATATTCCCTAATTTTGCAGTTTTAGATCGTAGGCTTAAACAGGGTTGATGGTGTTCTGAGAAGTATCTGTCTCTTTTCTTGCAGCTACAACATTGCAGGCATCTGTGGGGAAAATGCTTTCTTGACTCCTGCAGACATAGTTATTGATCAGAATGATATTATTGTCATGACGCCCCAGACTCTTTTGAACTCTCTGAATAATGGGACAATTCGTTCTCTTTCAATATTCACATTGATGATATTCGATGAGTGCCACAACACTACGGGGAATAACCCTTACAATATGTTAATGTCTAAGTATTTGGACCTTAAACTGAAGCAAGGTGCATGCTCGTTGCCTCAGGTAAGATAATACGGGGAGCTTTCACATGTTAAAAGAAATATGTCGTTGTTAGTAAGTTGTGTATCCTCTTCTAATACATGAAGACAATATGAAAAACGTTGAACTTCTCAAGAAGATAGCATGCACATCTGTACTCCAGGAGACATTCAGTCTGACAATATTGTGGCAGAGATCCACTTTGTCTCCCACTCTATTCTTAAATAACATACCGTATTTTTCGAACTATAAGACGCACTGGACTATAAGATGCACCTAAATTTACAGGAGGAAAACAAGAAAAAAAATATTTTTTGGCTTTTGCGTGTCGCGTTTTCACCCTCCCCGACCCCCAGAAGCACTCTGCAGTGCTTTGCACAGCCCGTTTTCTGGGGGACGGAGAGGGTAAAAACATGGCGCACAGAGGGTTTGGGAGGCCAAAAACGCCTAAATTCAGTCTATAAGACGCACCTACATTTTCACCCACTTTTAGGGAGAAAAGGTGCATTTTATACTCTGAAAAATACGGTAATCATTTGAGCTTCACTTTGGGAAAAAAAATCTGACTTTGGTAAATTTTAATCCATGAACAAAAAGAATGCAGTTTACGTGTTCAATTAAGTAATGCATATTGTGCCAAACACATGGAAAGACATTTTGAAAAAAGTACTTGCTTAGTTATTTTAAATAAGGAGACTTTTAGGAAGAAACCACAACAACAGTGTCATTCCAGTATCATAAACACAGTCAATACACTCAAGAGCCAAACTTGGCATTCAAAATGTGTCTGCAATTGATCTGTTCATCATTCTGCTTCCAAGACTTGAGCCTTATTTTCTAAAATATATTATTGCTGATATACTTGTTAGAACAGGAAATAGCAACTTAATATTAAGCAAATGATAAGCCATAAGCAAAGCTAAGCAACTTGCATTGCTTCAAAAATATTGCTGAACTTTAATTCCATTAACTTAATTAATGATCAAAGGCACTGGAAGTTGTAATTTGGCAACATGTGGAGGATTAATTGTCCACCCCTAGAATAAATATTCAAGAAATATTGTTAGAAATTTTTCTTTTTAAATTTTTTTTAAAATTTTTGAATATACATCAATATCAATACATGAACAGTGAGGCATCTGGGTATCATTCATTTGAATACAAATAGTAATGATAGTATTAATATTTGTTACTTAGATCATACTTATGTAATTGTAATGTTATACATATTTGTGTTAAAATATAGGCCTTCATTATTTAGTTGTTCAGCATTTTAGTCCCCCATTCGAATGGCAATAACAATATTAAAACATACATAATGCCACCATCTTTCAACATCTAATCTTTACATCTAGCTATTACTTTTAGTATATTATATAAAAATATGTATAATAATATTCCCTCTATTTCTTGTTTCTGCCTCTGTTCTAGCTCCTAGTAAAGCCAATCTTGTGTTACAAAATATTTCCTCTATCCATCATCTCTTGCCTGTTTTAATATTTCAATTCTTATTCATTTTTTGACTTGCCTCCCAAATTCCTCCCTTGGGTCTTCATCTCTACATCTTTCCTGTTTAACCTAAGTATTTCTTCCATCTCTACTATCTTTTTGCTGCCAAGCCTCCAGAGGATCTGGATTAGATGTCTTCCGTGTTCTCACCATTAGAGCTCCAGTAGTCATGGAGTAGATAAGTATAGAGCAGTAGATAGCACAGCAGTCCTCCAGGTGTTATTTCCACTTTCGCCTCTGTCTTATCAGTATTTTCCCCAGGGTTATAGGAGTATAATGTCTATTCCATTCACCAGTAGGTGGCACCTTCAGCTTAACTTCAACATTGCACAAATTCTAACATGTTCCATTTGTGTTTATTCAAACAAATAATCAAAATTCTGACAAGTAATTCCAGAATTTTAAAATGCCTTATTGCCAATAAAAATTAGAGATCCAATCTTTGTAAGTTTTTAAAGGTTTTGCGGTCTCTTCTTAAAATCTTTTCTTTCAGGTCTGTGATTTGTCTCGCTGTAATTGTTCGCCTGTTCACTCACACTGTTCCAGCACATTCTTTGTTTCTTCGGCTGCCCCAGCTTCATGGCAGCCATAATAGCTGCCTCTCTTCTTCATCGGATGAGAGGGAATTAGCCCTGGGTCAAGCAGGGGAGCCGCCACTCTCTGCGACTTGCAGGGCACCCCTCCACTCTTTGTCACCCCTACAGGATGACTTTAGCACCTTATGGGGCCCTCCAGCGAAGGGATTCGGTGCGAGTACACAGAGTCCCGCTCTTTGTGTCCAATAGCGCCACGACATTAACTGGAAGAAATTTTTCTAACAATTAGAAATATTGTTGTTACACACCTTTGAATTGTACCTGACTCCGGATGGCTACATAGATAAAAGTCTGATAATTTCTGGGATTAGAAACTGATGATTTGATCCACGAGCATCTAGCAGTGTTTTGCTATTTATCCTAGAAAAGTATTCCCCTTTTAAAATGAAAATAAATGCAATGGTATGTTCTGTAGATTGGATGCTGGGAATGGCAAGGAGAAGAAGAATTTCAGAAAAGAATATTCCTGGGAAAGGAGAAAGTGTGAGAAAGAAACTCAAAAAAATCCATCTTCATTTTTAGAGAAAAGTCTGGCAGGCTTTTAAGATTCTGTTATAATACCTCAACAACAATAAAGAGCATTCTTGAAATTCCAACCATTCCTCTTTATTGACCTGGCCTATTTCAAATGACTGACAGTAAGATTTAGAACATAGAATAATAGAGTTGGAAGGGACCTCAGAGGTCTTCTAGTCCAATCCCCTGCTTGATCATGAGACCCTACACAAGGGCTGTCAAACTTCCGTTCCATTGGCTGGATGCGTCATGCGCTGGCCACGCCCACACCAGGTTTAGTGAACGGGGAAAAAAAATCCCACTACGTTATGTGACAACATAAGTTTGACACTCATTTCAGACAAATGGTTCTCTAGTCTCTTTGAAAGCCTCCAGTAATGGAGCACCCAAAATGTTTCGAGGCAAGGTTGATTTGGAATTGTTTTTAATGAGAAACAAGCTAGAAAGTAACAAAAATATACATCTTCTAAAACTTAATTTCTAAATGCCATGATGGAGTATTTTTATGTAAAGAATCTAAGATATTAATTTAAATTGTAATTACTGTATTTAATACTAGTACTGGTATTTCTTTGAATAAAATTAAGAGGTCATTTCTGATTTCAGTTCATCTCTACCAGGAAAAGCTATAAGTGGCCAGTGAAAATAGAAAATAATGAAATAACATTGCCTCTTTTTTTTCTTCTTGTTCTTTCTTTTCATGTTTTACTGTCTTAATTGATGGGTGGTACTACTGCTTTAAAGTGAATGTGAATGTATTTTAATTATTCAGATTGTAGGATTGACCGCTTCCCCTGGCATTGGCAATGCCAAAAACGTAGGTGAGGCCATAGACTACATCTGCAAGATTTGTGCTTCACTCAATATTGAAGTGATCTCAACAGTCAGAAAGAACGTAAAGGACCTAGAAGAAATTGTTCATAAACCTGAAAAAAGTGAGCCTGCATTCTAATTCTCTCTTTTGGAATACAAGTAGTAATTTTTTTTAAAAAAGTACATGTAGTTCTTCAGTTTAATGACCTTACTTGGGACTGGAAACTCAGTTGTTAAGCAAAAGGGTCATTAAGTGAGACAACCACATGACTGCTTCAGTGAGGCCTGTAATCGCAGCACCGCTGGTTGCAGTTAATAAGTGATATCCTAGGTCATTAAGCAGAAGGATTCTCAGATAAGGAGATTTGATGGAGGGGAACCCTTCAGGTTGCAGAAACAGAGCTAAAATCCTGAAGATTTTAAAACCTTAATGCTTTTAGCTCTTTTTCTGGAGCCCAACAGAAAATGGAAAGGAGGAGAAATTCATTGCAAGCTGCAAATCTCATCTTTGTGGGGGCAGAGCTGAGATTATCCCCCAGTAGGCAGGCAGCTCCCAGAGATGAGAGGGAGTCCCCTCAGCTTGCAATATTCCCTGCCAGCTTCCCCACTGACTTTCTGGGGAAGCCAGCGGAGAAGATTGCAAATGACAATCCCGGGATTGCAAGGCGCTTAACAACTGGTCATAAGTGTGAACAGGTTGCCAGGCCACCCAAGTCAAGATCATATGACCGTGGAAGAGGCAAACAAATTTATAAGGGCTGGGAGTGTTTATTGGTCATAAAGAACCCTTTCAAGGTCATCATAACTTTGACCTGTCATGACCACTTTTAACTTTGAAATCCCTTACAATGCAATTATGCTGGAATTTTCATGCTGCCTCCCTCCAGTGCCTCCACCCCTCCAAATTAAGAGGAGATATATGTGAATAGGAATAGGCAGGTATGGGGCTGCATTTTGTTCTCATCGTGGCTAAATGGTTGCCTCCAAGAAAAGCACAAACAGTCACGTACACGAATCTTGTTCCTCAGAAATTTACGCTACGAAACTTTTTTTGTGTAATGAAGGAAATACTTTAACATCGCACAACCGTATTTGTCTCACGTTTCTCTCTGCTGCAAATAGGTGTGAGGAATGCCCATGAAATCTGGTGTCAATCTACCTGTAGTTCAGATTGGTTTGCTTTCCAGACACTTTCATTTCATAGTTCTGTTGAGACTTGATATTGGGATGAACTGCCATAGAACCCATCTCTCAGTGAGATGAACCCATAATTGGATAACCCATTCTGAAGAGTCATAGTGGATGTACTATATCAGAGATCCCCAACCCCTAGACCATGGCCCACTAGTGGGCCTTGAAACTCTTGGAACTGGGCTGCAAAAATGGCGGGCAGGCACATGCATGCTCCATTTGCAGGAGCGGCGAATGCTTGTGCCCGCCGCTTGTGCAAATGGAGCTATGTGTGTGCCCTTCGTGCTTCAAACGGTCGCTAAATGAACTGTTGTAAGTCTAGGACTACCTATCTTCCATGCATCTGATGAAGTGGACTCTACCTTATGAAAACGTATGCAAGAATAAGTTATAATCTAAAGTGCTTCCAAGTTTCATTCGGTTTTGTTTGTTCAGCAGAACTAGGCTAGCTATACCTCTAGAGCATCTGCCTTTTGAAAAACAAACATATTGAGTCTCATGTTGTTGTGTCAGGTAACAACCGCTGCAATATACTTGGTGGCTAGTATATTGGGATTATAGAGGTATCTCCGAAGGACAAAAGTATTTAAAAAGGTAACATAATAAATTAGTTCCCCACATTCTAAGAAATCTTTAATCTTTTCTTGAACAAAAGACCTGCAATAATTTTAGAATAATTAAATAATAACACACTAAGAATGGCAGTTTCTTTTTTCTTTTTCTTTTTTTACTGTAGTTATTAGACTCGTTGGGTCTCGACCACAAAATCGCTTTGTAGATATTGTATCTCAGATGATGTCGAAAGCAGAGGCTCTAGCAAGACAATTTTATCCTATTGGTAAGACAATTGAGATTGCTTGGTGATGTCAGTTATATGCTCTATTGAAGTAACATAGTTTTGTAAACTCATCATTTTTTCCTACGACCTGATCAAAAGCTGTCTCTTTCTAAGAGCATTATTTTTTAAATAAGATGTGTATATACATGTACATATAGATACACACACATACATTACATAGATACATTAAACATTACATAGTACAATTAACACCATTCATCCCAAAAATTATAATTCAGTTCACTGTACGATGTAGCTCTGTAATAAAATAGACTTTGTATACATAATATATTCCACAGTGCATAATACAGCTGCATTTTCACTTCAAAATAGTATAAACTGCACATTGAAGTATACCGTGTTATACAATTCACATTAAGAGGATTGCGGTGGTGCAGTGGTTAGAATGCAGTATTGCAGGATAATTCTGCCAATTGCCAGCAGTTTGATTCTGACCTGCTCAAGGTTGACTCAGCCTTCCATTCTTCTAAGGTCGGTAGAATGAGGACTCAGATTTCTGGGGACAATATGCTGACTCTGTAAACCACTTAGAGAGGACTGTAAAGCACAATGAAGTGATATATAAGTGTTAAGTGCTATTGTTATGCTGTACAATTCACATTACTGCTTAGAATATTAAATATAGTACATAAAACACAATACTAAGCAATACAAACTTACCTAACACAAGACATAATTGTCACATACTGCGCCATAATCCTAAAGAGAACTCAAAACACATATTTTCTCTCTCCCTCTTTCTCTCTCTCTCACACATCTGTCTCTTATCTCTCTATCACTATCCATCCATCCATCCATCATCTATTATTTCTCTATTATCTATCTTTTAATCTATCATGTTTATGTTTCCATCCAATTTAGACTATCATACAGTGTGGACAGTGCAGTATTTATTTTACTTATTTATGTGGCTCACCCCTCTGACCAGTGGTGGGATTCAAATAATTTAACAACCGGTTCTCTGCCCTAATGATTTCTTCCAACAACCAGTTCACCAAACTGCTCACAAAGTTAACAACCTGTTCTCCCGAAGTGGTGCGAACTGGCTGAATCCCACCACTGCCTCTGACACAGGTAATTCTGGGAATAGAATAGAATAGAATAATTTTATTTCTATACCGCCCTTCTCCCGAAGGACTCAAGGCGGTGTACAGCCTATTAAAAACACAAGACAACATCAGTTAAAATAGTTTAAAATTATTAAATGAATTTGGCTAAATTTAAAACCCCAGGAATTTAAAACCCAATTTAAAATTGTTATGTTGATAGCCCTGCCTGGCGGAACAACAGGGTCTTGAGTGCACAACGAAATACCCGGAGGTCGGAGATCTTACGTATTTCCGGGGGCAGTTCATTCCACAGGGCTGGGGCTCCCACAGAGAAGGCCCTCCCCCTGGGTGTCGCCAGCCGACATAACTTGGCCGATGGCACCCTGAGGAGACCCTCTCTGTGGGAGCGAACTGGCCAGTGGGAGGCTATTGGTGGCAGAAGTCGGTCTCGAAGGTACCCGGGTCCTATGCCATGGAGCGCTTTAAAGGTGGTGACCAGCACCTTGACTCGCACCCGGAAGACCACTGGGAGCCAGTGCAGCTTGCGCAGGAGGGGTGTCACGTGGGCACAACGGGAGGCATACAAGCATTAAAAATACACAAGTACAACTCCTGTTCCCAAGGGTGAACAATCCCATTCACCAAAAATCCACATAGATTACAGCAGTTCTTGCCTAACCTGATCCAAAAGCCCAAGAAAACAACCAGGCCTTTGGTGGGGGCCATCTGAATCTCTAGCAGATGCTGTTCTCCAGTGAGCAGCAGACTTAAGATTTTCTCAGACACCGTAAGATGGAATATAACACAATGGAGTAGAAATAAGTGACTAATAATGGGAGGGAATATTAAATTACACAAAGCTCAAAATGACATGATGGTAGAAGAAGTCCATACCACACAATACTCTTATGTGCAATCTAATGTATATAGCATTTAATTATTTCTGTAATAAATATGCATGGGTGGAAAAGGAGAATAAAAGAACCATTATCAGTTTAAAGAAAAAAAGAAAAAAGACAAAACCAAGGCCCCCCCCAATAAAAAAAATATCTCATAAATCATAGACAACCACACCAGAGTGCCATTAACATCCGTGTCTTCACCACCTTGTCAAAGGCCAGCATGCAGTGATCGAGACCATATGTTCTAGCCTGGCATAGAACAATACAATATATAGTACTGTAGGTTACAACATGCCTTGAATCAGAACGTGAATAAAGAGTTATCTCTGCTTTTCATTGTAGGCCTTCAGTACGTTTTTTTTTAAAAAAATCTTTCCTTCTCCATTAGATGACTTGTCTGTGATGAAGAACCAATGTTATGGGACCCAAAAATATGAGCAGTGGATTGTCGACGTGCAGAAAAAAGGTGTGGTGTTACAGTTACCAAATAAGGAAGACGAGAGCCGAGTCTGCAGAGCTCTTTTTATTTGCACGGAGCACCTCCGGGTGGGTAACTTCCATCTTGGGAAGCAACCATTTCTCTTGCCTTGTTGCTTTATTGCAGGGGTGTCAAACTTATGGGCTGCATGCGTCACGCGCTGATTTAGTGAAAGGGGAAAAAGTGATATGTGACGACAACATGACGCCGTGAGTTTGACACCCCTGCTCTATTGCCCTTGAGCTGTGTTTCTCCTGTCTTGTTTCCTAATGTTTGGCATTAATATAGTCAACAGTGTATTAAGAGTAACTTGGTTTAAGTGTTTTTCCGGTGAGACCAGTCTATCGGTGCAACCTGGTCTACCCAAATATGGAACAGAGCACTGCTTCGGCTTTCAGCTTTCAGTCCCAATCCAGGAGCTTTCGCATGTTTCCATGACAAGCTATTGTATTTTTCGGAGTATAAGATGCTCCAGACTATAAGACGCACCTACCTTTTTTTGGGGAGGAAAACAAGAAAAAAAAAATCTGCCTCTGCCTCCCAGCAATTTGCCTCCTTGCAGCAAACAGCAAACAGCCTGTTTCAGTTCAGTACAAACTAATTAGCACAAGCAGCTGATTGTCAGTTGGATCGGCCTCCCAACGATCAGCTGTTTCAGGCTGCTGGGATTGCCATAGCCTATTGCCACCTCCACACACCCCATTTTCCGCCCATTCTGGGCGGCGGGGATTGGAATAGGCACGCAGAGGCCAAAAATGGGATACGGAGGCCAAAAATGGGGTGCACGGAGGTGGCAATAGGCAATGGCAATCCCTGCAGCCTGAAACAGCTGATGGTCGCAGGCCAATTCAACCGACATCAGCTGCTTGTGCTAATCAGGCTGTGTTGAAACTGAAACTTGCTGTTTGCTGCAAGGAGGCAAATTGCTGGGAGGCAGAGGCCAAAGGGTGGGGGCTGGCAGGTGGGCGGGGCTACATTCTATGTATAAGACAGCATCCAAATTTTCACCCTCTTTTAGGGAGGAAAAAGTACGTCTTATACTCTGAAAAATATGGTATTTTGTGTTAAATTTAAATTTATGAGTATAATTCTCATCAGCTAGCCATACCCTTCTGGAATTCGAACCCGAGCCACCTGCATATTAGGCAAATGTATTAACCTCTAGGCTACAGGCTCTCTTCATTTTGTCAGCTGTACCAGGCTGTACTCAGTGGAAAGTACAACCTACGCCACCAAGGAGCCTTGGTGGCGCAGCAGACTGAACTGCTGTTAAAGTAGCACTTAGCTGCCAGCTGCCTGCAATTACTGCGAGTTCAGTTCTCACCAGGCTCAAGGTTGATTCAGTCTTCCATCCTTTCAAGGTAGGTAAAATGAGGACCCGGTTTGTGGGGGCAATAAGCTGACTTTGTATAAAATAGAACACAGCTCAGGGGAGCCCAAAAAGCCCTACTAAACAGGTATATACAAAAGTATGAAGGCTAATGCTTAATGCATTGTAAGCTGCCCTGAGTCTTCGGAGAAGGGCGGCATGTAAATCGAACTAATAAAATAAATAAATAATAAAATAAATAATAAAAACACTTAATCTCTCCTGTGGTACAGTTGACAAAGTGAGGAGAGCCCATGGCCTAGAGGTTAATACATCTGCCTAATATTCAGGTGGCCCAGGTTCGAATCCCAGAAGGGTATATGGCTAGCTGATTAGAGCTAAACAGCTTGAAATAGCTATACTTGTCTCCCTTTATTTCTTTGTCGGTAAATTTAAATTTAATAGTACCTTGGTTTGTTACAAGTGTCAGATGACTGCACCAAGCACCAGTACATGTAACTCATCCTGCTCAAAATGATTGTGTTGCATTCTGGGTTGTTTTGCTTACAATCAGGTACGGGTAGTCCTCAGTTTACGACCACAATTGAGCCCAAAATTTATGTTGCTAAGTGAGAAATTTGTTTAGTGAATTTTTGCCCCATTTTATGACTTTTCTTGCCACATTTGTTAAGTGAATGACTGCAGTTGTTAAATCAGTAACGCGGTTGTTAAATGAATCTGGCTTCCCCATGGACTTTGCTTGTTCAGAAGGTCGCAAGAGGGGATCGCCTGACCCCCATGACACTGCAACCAACATAAATGTGGGTCAGTTGTCAAGCATCCAAATGTAAGTCATGTGACCATGGAGATGCTGCAAGGGTCATGAGTGTGAAAAATGGTCCCAAGTCCCTTTTTTCAGTGCCATTTTAACTTCAAATGGTCACTAAGTGAACTGTCATAAGTGAAAGACTACCTATAGTCTTTCCTCAAAATGTTTAAAACTTTGAGGAAAAATTTTACCTCAAAATGTTTAAAAAAAAAACTTTGCCGAAAAAGGGCAATTCCAGTCTAGTGAATTGGAAGGGTCTCTCCTTTGAAATGCTGCATTTGGAGTTCAAATCAGTTGCTTTAGGTTTGAATGAGGCTGCTTTGAACTTTCAGAATGTGTCTCAGATGTGAAAGGTGATTCAAGCAAGTCATTGAATTTGAAATGATTCAAGTTTGAAATAGGTCACATCGCTACAGGTAGTCCTCGGGTTACAATAGCAATTGGGACCAGGTCATAAAGGGTGATGTCACAGGACTGTGTGGCTTAGCTATTTCCAGCAGTCCCTATGGCCGTCATTAAATGAAGACCTCATGTGATTGTAAGGGCTTCCCTTCCCTTTCCCCTCCTGAGTGTTGTTTGCTGCCATGCTTTCAGAATGACCTTTTCATGGTATAAAAATAATGTAAATAATATTTTTTAATCACAGAAATACAATGATGCCTTAATCATTAATGAAGATGCCCGAACCAAAGATGCTTTGGTTTATCTGAAGGATTATTTTGAGGATATCAACAATAGCAACTTTGATGATATTGAACATCAGCTGGCTTCAAATTTTGAAGGTGCTTTATATGTATTTTAAAAAGGCCCTACATTCATATTGCTTTGATAGATCAAACTTCTGTCTATTCCAACAGAGAAGCTTGACTTTCAAAATGTATTAGAAGCAATAAAGAATATAACTGTCCTGTCTTCCAATAATACTTCAATCCTCAAACAATATTTATCAACTCTCTCTCTGTCTGTCTGTCTGTCTGTCTATCTATCATCTATCTATCATCTATCCTCTCCCTTTTTATCCTCTCCCTTTCTATCTATATATCTGTCTCTCTCTCTCCTTTTTAACTGCCCATTTCCCTAACAGAGGGACTCTTAAGTAAACAAAAGAGCAAATCAGAGATCTAAATCTCGTAGTAGCATACTTGATGGATCTGTAAAGTGAACTTAAGTTTATTTTTATTTCTGTGGAAGGTATATGCAAGAAGGGTTTAAGGTATTGGCAGATCCCAACGAAATGCAATTGTACATGTTGAAAATAAGGGGCTGGTTTTGAAAAAAAAAAAAAAGGAAATTGTGTTGGCTGCCTAATTTTATCATTTTCAAGTGCAGGTTCATATGGTTGATTGTTGATATATTACCAGTTACCGTATTTTTCAGAGTATAAGATGCACCTACTTCCCCCCTAAAAGGGGGTGAAAATTTAGGTGTGTCTTATACACCGAATGTAGCCCCGCCCACCTACTGGCCCCCACCCTTTGGGCTCTGTTTCCCAGCAGTTTACCTCCTTGCAGCAAGCAGCAAGAAGAAACAGCTTGTTTCAGCTTCAGCACAGCCTAATTAGCACAAGTTGATTTTTGGCCTCTGATGGACCTCTGCTGCTTGCTGCAAGGAGGTAGATTGCTGGGAGCAGATTTTTTTTTCTTGTGCTAATCAAGCTATGCTGAAAACGAAAATGAAAATAAAGCAGGCTATTTGCTGTTTGCTGCAAGGAGGCAAAATTGCTGGGAGGCAGAGGCAGATTTCTTTTTCTTGTTTTCCTCACCAAAAAAGGTATGTGCGTCTTATAGTCTGGAGCGTCTTATACTCCAAAAAATACGGTAGTTCCCTGTATTATAGAAAACTAGAATGGCATGGAAAAGGCTACTGTAGCTTTGCAGTAATAACTTACAATTTTTTAATTATTAAGTGGGTATTAAGTGATCATACTTGTCTCACTGAGAATTAGGTCAAAACATAGAACAGACCAGTGCTCAGGAAGAAAGAGAGGGAGGGAGGGAGAGGGAGGGTGGGTGGGAGAGAGAGAGAGAGGGAACTGATAAAACTTTATCATAAACCAGTTCCAAGAATTCAAAAAAAAAAAAAACTCTGATCCATACTGCCCTGGGTGAAAGGTGAAATGCAAAATTATTGTAGATGATTTTTGAATCCTTTAGAAATGCAGCTAACTACCTATACAAACAAGTACAATAAAATGTAATTATTTATCTATATGGTGTTAGGTTATAGTTTTGTAGGGAAGGTGTTCCTTTCCTTATCCATCCTTAGATAATTGCATTTTTTCCTCCTAGTTAATTTGCTAGAACTCACTGCTGCTTCCGAGGATGAATCGAATGAAAACCCAAAATTGGAAGATATTACAGAGATTTTGGGAGAGGCATATCATGTCAACCCTGAGACGCGCACTATTCTCTTTGTGAAGACAAGAGCACTGCTGGCAGTAAGAAGCTCTTCCAATATGGAGCAAGTGGGATTTCCCCCGACCCTGTTTTCTGCTATGTGTGGCTTAGCATTTAAGATCAGTTTACCTGTGTTTTGAGATGGGTGGAGAATTTCCCCTGGAATGGGAGCACAGTGCACTCTTCTAACTAGCTGGTGAGCTGCTGAAGGCCTTCTGCTCACCTGGTAGCATCATAAGAATGGGTAGGGTCAATTTTGGCATTCCCCCTCCTTGTTTTTGCTGTTACGGTGTTGGTGATGAAAAAGAAATTACAGGTAAGTCCTCAGAACAGAAACTGGGAGTGGAATTTCCAATGTTAAGGAATGTGCTTATTATTATTATTATTAAAATGTAAGTGTAAAGATATTTCCAAAGGTTCTGTGATTATGTACAAAGGACTACGCACAATCATGCCAGCCAAATGTGCCAATTGAAACTTGGATCCCTATTGTCACAAATTAATTTTACAGGCATTGAAGAATTGGATAGAAGAAACACCTGAACTTACGCATCTGAAGCCACAGGCACTGATAGGACGTGGGAAAAGAAACCACTGTACAGGTGAGGCAACTTGGATGGACTGTATAGGTTGGGGATGGTACTCAACATATGGCCACAAGTGGAACCAGAATTTCTATTACTAATCAAGGTGATTGTTAAGTGAGTCATGTCTGATTTGACAACTCTTTTTGCCATGCCTGGTAAGCGAATCATGGCAGTCATTAAATGAAACCAGCTTCTCCAGTGCTTTAGCTTCTAGGACAGTCCCAAATAGTGATCACATGATCCTGGACACTGTAACCATCATAAATGCATGCTGGTTGTCAAGCATCTGAATTTTGATCACGTGATCATGGGGATCATGTGATAGTTGTAAGTGCAAGGACCAGTCATAAGTCACTGTCTTCAATATTGTTGTAACTTCAGACGGTCACAAAACAAATGGTAAATTGAGGGTTACCGGTAGTGAAACTCACGATAACTAAAATGTGAAACTATATTTCAATATGAAATAAAAGTTTCCTAAACAGAAATTATCCAAGATCTTCTATATAAGTATATCACGTGAGTTAGTTCATAAGAAACCAAAGTTTTTGAGATCTATTAATTTAATGCATTCTTTATATACATTTTCAGCTTTTAGCAATTATTTGAATTTCAGAGAAACTATTAAAACAATTTTGAACATTTTTTCCCCATTGCCTCTCTCAAAATATATAAAGGCCAAGACGACCTTAATTGGATCCTTAGTTGCTACTCCCTTTTATGGATAAAGAAACATATCTAAGATTGGGTTCATTATGCACAAAGTAGTACATCATAGGTTGTTAAGTGAATCTGGCTCCCCCGTTGACTTTGCTTGTTAGAAGGTCACCAAAGGTGATCACATGACTTCAAGATACTGCAACCCTCATAAATATGCCAATTGTTAGGCATCCAGATTTTGATCATAGGACCATGTGGATCCCGGAATGGTCAGAATAGAATAGAATAGAATAGAATAGAATAGAATAGAATAGAATAGAATAGAATAGAATAGAATAGAATAGAATAGAATAGAATAGAATTCTTTTATTGGCCAAGTGTGATTGGACAAGGAATTTGTCTTGGTGCATACGCTCTCGGAGTACATAAAAGAAAAGATACATTTGTCAAGAATCAGAAGGTACAACACTTAATGATAGTCATAGGGAAACAGTCAATATAAATCATAAGGATACCAGCAACAAGGTTACAGTCATACAGTCATAAGTGGAAGGAGATGGGTGATGGGAATGATGAGAAGATTAATAGTAGTGCAGACTTAGTAAATAGTTTGACAGTGTTGAGGGAATTATTTGTTTAGCAGAGTGATGGCGTTCAAGAAAAAACTGTCCTTGTGTTTAGTTGCAGTGCTCTATAACGTCGTTTTGAGGGTAGGAGTTGAAACAGTTTATGTCCAGGATGCGAGGGGTCTGTAAAGTGTGAAAAAGGGCCATAGGTGGCTTTTTACAGTGCTGCTGTAACTTTGAACAGTCACTAAATGATCTGTTGTAAATCAAGGACCATCTGTACTGTGCAATAGTGACTTCTGCCCTTCAGAATATTGTGCTCGGTTTCTTTTAGAACCAAATGAATATATTGCAGTCTCTAGATTGGTTAGAACTAACCTGTTTGTTTTTTTTCCTGGAAGTATTGAGAAGTCAGGGTTTATTCATGTCACACAGCCTGACCTTTCCTGGCGGTTTCCAATAAACATGGTTCCCACTGTCTGGCGTGAAAGACCAGGTCCAGACATGAAGGTTCAATTAAACTGATTTATTGGTGGGCACTTGCTTAGAGTTAGATAAGTATCAACAGTACTCAAAGGGGGTTGGACTTTTTTCTCTTGTGGCTACGTAGGGATTCTTGTCCGATCCCCCTTTTCACTCTGCCCTCACGTTCTGCCATTCCTTCTCCTACACCACACTTTCAAGCATCGCCCTGCAACTTCATTAAGAACTTGAAACCTGTCCATGGTGTTGTATTTTGTGAAGCAGAGATTCTTACCAAGGCTGGATTCTTTTATTACTCTGTACTATTTCTTGATCACCCTCCGCAGACCTGTGATAAGGGCAATATTTGTATGGTTGATCCTCTGGTTTCTCCTTCATCATCTCTCTCTTAGGCATGACCCTCCCAAATCAGAAAGGAACTTTGGATGCCTTCAAAACCCATGGGGACAGCAAGCTGCTAATAGCAACTTCAGTTGCTGACGAAGGGATTGATATTGCTCAGTGCAACTTGGTCCTGCTATATGAATATGTAGGCAACGTCATCAAAATGATACAAGTCAGAGGTAGGTTGGCGAAATTATTCTGAATGTAGATGTTTTAATTACAGGTAGTCCTCAACCACAACTGAGCCCAAAATCTCTGTTGCTAAGGGAGACATTTGTTAAGTGAGTTTTGCCCCATTTTACGACCTTTCTTGCCACAGTTGCTAAGTGAATCATTGAAGGTGTTAAGTTAGTAACTTGGTTGTTAAGTGAATCTGGCTTCCCTGTTGGCTTTGTTGGTCAGAAGATTGCAAGAAGTGATGACATGACCCCGGGACATTGCAACCATCATAAATTTGAACCAGATTGCCCACCTTCTGTATTTTGATCACATGACCATGGGGATGCTGCAAAAGTTGTAACTGTGAAAAACAGTCACTTTATTCAGTGCCGTTGTAACTATGAACAGTCACTAAATGAACTGTTGTAAATCGAGGATTACCTCTATATAAACTGAAGGTCATGCGTATCCACCCTAGGATGAGATACTATCAGATACATAGTGATTCAGCAAACAATACCTTATTTAGGCCTATTATGCAAACACATAATAGTCATAATTAGCAAAAAGTGCTTTTGATATTGGAGGCATTATGTAATGCTTGGAAACATTGTTGCACTTCTCCAATCCAATTTCAGGTAGTCCTCAGTTAATGACCATAAGTGGGAGCAGCCTCTTCATCATTAAGCAATGTCATAAAGCAAAAAATCATGACTGCTAACATTCAACAGCAATAGCATTGTGGTCTCCTGGCCAATGTAACAACACCATACATTGTTAATAATAATACTGTGATTAGTGATTTCTTGCCAACTCCCCCATTGACTTTGCTTGTTGAAAGTTGGCAGCAAAGGTTGCAAATGGTGATTATATGACTGGAGGATACTGATAGGCATGCTGGTTGCCAAGTGCCCAAGTCACAATTACATGGTCATTGAGATGCTGCAGTGGTTGCAACTTTGAGGACACATTGTAAATCTCCCAGCCTTGTTGTAACTTTGAAAGTCACTGAATGTGTAATTGCTAACCAAGCACTACCTGTATTCCTTGTCTGGGGCCCAACATTAAAAAATTACCTGGATAATATTCAGTCAGTGTTCAGGCCTAGGCCTGGAAATGTTAACAGATTTGACTGATAACCTTTCTAAGGATTTGCAGTGAGTGAGTTAAGTGTGCACCTTTTGTTTCTTTTAAATCCTTTCAGCAATTTTCAGTGCCATCAACCACAGCATCTTTCTGTATTTACTACAAGAGTTGGGGGGTGGCTGTTTTAAATAGCTCTGTTTTTTCTTTTTTTAAAATTTGATTTATATGCCGCCCTTCTCCGGAGACTCAGGGCGGCTTACAGTGCGTTAAGCAATAGCCTTCATACTTTTGTATATTTATACAAAGTCAGCTTATTGCCCTCACAAACTGGGTCCTCAATTTACCTACCTTAGAAAGGATGGAAGGCTGAGTCAACCTTGAGCCTGGTGAGATTCGAATTTACAGTAATTGCAGACAGCTGGTGTTAATCACAATGCTTTTTTAGTCTGCTGAGCCACCAGGCCCTTGAGTGGATGTGCTGTAGGTTTTGCCTTCTCTCTATCCCATCTCCCACTTTTCAATAGCTTCATGAAGTGAATAAGATTTGGGTGTACATCTCCATCCTGGGCTGGGCTAAACTCGCTATAAAGGTCAATGGGTTCAATGGGAAGAATTAAATGGAATTACATTTAAGATAGAGGTCTAAAACGAATTTGGCCCTTATCTGCTTTGGTTGCAACTCTGGATAGCATAGCACTCCTCTGGTAGAGCAAATCTGTAACCCGAGAATCCTCCTAGATACTGTAGTCATTGGTAAATAGATAGGAAGCCATGACTAGAGGAGTCTCTTGTAATGCCAGTTATGGCTTCACTCGAAGAAGGCGGCCTTGGCAACAATTATCCATCGCTTCACCACGGAGAGGAAGGGATTATAAACAGTGGTGGGATTCATTTTTTTCTACTGCTGGTTCTGTGGGCGTGGCTTGGTTGGCATGGCATGGCTTGGTGGGTGTGGCTTGGTAGGCGTGGCAGGGGAAGATTACTGCAAAATCCCCATTTCCTCCCAATCAGCTGAGACTCAGGAGGCAGAGAATAGATGGGGGCGGGGTCAGTCAGAGGTGGTATTTACCGGTTCTCCGAATTACTCAAAATTTCTGCTACTGGTTCTCCAGAACTGGTCAGAACCTGCTGAAACCCACCTCTGTTTATAAGAGAGTATTTTAGCACACAAAAGGGAATACACTGGACTGTTTGTTAAGCGTGCTTGTGATTGCTAGAGCTGGTACCTTTCTTTCAATGTGCATTCTCCATTATGCTTACTCTTGTAATTCTTCCTCTTCAATGAATGTTAAGTACAAATATTAGTTCCATTCTTGGTAATTATCCCAGCCTGAGGTGAGCATTGAAAAGGGCAGGAGAGTGCAGAAAAGGGAAAGCTGAAGTAAAATGGTTAGAGGTAAATAAAACGTGAAAGTGTGAAACTGAACAAAGTCTTCTGCAGTTTCAAGCCAGAAAGCACAATCTTGGTCATGTAATTTCTCACCTCGTGACCACTTACTTAGTGATGGAGCTGCTAATCCCTATTGTAGTCACTAAAAAAGGACTACCTGTAATGTGCCATCTCCAGGTCGTGGAAGAGCAAAAGATAGCAAGTGCATTCTTGTGACGAGCAAGAAAGAACAGGAAGAGAAGGAGAGATACAATTTACAAAAAGAGAAAATGATGAACAGAGCTATTGAAGAGGTACAGAGCTGGGATGAAAAGATCTTTGCAACGAAGGTGAGCAGTTTTTTTTTAATGAGGGCTTCCTTAAGGTCCCATTCAGCCGAGAGGGGAAATTCTGTACTTTAAAATGAGCCAACGCTGTTCAAACACAGAATGGCTGAACCCGCTGTTGTCTAACTTTGCTTACAAGGTTTTGTTGTCGTTATTTTATTTTCAGGATGGGTGTGTGTGTGTGGGGGGGGGAAGTTTCATTCAGGACAACATTCCTAGGCTCTTGAGAGTAGTTGGTGCCTTGTGACTTGAATTCCATCTTTCTCTCTTCACCCCAGATAAACGAATTGCAAAAGAAGCAAATAAAAATGCTAGATTCCAAGAAAAAGCCGACAGAACCAAAACCCTGGAAAAACAATCGAGTCCTTTTGTGTGGCAAATGCAAGAACAAGGCCTGCAGCACGGAGGATCTCCGGGTGATTGAGGTAACTTGCTGTGGCTGCCTTCGCTTCATAGTGCCTTTTTGGTGGGATAAGGGATGCAGTGGCTCAGAAGCTAAGATGCTGAGCTTGTCGATCGAAAGGTCGGCAGTTCAGCGGTTCGAATCCCTACTGCTGCGTAATGGGGTGAGTGCCCGTTACTTGTCCCAGCTTCTGTCAACCTAGCAGTTCAAAAGCACGTAAAAATGCAAGTAGAAAAATAGGGACCACCTTTGGTGGGAAGGTAACAGCATTCCGTGTGCCTTTGGCGTTTAGTCATGCCGGCCACATGACCACAGAGAAATTTTCGGACAGCGCTGGCTCTTTGGCTTTGAAAGGGAGATGAGCACCACCCCCTAGAGTCGGGAACGACTAGCACATATGTGCGAGGGGAACCTTTTACCTTTACCTAAGTGTTGGAGGGTACAGATCAGCTACGTTCCCGTTCAATTCTGAACGAAGCCTGATTCAGTCCAAATCTGTGATTTGAAATTCAAGATTAGAATCAATAAAAGCTTTATCCATAGGCTATAAATCAGGAAAAATATATGCCTGCCTCTAATAATTTTTTGGCAGAAAATGAACATCACAATGATAGAAGTTTTAGATAAGTGTTCCTTAAAACATTTCTCTCTGGACCCCTTCCTGCTTTTAAAAATTGTGGGGGACCCAACCCCCCCCTTTATTGCAATTAATCATATTGAAAATTAAAATTGACCCACTTTCAATTTCTCACAATTAATTGTTTGATGGGATTTTGATATTACATTATTTTTCAACAGTCTGGCAAATAATTTTGCAGATTCTTGAGAAGTTCTTCAGAACTCCTTATACCAGTGGGTCTCAACCTTCCTAATGCCGCGACCCTTTAATACAGTTCCTCATGTTGTGATGACCCCCAACCATAAAATTATTCCATTGACCATTGAAAATATGTGTTTTCGGATGGTCTTAGGCGACCCCTGTGAATGGGTAATTCGACCCCCAAAGGGGTCCCTACCCACAGGTTGAGAACCACTGCCTTAGACCATTCTTTAAAAAATGCAGCTTCATAGGTTATTGATGCAAAGTTTCAGCTGGAAAGTGTTAAGGCTTTCATTGCTATATAATTTTAATTGTTTCTCTGCACTTTATAATGGCAGTATCAGGACTAGGATGCAGGAAACACAGCAAATAAAAGGCATCTATTTGATTTTAAACTTCAAAACTACCCAAGGATTAAATTTTAAAAAATGGTTATTAAATCAAACCTTTCAATTGAAGAATTCCTTTAAAGCTTTGCACAGCTGAGTACACAGCGTCATGAGTTTGGGTATATTTACACTAAAAGGAGTGAAGAAAATAAATATTAGCATTGACCTGTCAAACTGTAAGGGTAAATCTTAGCACTTTGTATTTCTGGTCATTGTAAGAACATTCAGTGAGAGGTCCAGCCTCTGGGTTACACATATAGGTAGAGTGTCATTTCTTGGTAAATGGAGCCTCTAGCATTCTAGTCCCTTTGAAGTAGATTGATGGTAAAATCAAGGGCAATTGTTCCTACATTAAATGCATATAGACAGGTATATTCACAATTGGATTGTGAATGTTTGCACAACAGCTATATTTTGAAGGGTTCTGCCTTTCCACCAGAAAAGTAGCCAGTCTCCTCAAAAAAAAAAAAAAAAAAACACAACCTCAAATTTTAAATGTTTCACACATTCAGTATGTGGATATTGTGGCTTTCATGGTATTGGCAGTAAACAGGAAGGGTCATCAAAGGTCTCAAAAGCCATGTAATCTCCATGCAAGTTCATAATCCACCAAATTCCACCAACCCCAAAGACCAGAAACAATAGCTCTTGTGGACATGATCCAGCTGAGATAAATTGTATTGCAGATTCCTGGTAAATCTCATCCTTCTCCCAAGCTATTTCAGTGATCAGGGCTACAAACTATATGGGCTCTAAAGGAGAACTCTTTTTTAAAAAAAAAACTTCTTTATTTTTAAAAAAGCAAACCAAATGAGCTCAAAGGAGTCATGCACAGATTTTTTTTCCTGTGTCGATTTCACATATACTTTTCTGAATTCCTACTACCAGGTGAAGCTTGGAATTTATCCATTCCAAAACAAAACCTGAGCTAGCTGAATGTGTCCGTCCTGAAAAAGCCCTTCTTTACATTCAGTTGAGAGAAACTTGGTTTTACCATTTCAGAATTAAATGTTGGAAGCGGAACTGTAGAGGATAAATGGAGTTGCTTTGACTGTGTGCTTGAGGAAATTGACAACTGATTATGCACTTAATCTACCAAGAGGTTATAAATTGATCTGAAAGCATGCAGCCTTAGTTTTCTGACTAATCCATTTATAAAGTGATACAGATAATGCTATATTTTGTGCTGTATTCATTCTAGGAGTCACACCACACTGTTTTAGGAGAGAAATTTAAAACACGGTATACCACAGGACCTCATAAGAAGGCACACAGCAGCTACGGGAATTTTGAGAAAAAAGCCAAGATGTATTGCCTCAATTGCCATCATGACTGGGGAATCATTGTGAAGTACAAGACCTTTGCGGACATACCCATCATTAAAATCGAGAGCTTTTCCGTGCAGGATGTTGTTAGCAACAAGCAGTTTTATTTCCGAAAATGGAAGGATGTTGATTTTGCAATGAAAGACTTCGATGTTGAAGAAATATCTTAGTGAAGTACGGTCTTTTCAAACTTCTGTTCATAATCTTGCATGATGTAGTTTAGTGATGTGTGCGCCATCCACCCACGTGAGCTCCCCCGCCCCCCGTGCATGCACACGCAACCCCCCCTCCACACCCCTTTTTGGGCCTAGCAGGCCTCCCTGAAGCCTCCTGGGACCAAAAACGGGGGGCACACATGGCACCCTCCCTTGCTCCCCCTGCCCCCCCCGAATGCCTACGCTTACAGGAGTTATATCTGCCTTGTATGCAGCTTTATTCCTCTCTAGCATTCATCTCCATTGTTCAGTGGTGCATTTCCTGCCTCTCTAGGATTTACCTCTATCTGCTACTGTGAGGCACTTCCTGTTGGATGTATATACAGGTCAACTGGGACAAGGGCCATGGACCTAGTTAATTCTATTTTAAAGTCAAATTGGTAACTGAGGAACGATTAACTTTCCACTTACTCCAGTGTAAATTCAAACTCCAAGGTAGCTGTGACATCTGTCTGATTCTTAGTACGCTTCCATTAATTCTTGAAAAAAGCTGATGTTTCCACTGTCTTTTGATTATGCAATCTAATAATAAAGATATATATTTGAAACTTTAAAGGGTCCTTAGTTGTTTGCGGAGGCTGAGAGTAAGGGGTTGTTTTTAAATTATAACTGTACTTGGCTATTTTAAAAAGTCAGGGACATACAGCTGAGGATATGCTAATAAGTTTAAGGTGACGTTGAACTAGAACTATCCCTAATAGTAATAGTTAAGAAAGCCAAGTTTTCATCCTTCAGATGTAAGACTAAAGGTACTATATCAACTACAGTGTTTCTCCAAAAACATGACTCACCTCAATAATAAGCCCAACCCTAATTTTTTTGGGGTGGGACTAATATTACCCCTATCCCGAAAATAACCCCGGGGGGATGGGCATAGCCAGTACAAGTGGTGGCGTGGGCGCAGGAGGAGACAACTGTCCGGCTGGCCCCTTGGGGCAGCACAAATATTGCTTTTGCCCTTCTCTTTCTGGGCGCAGCGCTTCTGCTTGTCGGTAGCTCCGCGGCCAGCTGCTTTGCTTTTTCCCTCTTTTTGGGAGGCTCGTGGGAGGCTTTTTGGCAAAGGAGAGGAAAATGGGGAGGGGGATTTTCCTGCCTGCCATCCATTCCTCAAGCTCAGCACAGACTGAGGAAAGGATGGCAGGCAGGAAAATCCCCCTCCCCATTTTCCTTTCCTTCGCCAAAAAAACCTCCATTCCAAACACTGAAGGTTCGGAATGGAGGCGATAGTGTCCACGGTGCATCCAGCTCACTGAGTCTGGCCTGCTGCATCTCAAAAAAAGTAAGACCGCCCCAAAAATAAGCCCAAGTGCTTATTTTCCAGCCTAAAAGAAAATAAGACTTGGTCTTATTTTCTGAGAAACATGGTAGTTAGCATAGTATTGTATCTATTGTTAGGATCCCATTGTCGTTGCAGCATTTTATTGCTCAGAACTCCAAAGCATGTTCCTTTCTGATAAAGCAAAGGAGAATTTATTCTTCATCTTGAACCTCTGATTGAGAATTCACATGGGGCCGAATGCAAACAAAGTGAAATCCACAAAATATTCTACTGATTTTTGAAAACAGGTTTGTTTCAAAAGGCTTTAATCCTGCGGTCCCGTGAATGAAGGCACACAAGAACGAATGCACATATGCCCAAGAATAAAGAGCTGAGCCATTTAATCGTTTTAGCAGTATTAAAATTTCAAGGAGGGATTTTGATAAGCGCTTTTAATGCAATAGTACAGGGTTAGTAACTTCTGAGGCAGGCAGGAAAAGAAACTGGTACTGTTAATTGCTGTATAAAATGTTGACAAGGATCTAGCCTCCACATACATAGATGATAAAAGTTTTTGTCCCACCTACAAGTACAAAATAGATGGATGAAATACAGTACTGTAGAAAGGATGAGTTCAAATATACACATAAATCAGGCTAGTGGCCGAAATGTTAGGGTTGACAGTATAAAAACATACCCTTTACAAGTCTTTCCCTTCAATTCTGCTTAAAACAACCACATCCCCCAGGAGTCCCAGCCAGCCCTGAAAGTCTGGACGTTGTAGTCCTAATACACTTGGAAGGCACTACGCTGGGGAAAACTCCACATAATTCCCTTGGTTACTGTATATTTTGTTTTTCATAATTACAGCCTTTTACATAATTACTGAAATTACTTTGTCCTCTGAAAAAGGTGGGTTTCTGGATATGAGCAATGCTTCATTTGGGGGTTAAGATGCCATTTTGCGAATCATATAGTTCAAGATGCCGCCATTACGAAAATAGGTGAGCTCCACGTCCGTGTCAAACCTCATGACGGCTTGAAAAGTTTTTCCTGTGTCCAACTGTGGAGAGAACATAGAGAACAAGGAGGATTAAGGAAAGATACAATGGTTTAAGAAGTTCAAATGGACTTTTTAAAAGAAATTATGCCAAAGCTGCAAAGAAATAGGATCTCCTTGGAAATAACATTAAATCACCCACACATTCTTTCTTGGATGCATTTTTTAGGTGTCCCGTTTCCAGAAAACTCTTCTAACTTCTTAAATGAGAAGTCTGAGGGGTGGGGGCCATGAAAACAATATTCAAATGTGCATACACAACATTTCAACTGTGTGGGGCTCAGGACTATAGACATTATTTACTCTTGCGACACCCATTATTAGAACACTTATCTCACATGCAGACCATTCCATTCAACACAGTGCTAAAAAGCTGCTTTTCACTTAATTTAAAACTTGTTTTTCTGGGAGTCTGAACAGGGCTTCAGCAGCATCGAAGGATAGGCTGCCTCTCTCTTCTTTGTGGCAGCCTTTTAAATATTGGAACACTGTTATATCTCCCCTAGTCCTTCTTTACACTAGACTAGACATACCCAATTCCTGCAACTGTTCTTCATATGTTTTAGCCTCCAGTCGCCTAATCATCTTTGTTGCTCTTGTCTGCACTCTTTGAATTTAGTTCAATTTGCTTCAATAGAAACAAAAGCTTCCATGCATGGGAATCCTGATTTCTCACATTTTAACAATAACAATAGCACTTAAGACTTATATACCCCTTCACAGTGTTTTACAGCCCGTTCTAAGCAGTTAGTGTCAGCATATTGCCCCTAACAATCTGGGTTCTCATTTTACCGACTTTGGAAGGATGGAAAGCTGAGTCAGCCTTGAGCCGGTCAGGATTGAACTCATTGCAGCGAGCAATGAGTTAGCCTGCAATACTGCATTCCAACCACTGCGCTACCATGGCTCTTTTATAAAAGCTACAAAGCAACAAGCCAACTTTCCCTCAAAAGGGCAGTATGACTTTATAAGGGAAGGCAATATGACTTTATAAAGGAATGTGACTTAAAACCCTAGATTATTTCTATACCCAAAAACCATTAATATTTTCAAGCCATCCTTGAAATCTTGCAAGATCACCAAATCATAAAAGATTTGAGTGATTCAAAGTCAATTCAAGGGCTTGTTCAGGCACCAAATTTTGTTCCTTAAACCTGATGCCCAGCCACTTCACATAACTGCACGCCCTTCATGTCTGCACACAAAGAGACACACACCAACACAGAGTGTTGCTAGATTAAAATAATGCAATCCTTGGAAATGCTTACTTTGATCTGGATATTCATTCCAGGCGTCAGGTCCTCCGGAATAATGATTGTGTAACGTTCCTGCCCTGTCAGTCCTAGAGTCTCTGCATCCTGGCCGGGGAGATACTGTAGAGGGATGACTCCCATGCCCACCAGATTACTGCGGTGAATCCTCTCATAGCTCTCTGCAAGGACTGCTTTGATACCCTGAGGAACATACAAGGGCATTAATAGTCAAATTTAAAAAAAAAGTTGTAGAAAAGAAGTGGCTACCGGTAATTATTTGCCGGGCAACTATGCAGACAAAAGGCCTCAGGTCACTTCTTAACACCTCTAGGTAGGATTGGGAAAAAGTCAATCGGTGATGCTGTGCTAGGTAGATCAGTGGTCTACCTCAGTGGTGGGTTGATCCCGGTTCTGTTCGGTTCTTGAGAAATGGTAGTAAAAGCGGCGGGAGGCTCTGCCCACCTGCCCGGATGTCGTCATGGATGATCTGCGAATGCCAGAAGCGCACACGCTCCCGTTGCGAACTGGTAGTAAAGGTAAGTAGAATCCACCCCTGGTCTACTTCAAAGAAGTAGCTTCTCCATTTCCTGGTCTTAAGATGTTTGTGAAGCTTGCCACCCAAAAGCTACAAAACAACAAGCCAACTTTCCCTCAAAAGGGCGATCACATCATAAATAGGAACATACGAACTGAAGGAAGACATGGTGGGCACAGGCAAAGGAGAAGGTCACTAAAAAGTCCAAATATATAAATGCACACACACACACACACATATATAACACCCCAAGGTTTAATTTTGGCATTATGGCCTCTTATGGACTACATTTCATAACAAATAGTACATTAATTCAGAAGTTGGACTACTGATGACAGGGAATATCGGGCTTGGTGACAGTATCTGTGCAAAGGATTTAAAATTGGAATTGAACCACTGATCATGAGTCAACAGCATGACAAGGTTGGTAAAAATGCAAATTTAGACTATCTAACAAGTTTAGTTTCAAAATCAGAGGAATGGATCCACTATATTGGTCAGAACCCACTTGGGAGTGCGAAGACCAATTCTGGCCACGGCTCTTTCAGAAGAATTCAAAGAGTAAGACGGGCAAGGAAATGCAATGAGAATGATTAGGGATGTTGATTACTTTTCAGAAAAGATAATGAGGGGGAGGATATGACAGCATGTTTAAACTGTTTAAAGTTGGGAAAAGGTCAAGATCTGTTCTCTACAGCCCCACAGAATATAAATAGTCCTTGACTTATGACCACAATTGAGCCCCAAATTTTAGTTGCTCAGCGAGATAGTTTTGTTGTGACCTTACTTGCCACAGTTGTTAAGTGAATCACTGAGTTTTTTTAAGTTAGTAGCAAGGTTGTTAAGTGAATCTGGCTTCCCCACTGACTTTGCTTGTCAGGTCACAAAAGGTGATCACTTGACCAGTGGTGGGTTGCCCCCAGTTCGCACCGGTTCTATAGAACCGCTAATAAAACCGGCGGGAGGCTCCATCCACCAACCTCGACGTCATCAAAATGCTTCTGCGCTTGCGGCCCCATTGCGAACTGGTAGTAAAGGTAAATAGAACCTACCCCTGCACTTGACCCCAGGAGAGTGCGAATGTTATAAATATATTATAAATATAATTATATATTATAAATATGAGTCAGTTGCCAAATGATCAAAAAAGAAATGAGATCACAGTGCCGTTGTAATTTTTGTCACTAAATGAACTGTTGTAAGTCGAGGACTACCACGTAAAATAATGTCAACCTACAAGGATATATCCGAAAAAAAATTCCTAGCAAAAAGAAGTGTTTTGACACAGAGAATAAATAGATAACAAAAAAACAGAGAGCAAGAGATGGACTCCATTGGTTCATCCAAACCTATGATGCTATCTCTTATTAAAATAGCCTACTCACCAGCAGGAAAGGCCCCTTGGCAGCCCAGTCCCGGGAACTTCCTGAGCCATATTCCTTACCGGCC